TATTCATTAAATTATATATTTTTGAAATTCCGTTATTGGTATGTCCTTGCTTTTATCTTATTTTATATTTCATTTTACATTTTATATTAAGCATTATAAATCTTGTTATGTGTAAGATTGTTGAAGATATTGTAATTTCTTTGGAAAATGAGCAAAATATAGATGATCCTTTCCCAAAATTCAAAAATACTTTAACCTTGAAGAAAAAATTAATACTGGATATCGGTTTCGGTGCAAGATGTGCTGCAAAATTATCTCTTCAAATTATACGAGCAGCTTTAATTTGAAAAAACATTTAAAGGTAATATATTAAACAAATTTAATATCAATGTGTAGGCTAATCTTTAATTTTTAAAATAAATTAAAATCAAAAACCTATCATTTTTTTTATATATTCATAAATTTTATCTAAATTATTTAAAACATTTTAAAATAGTTATTTCAATCATTTTTATGTACTTATCTCCTACATAATTTTTATTCCAAGTATTTTATAATTTTAGACTGTGCACACTTTAAATTATAAAGAGATTGAAAAATATCTCAAAAGTTTTGGGGTAATGGAAGAAGATAAACCCACTTCCAAATCAAATTTAATACAAACAAAATTAACCAATTTGGATTCATCAACACCTGGTGTATCCCAAAAATTGGCTGACAAAGTCATTATGAACTTTATAATAAATACAGTTCAACCATTATCCTTGGTGGATAATGATTCTTTTATAAAGATGATAAACACTTTTTCTCCACGGACCAAGATATTTTGCCGGCAGACATTGATGGCAAGAATTTTGGAGAGCATTAAGGAAATGAAAGAATATTTGATATTAAATCTATCAGATGTCTCCTACGTCTGTACAACGGCAGATTGCTGGACTCACAATAGAAGGTAAAAATGTTTATTTTCTTATTTATAATATGTCATATTTTTAGAGCTTATTTAGGAGTAACTGCACATTAGATTGATCCTAAAAATCTAAAACAAAAATCTGTAGCGTTAGCTCTAAAGAGAATAATTGGCTGTCAGACTTATGACATTCTAGCCAATATTATTGCAGAAATCCATAGGTCTTACAAAATTCAAAACAAGGTTTGTAAGATGATAACAGATAATGATAAATAATATTATATTATATTTAACCATTTTAATTTTTTAGGTTATGCAATATGTTGCTGCCTCACTTAAAATCTTAGAAGGGCAAGATAATATGAGCATGGGATATTATGTGCCCACACTGAGTATATTAATTACCAAGCTCAAAAGAATCAATAATCTAAAATTTTGCCAACCACTGGTAGAGTCTGTGCTAAAAGGCATTGAGAAAAGGTCAAAACTTTATTTTTATTTACTATTATTCAATTATATAAAATGAATGATTTATTGCTTGATTAGCCATAATTTAAATTGGCTTAATTTAAAACACAATCTATAATATTAATATATAGTAATTATTAATTAATATTGTTGCAGTTTTACTTTACAAAAAAATGCATTATGCAAATCGTAAACAAAAATAATGTTTTATTAAAATATCCCCGGCTATGTAAATGAGAAAAAAACGCGTGAGATTTGTAGATTTTTTCATACTTTAACAGTTTTAACAAGTGGGATGTAGAACTTTTTATTCTTCGCTAGGGAGACTATGTAAATGTTGATTAAAGAAAAAGGATATATAATGGAGAAATTATGATGCGAAAAGGGATTATTATTTTAACTAAAATTTACTTTTAATTTTTTAATTTTATTTTATTTTATTTTTTTATGATGTTTACTATTATAATTTTGAATAAAGAATTAAAGTTGATTTTATGATTTCGTAATTCCTAATTATTATTAATTTCCTTTTATATATATATATTTGTTTTCTATTTTTATATTTAGGTTTTGATGCACAATGACAACTTTGTAGGGAGGAACATGGTAACCGCGGCAAACTCGATGGAGTTAAGGGAGAATTAAAGGGGGGAGATGTAGTATTATGTAAATTTAAGATGGTACGAAATTTAACATTTTTATAATTTTGTTATTATGTATATGTAACATTGTACGAAATTTAAGATTTTTATATTTGAATAATAATAGTTTAATATTTATATGTTTATTCTTCGAAAATTGGTAATATTTGTACTAGATTTAAGATTTACATATTTGAATAATGAGATTTTAATTTTTATATAGTTGATTCTTCGAAAATTGTTTAATTTTATATATATATATATATTTTTAATTCTTCGAAGTTCAGTTTTTGGACAATTTTGATTCTTCGAAAATTATGTTATTATTTTTTAATTGATGATATTTTGAAAATAAAATTAATAAAAAAGGAAAGAGTTAATAAAGAAAAGGTAAATATACAATTTGATAAATTAGAATTATTATTATATATTTTAGGTACTCAAGGGTAAGTAATTAAACATCATTATTATTATAATTAAACTTTTATTTTAATAAAGAAAGATTTAACAAACTTTGGATTCTTAATTGCTCTCCCACTACTGATTAAACACCCTGAGTTAAGTTCGGATTTATAACAAATATAAAATTCAAAATTAATATATTATTAATTACCTTGTGTATAATAATTATATTTTTAAAATTTTTATTTACCATAATTTATTGCTATTTTAATATTTTATTTATAAATGAATCTAAATCTCAGATAAATTTAAATTTTAAAAATTAAAATGGTATTCTTCTTTTTTTTTATAATAAATACAGTCACTTTATATAAATTAGATTTCCAGATCTGTATTATGATGATAATGTAATAGCTGCTATCGTTCATCCTAGTTTCAAGTTAAATTGGCCATACATTAATTTGACTGAATCTAAATGGCAACTTGATAGGCTGATGGTAACGTTAAAAAATGGCATGCCTAACCACGATACTATAGCAAGATCGAAACCGCAGCCTTCCAAAGACGATTTTTTTGAAATAAATAATAATAATTAATATTGAACCTATAGATGCTTTTTTAAAATCTAAAAATACTAATTTAAATATTTTTGATGATTTTTTTCATATAAAAAGTTTGTTTATTAAATTTAATACTGCGTTGCCCTCAAGTGCTAGTGCTGAACGATTATTTAGTATGGCAAAGCTTATACTTTCTGATCGTCGCTCTAGACTTGGGGATGACAGTACCGAAATGTTATTATTATTAAAGTGCAATAATAAATAAATTATATATATATATATGTAACAAATTATTGTCATGTTTTTATATCAATATTTTATTTGTGGAAATAAAGTTACGTAAAAAAAAATATTTAAAAAAAAATCAAAGTAGCTAATAGCGCGCTACTCATTTGAAAACGATAGCGGTAGCGATAGCGCGCTACTTTTAAAAGTAGCGTTTAACAACACTGTAATTAATACAATTAACAATTGTGTCAAAACTGAAACAATGAAATATAAAATAAATCAAAATTATTTTTTATCTAATCAATAATGATTACTAGTACAATTTAGTATTTTTCATATAAAAAAAATATTTAATTCTAAAATAATATGTCTTTTTTGATCAAATTTAGTAAATAAGATTTTATTTGATTTTTTTTAAAAATCGGAATGATTTAAATCAAATTGATTTTAATTTGACCTTACAATAACTAAATGGGTATGCTTCTAATATGATTAACAATGAAAAAAAGGTTCTTTGAATTTATATATTTCAAATATAGATTTTTAAAAAACTTATAAAATCGATTTAATAACCTATCTTTCATATAATTAAAAATTTGAGGTAGATTTTAAAAAAATATAATTTTATTGAAATTTATTTTCAAAATTCAGGGGTAAAGTATATTTAAAAACTGGGGGGGGGGGAGGCAAATATAATTTTTTCTTTATAAATACTATTTAACCAATGGGGCAAATATAATTTATCGTTATATAAATGCTATTTAATCACTGGTACAAATATCATAAAATGGAATTTACCCCTTATGTAGATAAATATCCTCTGTCATTTCAAATTTAATTTTTTATATAAATATAACATTTAGATATATAAATAATAATGATCTTAATTAAAATAACTTGTATATAATTTGAATTACTACTATAAGTTTAAGTTATTTAATCTTATAATCTCAGATTTTTTTTAACAAATTTACTAAATAAGGGAAAGAGACTTAAAATGCAAATATAATTTAATTTAATATTACTTGAAAATCAATTACCAAATTTTTATTAATAATTTTTGTATATAAAATAATTATTGATGGTATGTAAATTTTAGTGGTATAATAGTAAAATCAAAAATGTAATAAGGGAAATAAAAAGAAAAGGAACTTTTTATATATCTTTTTATTTTATATTTTTTGTTTGATTATATATTTTTACATTTGAGTTTATTTATGTTATTTTAGAATGATTTTGATTAACTATATATTTTAAAAACGTAATTTGTCATCTTCAATTTGTGCTCATAATATTCTCTAATGATTTAAACAGACTTTATAAAATTTTATTGCTTAGTCTGACCTGTAAATCTTTATAGTTTATCTTGTTGTAACCTTAAATCAACCTAATATATCAAAAGATCAGAACAAATATAAATAATATTTACAAGCAAAATTTGCAGTTTCTTCAGCATTTAGAGACTAGTCAAACCACACATATAAATTACCTTTCATATCTCACTAACTATATAACCCGATCAATCAATGTAAGAAATTTGTAAAATATTTTTTCTTTGAACACTCAATAAACCTTACACTAGCCAAATTTCTTATTTAAATAACAATAAAGTTTGCAAAACTTTATAATATCATTTTAATTTTATGAATAAAGCTAAATTCACTATTTTAATTTTATGTAATTGTAATGGGTAAAGAACAATCATTTAGTTAGCCATTGATCATTTCATATAAAACTAAAGGAGGAATATTGATTACAGATAAAAATATTTCAATAATTTAGTTTGGGTAAAACTTTTTAAATTAGATTAAATTTATTGTATATTTAATGTATAAATTATATTATATATACCAACATAAGGAAAAAACATATTCAAATTCTCAGTAATATTTCCATGCAACCTTTGAAGATGATAAAAATCCAATTGCAATTTAAGATTGGGCTCATTTATTAATTTAATATATTTCATTGCTAAACTAATGCATTAAATTTATGTGTAATATCAAATATCAACCTTGGTAGAATGAGTCTAAAAAATAATTAGGCACTGCCTGAGGACAAATTGGTTCAATGACTCCCAATATATTATCTTTTTTTAAGCGGCTACAAGCATATTTTAAATTACTAATGTAAGTCTGTTCCATTTTATTAAAGCACCTAACATTACCCTTAGGTGATGAAGTTGGTTTTAAGCCAGCTAATATGTGAATTCTTTAAATAAAATTGATATAATTTAAAATATTACTTGGAGCAAGAGAGTTCCTTGGCATATTTTACAGCTAATTCTAATGATTCTTTAAATCTCTCCTCACTTCCAGGTACAGCTGACATACCATGCTCACCCTTATTCCCTAATAAACATATTCGATTCCTATATGAGCCAGATTAAGTACCTTCATAACAATTATAAATTTTTGCATTTATTTTAAATGAATCAAAAAAATAAAGTATTTTTAAAATCCCAAAAATCTAAAAAAAATAGACTAAACCGAAAATTGAGTAAACCGAAAATTGACATCATAACTCAAAAAATAATGATGGAAACTTAAATTTATTTTCATTTTATGTTTATATAAGTAAGTTTACACAAAATGAGTCAAAAAAATAAAATATTTTTAAAATCCATAAAATCTAAAAAAAATTGACTAAACTGAGAATTAACACCATAACTCAAAAAATGATGAAAACTTATAATTATTTTTATTTTATGTATATATACATAAGTTAGTTTACACAAAATGAGTCAAAAAATAAATCATTTTTAAAATCCTAAAAATCTAAAATAAATTGGTTAACTGAGAATTGACATCATAACTCAAAAAATAATGATGGAAACTTAAAATTTTTTTCATTTTATGTATAAGTTAGTTTACACAAAATGAGTCATAAAAATAAAATATTTTTAAAATCCCCAAAATCTAAAAAAAATTATCTAAACTGAGAATTGACATCATAACTCCAAAAATAATGATGGAAACTTCAAATTTTTTTCATTTTATGTTTATATAAGTTTGTACCAAACAAATTAATCCAGAGCAAAGAATTATGCTCCTATAATTCATGTTATTAATAATAAAAACTAAATTATTAATATATTACGCCATCTAATGGAAATATATTTATGAAATAAAAAATTGATTATGGGTGTTATAATTTCTATATAATAAATTTTTTCTACACATATTATAAATTTATGGACTACTCTTTCTTCTATATTCTATTTTATTTATTTAGATAATTCTAATTTTGGATAAATTTGATCATAATAAAAATAATTTATTTATATTTTTAAAATATAATTGATAGGCCATAAATAAATTTTACCTGTCTATTCTCAGTTTAACTGTCCATTCTCAGTATAGTTACACCCTGTTGATGTGAATTGACAGGTTAAGTGGAATGGACAGCTGGACATAAACTTAGAAACGTCAGGTATATTTTTTATATATAAATCTATAAATTATTTTTGAAAATATATTTTCATTGCATGTTCTTTTCCATGCAATGATCATTGTTTCCATATTACCTTCATTTTAAAAATATTATTTTTTTCATTCATTTCTATATATAAAAAAATATGATACTATTATCAATCAAGGATGAGTGAACAATTCTTTATTAAATCTTTTCACACATTCATTTTGAGTACGATGATTTGGAAATTTAATAACCTACATTTTTTTAATAAACTCGTTCTAATTTTTTCTTTATTAATGTTTTTTGCCGCCCACTTTATTGAGTACGCAGATCGACAAAATATAAAAAATTTACTAGGCACGATTCTAAGCCTATTTGTCAGTGGCGTGGCGTCACTAGCCTTTACAATCTCAGGGGGTCAAAAAATTTTTTTTTAACTAACATTATCTAAAATTACCTTCTTTTTTTTAAACTAACTTTTCTATTTTATTAGTGGTATTAAAGAAATTCAAAATTTTGAGGGAGCTCTTCAAATTTTTCTGGGTCTAAGCCTCTGGAAAATATAAATTCTTTTGATCTTGAAAATATTTTTTATATTTTTTTGATAAATTTTTTATAAATAAGAATGTAATGAGAGCGAAATAACTGCTCACTATCAGTTTAAATACCTAATCATTCATGTCTGCTGAAAGCACCAAACGCCCCATAATGTAATGAGGTATTACCAAAGTAGCCAACATCTAAAGTTGTTAAAAAGCCTTATTAGAGTCGAAACGACCCAATTAAGAATATAACCAAAATAATATTACTAATAGATGGCAGAAAGGTTTGGATATCTATTTGCCAAATGACGAGGTTACATAATATTATTTTGACTAAAATCTTAATCTAGCCAAATAGCGAGGTTTATTTGTCAGTAACCTTTTTCACAATGTTTAAATTACTATAGATTCAATACCAATCTTCATGTAATTGTCACTTTATCATTAATAATCCTATGTTTTCCCATTTAATTGTTCCATTAATGTTCATTTCACTGAGATTAATTAATTTCCATAAATCACCATATTTCCATAAGTAATAGATTATACCATATTATTATATAAACCCAAATTGTTAAAAAAATCTGATTTAGGAAGTTTTAAAAATAACCCAAGATTTGTCAAAATAATATGTAAGACTGAAGATTTTGCTCGTAGATGGCAAAAATGTTTGGACCTATATTTTGTCAAATCTCAAGACTTATATAATATTATTTTGTCTAAAATAATAATAGGGTCATAGGGTCATTTTTGCAAATACCCAAATCAGCATCTTAAAACCCTATAAAAATTGATAGGTAAAGAAAAAAGGGAGAAAAAGGAGAAAGGAAACAGTGAAGAGGAAAAGAAAAAAGGAAGAAAAAGGAAAGATTAAATAGAACTAAAAAGGTGGAAATGGAATTGGATCAATGGGAAAGAAAAGAATTGTGTGTCCTGTGGAATATAATGAGTGAGCAACCGCTGGTGCCGATGAAGAAGGTCAACAGAAAACATCGTTTGTGTGCAGATTTCCTGGTCACGCTCAACCTGTGGGTTTTTGAAGTGAAATATCCCTTGCCACGAACTGAAGAGATATTAGCCAGTTAAAGGATGGGATATATTTTTCAAAGTTGGATTTTCGAATGCTTGGTGAAGCCTGAAGTGCGAAATTTATTAACAACTAGTAGAAAGCCCGTCAAAAATGAAGGGGAATGAGATTTTTATTCATTTTTTACGATAGATGTCATGCTAGGTTCAAGCTCACAATATTAGGAAGCATCCAAGATTTTATAATTTTAAAAAAGTTTATCAAGCCTAGCTCAACCCTTAAAGTTTATCAAGGTAAAAGATATTCCCAAGTCAGGTGCAAGCTAATATTAATTTTGAGGTTCCATGCCCAGTCCTACCCATTATAATTTTGAAAATTTTTTCCCGCCTCGGAGATAGTTAAATTATGAACGGGAAATATCTTATTTACCAATTAATCTAATATGGAAAAAAACATGTAAATTCCGTATTAAGGGAATATGGGAAGGCCTGGGCAACCACTTATTAGAGAATCATGACAAATAAAATAAAAATAACCGACTCTTATACCTTTTTGTAATATGATCAATTAAAATTATATCTAAAAAATATGTTGTTTATTATATAAGGTTATTGTTGTTTTTTAGATAAATTTAATGTATGTCTTGCTTTTCTGAAATTATTTGTCAAAGAATTTGTTAAGGGATATATATTTTTTTATGTTAAGTAAAAAAAAATGCTGTCTATTTAAATTACAAAAATGCCATTAAACACTAATGAAACTTATATGCAAATTATTTATATATTTTTTAGGATATTTTTTTTTATTGACATATAAATCTAGGATAATTTTTATTAAAAATGATGAGGAATATTTATTATGTATTTGATAAAATTAAGAGCAAATCCTTATTGTCATTTTAATTTTTGATGGAAAAAGTGACAAAATAAATCTGGGCGGTCGTCTGGAGAGGAAATAATTAATGTATAATTTTATATCATTTAGTGTTGTAGATGAAAGTAATGACGGATTACCAAAGCATTGTACAAAACACAATACGTCCTGATAAAGATGATATGCCTATGAACGCAAAACGATATATCTGTCAATGTCAGCATTGGTATCCCCCTCTAAAATAGAATCATGAACGACAATGATAACTAAATCCTAAAACGGTCGTAAGTATTGTTATAAAGGCCACGACAGAACTACTGCATATTTTTCCATTAATAAAGTTGATGAAATTGGCTGTACTGTACATTCAAGTTTGAACACGCAAAACGATATTTCTGTCAATGTCAGAATTGGTATCCCCTTCTAAAATAGAATCATGAACGACAATGTTAACTCAACCATAAAACGGTCGTAAGTATTGTTATAAAGGCTACGACAGAAATATTGCATATTTTTCCATTAATAAAGTTGATGAAATTGGCCGTATTATACATTCAAGTTGAACATTCCTCTAAATATTCATGAAAGTTTCTCAGAGAATCGGATAAAGTAATATTTATATTAACTCCTAGTGAAGTAAATGATAGTACAGAATTAAATGCTTATATTTGTTAAAAAATAGGCGAAGATGGCATAGGGATCGTGGTAGTGGTGATAGAAATATCATTTGGAGAAATGGGTGAAAATAAAATAAATATAGATATAAAACATAAGATAAAAAAAACAAAATAAACCTTCAGATGAGTTCATTTCAAGCGTAGTTCTTTATTATTTTGCCTAACAGTAACTCTAGAATGGGTAAGGCGTTTGTTTAATCATCATTATTTTCTTTGCTTATCTTTAATAATATATTCATCATGTTTTGTAGCAATGTGAGGGATTATGGTTAGCCTAGACAAATAAAGAAATCAGGCAAAAATATAAATAAACTATTGTTGAGATTAAACAAACATTAAAATAATGTAAAACCGGTAGATGGGTCAATATTTGATGCATATTTCTAGTAGTTGGAGGGCTATCATCAAAAAAAAATTTTGGGGGACTTATCAAGCCTATTATGATATTCTAAAAGTTAAAAAATAACATGATGAATGTAATGTTATTAAGATAAAGGTTAATTAATTAAAAGGTAATTAAAAAATAAGGTTAAAAAAGGGGGGGGGAAAGAAGGTATAAATTATTATATTAAAAAATTAAATTAAAGGAAATGATAAGTTTTGAGAAATAGTGGTTAATAGATAATAGAGATAGAAAGAAAAGAATGATATAATAAAATTTAGTGATAAATAAAAATGTTTCTATTTGTTAAAAAATAGGTGGAGGTGGCATAGGGATTGTGGTATTGGTGATAGAAATATCATTTGGAGAACTGGGTGAAAATAAAATAAACATAGATATAAAACATACGATAAAAAAAACAAAATAAACCTCCAGATGAGTTCATTTCAAGCGTAGTTCTTCATTATTTTGTCTACCAGTAACTCTAGAACGGGTAAGGCGGTTGTTTAATCGTCATTATTTTCTTTGCTTATATTTAATAATAGATACATCATGTTTTGTAGCAATGTGAGGGATTAGGGTTAGCCTAGACAAATAAAGAAATCAGGCAAAAATATAAATAAACTATTGTTGAAATTAAACAAACATTAAAATAATGTAAAACTGGTAGATGGGTCAATATTAGATGCATATTTCTAGTAGTTGGAGGGCTACCATCAAAAAAAATTTTGGGGGGATTTATCAAGCTTATTATGAAATTCTAAAAGTTAAAAAATAACATGATGAATGTAATGTTATTAAGATTAAGGTTAATTAATTGTAAGGTAATTAAAAAATAAGATTAAAAAAAGGGGGGAAAAAAGAAGGTATAAATATTACATTATAAAAATAATAAAAATTAAATTAAAGGAATTGATAAGGTTTGGCTATCATCAGATAAAAAAAATTTTTTGGGGACTTATCAAGCCTATTATGATATTCTAAAAGTTAAAAAATAATATGATGAATGTAATGTTATTAAGGTTAAGGTTAATTAATTGTAAGGTAATTAAAAAATAAGATTATAAAAAGGGGGAAAAAGAAGGTATAAATTATTATATTATAAAAATAATAAAAATTAAATTAAAGGAATTGATAAGGTTTTGAGAAATAGTGGTTAATAGATAATAGAGATAGAAAGAAAAGAAAAGAAAAGAAAAGAAAAGAAAAGAAAAGAAAAGAAAGAAAAGAATGAGATAATAAAATTTAGTGATAAATAAATTCATTAAGGGAGGGGAAAAAAATAAAGAAAGAATTATTTATAAGGATTGGAGATTATAAATAGGTTAGGATAAGAATATTTAAATATTTGAATATACTTGGTTATCTTCTTAATTATTGGTTATGAAAGAAAAATATGAGTATAAAAAGATTTCCTTAATGTGTAATTGATAATATGAGATGAAAATTGATAAGGTAATCTAAAAAATAAAGAAAGGATTAAGTGAAATAAAAAGTTTCATTCATATTTACAAATTTAATGGAATATTGTTTTTATCAATTCATCCATGTTAGGTATGTGTACACCATCAATTCCATTCATCTGTATGAATATAAAAAAAAATCAGCAAATAAAAATAAATACGTACCGATGACATGACGTAGCGATGACATGACGTCACGATGACGTAGTGAGGACATCGGAAAATTATAATATAGATTACTAGGCCGCAGCGTCTACATGAGCGGGAGGGGTAGGAACAGTTTGCATCTTATTTTTTTGAGTGGGTAGGGGGTAAGCTGCTTTAATGGGGGTAGGATAAATTTTTTTGGGGGTTATATATTAAATTTTGAGATGAAATAGGACAAAATTTATTGCTGTAAAAATTATACTTTTATTATAGTATTATTATAATACAATTCATCGACCAAATCTATATATTGCAAACAATCATACACATTGTTTTCCAAATAAACTATCCTTTTAAATGTAATTTAAAAGGTTTAGATATTTTAGCAATCTTATAATGCCATAATAATTAATTAATTGTAAATATGGAGGTTTTAATTGAATTTATTATATAAAATATAAATTTTTTATATTCACAAAATATAGATAGTTGTTAGTAGAGATAGATTAATTTAAGTTATCCTTTATAAATTCTTTGAAAAGAGTATTAATAAATAAATAGGTGAAAATAATGAGAAAGAGACACCGCCGCTGAAGGCGACAATTTTTTAGGAGGGTAGGCAAAGGTTTTTGAAGGGGGTTTACATCCATTGAAAATCCTGTCATGTAGACCCTGCTAGGCCGAAAGGATTGTACACTTTTTGTAGGTTACCGTTTGGACTTGTGTATCTGCCCAAATTTTTTAACGAACTATAACAGTCGTTTTTTAAGGTTTAATAGGAGTTTTTACTATATTGACGATGTGTTGGTAACGGGGGTGACTCCTGAGCAGCATACACAGAGATTGGTAGAGGTATTCCGAAGAATTAAAGGAAAACGATTGCTAACGAGTGCCGAGTGCGAGTAACGGATATGATGTATCAAGGACACAATTTTAATGGGAGAGGTGAGGTCACTGGATAAAAATATAGCCGCAATAACGTATGTTGAGACCGAATAACAAAGAGGAGGTGCAGGCCTTTCTATGGATGATGAATAATTATCACCGGTTTGAAGAAGATTTCACACAGATAGAGGCGCTATTGTATAAATTATTGAAAAAGGGAGAACGATTTGAATAAACAAGAAGAAGCGTTTAAAGAATTGAAATGTTGAATTGAAAAGGAACCTATTCTGGTATGCTTTAATAACGATCTGGAGGTGGTTTTGCTCGTGGATGCTTCTAAATAGAGGATTAAAAAATAATTAAAGACAATAATTTAAATTATACTTCTCAAATTAATCAAGCAATCTTTTGCAAAGAATTTGATTTATTCCAAATCCTATATTCTTAGAAATGGTTTGCAATTTTGTACAAGCCAAATTTGTTATCAACAATATTTTATCCAAAACAAAAAGTGATAAAATAAATATAGTAAAGACTATAGCACTAGCCATAGTGGAAGTGGCAGGATCTTCAGAATCCTTTAAATTTGTTTAAGCTGCCCTCAAGGCATAATAAAGTAGAAAAAAAATTACAATAACTTTATATAACGATAGCCAGCTTCTATAAATATAAAATAAACATTTTAAATCTAAAAAATAAAATAATATTACCGTACCATAGGCGTAGCTAGGATTTTCATAAGGAGGGGAATTAAAAAATTACTGGGGTACGAAGATATACCATCAACATATACATACATAGCGGGGGGAGGAGCACTTTGCAGCCAATTTTTCTAGAGGGTGGAGGTAGAAGGTAGGTGACATTTATGGGGGTAGGATACATTTTTTTTTGGGGGGGGGGAGGAGGGAAGGTGGGTTATCTATCAAATTTTGAGTAAAAATTAATACTTTTATTAAAGACCTATTATAATACAATAATATTGCTGATCTTCGATCAAATCTTTATATTGCAAACAATCATAGACATTATTTTCCAAACAAAACTTTCTGCTATCCTTTTGAATATAATTATAAAAGGTTTAGACATTCTCAGCTAGCTCATAATGCTATAATAATGCATTCATTGTAAATGAGGGAGTTCTTTAATTGAATTCAATTATCTAAAAAATAACTCCTTTATATTAATAAAATTTAGATAGTTGGTAGTTGAGATAAAATAATTTAAATTATTCTTTTTAAAATTTCTGGAAGAAATATCATAATAATTAAAAAGATGGTGGAAATTTTTTAAGGGGTGGGTATAGGTTTTTATGGGGGTTTGCATCCAGTGAAATTCATGTCATGTAGACGCTGTATAGGTATACCATAAGTGACAATTATCATAATCGTTGTTTTAAAATTTTTTGAATTTCTATGAAACAAATGGGTCAAAATATAAATTTTAAACATGTTGAATCAATATTTCAATGAAGATGAACTATAGAAAAGTGACAATATACATAATTATTTAGATTTTTTTAATAATAATACATCTGAGTTTTATATATATATGTTTTACAAACATATATTTTTAGTGTTACTGATTGAATATATTATTTAATCAAAATCATGCATACCATATAGTATGGAAATTCCTAGGTTATGTTGAAAAAACACTTTTTCGTGAATCCGAAACGAGGTCAAAAATTAAATGGCCAATAACCTCAACCAGCTCCATCCTTAGTAGTTTTAAGTCACACGCCTATATTTAAGCCTGACTTCAATAAAAAACATTGATTTTGAAAATCGTTTTAAAACAAATCGATTAGAATTCCTATTTATGTATTTTTGGTCAATATATTTCAATTGTGGATACTTGTATCCAAGATATTTGTGTTAAATTGTAGAAAGAAATTTTGATAAGTAAATAATTTTCATTAAATGGGAAAAAGTAAGAAATATAGTAAATTTGAAAATATTAATGAAATAAAAAATTTTAAGCTTAATCACAAAGTTTCCATTAGTTTTGTTAAAAAACCCATCGATTAAGATGAAAGAATATTATGTACTCGATATTTGGCAAAATCCAAATCTTCCTGCCATCTATGAGCAAAACCCTCTTTAACAACACTATTCTACTTTACTTATTAAAAAAAATACTTACATACACTAACTTTAATATAAAGATATTTTCAAAATTTTATTGTGACTGATATTTTTTACAAAATGTAAAGAGAAAATTTAAACGATTTGATGGCTAATTTTTTTATGGTATTACGAATATCTAATAAAATTAAAAAATATTTATTATATCATAATTCTACTGAAATACCTGTTATTTAAAAATGTAGTATATTAAAAGTGGTTGTAGCAGTGGCCTATAATTATATAAAATATTTAAAAAATATATTTATCCATTGTAAGTTCAAAAAACCAATCATAAAAAAATCATACTGAAAAGAAAAAGATTGAATTTTTTTAGTTGATATAAAAAGAGGGTATAATTTATGAACCGCTCAAAACGGCTATTGTTAATGTATTACAATTACGAAGGTTGTCAAATCGAATATACAAGCTTCACATATAACATAATAATTGCCAAATAATTTGGCTTATAGCTAGTTCGACTTAGCAATTATTATTGGTTAAGCCTTAAGCTGAGATGACTTATCTTTTGTTTAATACAACAAGTATTAATAATTTGATAATATATTTTATTTTTAACGAATAAAAAAATGCTAACGTTTGTGGTTTAGCAATTCATATATCTTGCACCTTTTATGGTGAGTTTCTGATTTTTTAAAATGCAATGCTAAATTCATTTAAATATTGTTGGTGTAAATACAATGAATTTCCAAAAGAAGAATTGTTATGTCCAGTGTACCTAGATACCCATTTTATGGGTAATATAATTTTTTCATTTGAAAAACAAAAAAAATATATAGGTGATGATGCCATCATTATAAAAAATGGACAAAGATTATGTGGTAAAGGTGGAGCCTTGTGTAATGCACCAATTTTACAGGACAAAGCTTATTTTGAATTTGTCATACAACAATCAGGTATAGATTTTATTTATTGCATCTAAAAAAAATAATTAAGGTAAATGGAGTGTTGGGCTTTCTTCCAGAAATATAAATTTAAATAAAACTCCCCTTGGTAATAGTGAAAATTGGGTATTAAAGGAAAATGGAAAAATATATAATAATAATGAAATTAAAGGTATTTTACCTGAGGTACCTGGTGAAGGTCATATATATGTAAAAAATAAAATTTATAATAGAAACATCTATATTTTACAGGGAATATCTTATGATCATGTTGAATTGTTATTCTATAAAAATGGCAATCAAATAGAAAATCTATCTATAAAAGGATTAAAAGGAATACTTTACCCATTGTTTTTTGGTAAGATAAATATTAAGTTTTGTTTATATAATTTTCCATTTTTGGATATCTTTATTTTCATTTAAATTCTTGTAAATGATTTTACATGTCCATATATTTTTAAATCCTGAGTTTAGCTTCATCCAAATTATTTAACCCTAACTATCTGTTTTTTAGGTTCAAACTTGGCAACAATAATTATTTTTAGATAGCTCAAAATTTTTAATAGGTGAAAATTAATAAATTTTTTAAGCCCAAGCCACCCTAAATATTTGTTTTTTAATTCTCAGGTTCATAGTTTAAGACTGGCTTCAGGATAAATTGTTTGGCTCATTTTTGGTCTATATTATTTTTCAAAAGTTTAAGATCGTTATTAAAGTTAATACAAGTTTGGTTTGTTTTGATTATAAACCTTATATTTTTTATAACAATATTCAAGCAAAAATCATATTTTTATGAGCTAGAAGTCTGCAGATAAAATTGAAAATCATGTTTTTAAATATGCTTTTTGAAAGTATTTGCAGACATCTAATTCTTCCATATACAATTTTGATCAGAGATATGCACCAATACTTCGTAATTGATATTGGTCAGTACTAGTATTGGCCAATGCTTTCAATTTTAAACCATATCCAAAAATAAGAGAGAAAAAATGGATCTACAAAAAGAAGGAAGAAATATAGGATTCATTTTTATAGTAATTTTACCTTTAAAATTTTGTTGTAAAATTAACTTTATTATGAAGAATAAGCATACAATTTAAATTTTAATAAGTTTTTATGTAATCAACAATATTTTTGTAATTTTTTAAAATCATATTTAGGGTTTGTACCGATATATTTTATCGTATCGGATATTTCATCTTTTTAAAAATATTGGTATTGGCCTTTATTACAGAATTTTCTGATCCAATAAAATGGAGTCTTAATATAAAAAAAAATATTAAAATTTTAATATATTTGTTTATTACTTATTATATAAATAGATTAATCTTATTTAAATGATTTATCAATAAAAATATTTTATGTACTTTTAGATTCATCAAAATATAAATTATAACTGATTATTATAATATATTTCATTAAAAATTAACAGATATGATTCGGATTTGTAATTGCCCAATATCAATTTAATATCAGATCGGCCACCAAAAAGTGGTATCGGTATACCCCTAATTATATTTTATTAAAATTAAGGGTAAAAAACTGATATTGGTGTATCTCTTATATTTTAAAACCTATTTCAACAATTTCATTTTTTTTGAATAAATAGTAAATGAAGGGGCAATAATAGATGTTCATTTTAATAATTTTGTCTTTCCAGCTCCTTTTGGGTACAAACAAATTATGATTGAACAATCTCTCTTATAAAAGCCAATTTAATAAATTTTTATTTATAAATATAAGTATAATTGAATATATATTTATGATTCATAAAAATAAAATTATTTAATGATTAATCGATAGTTTCAAACATATCCAAATTTTCATCTACAGGATTTGTGGAATAATCTTTTAATATTTTATTATCACTGTTATTGAGTGTTAAATTTGGTGATTCTTCATTTTGCTTAATAAGGTGGGATAGTTTTTCATGTGTATATTCATAAATGTCAAATACGCCATTTTGCAACATTTCATCAGCCAATTCAGTGAGTCTTAAAAGAGCTTTTATTTCATTTTCAGTTTTATCATTTTCTTCTAGTGGAAATTAAATATATTTTAAAAAAATCAGTAAATAGTATACGAAATGTTATATATATATAAATATACCATTTGTTTGCAAAGATATATCATCATTTTTCTTTTCTATTTCTCTTAATTCCTTCTTATATTTTAGTCTTTCGCTAGCAGATGCAGAATATTTTCCTGGTACAGAATTCTTTTTATTACATTTACCTAAACGTTTTAAAGCTTTCAATATATTTTCACCAGGTTCCAAAAATTGTATTAACTATTTTAAATAAAATAAATATTTGATTTAAAAAAATAATTTAATTATTATGGTAAATTAAATTTTTTAAAATACAAAATTCTTAAAATTAACTATTAATTCAACAATGATGTTACTGGGAATGTGTTGTCTATATAGACTAGGTATTTCTACATATAAAACTATCTTAAATATAAATTTTCATATTAATAAAATTAGGATTCTAAAATTTCCATTAAAAAATTTTAAATTTATAATTCCTACCAAATTATTTTTATATTTCCCATTTTGATTAATATAACTTGGCCATTTCTTATTATAATTTTAAAAATATAAAATGATATTGCTTATTATTTTCCCTAAAAAATTTCACAAAGCTAAAATTTATTAAATTTTTATAATTTCTTTAACTTCAAAATATTAATAAATTTTGGTAAATTCGAAAAAATGAATTGGGTATTTTTATATTGAAAATAGTTTACTTCTCTTTTCGTTTAGGTTACGAAAGTTTTTAATTATATTTTTGATATTTAGGTCATAAACAAATTTGTAATATATTTCTGGTAAAATTTGTCAAGTGTCTTTTTAAACCAAAAATGCTTGAGCACAGTTGATTAGGTCATTTAAAAAAATCATCACAGTTGGTTAGGTCATTTAAAAAAATCTAAAATTCTTATCAAAAAATATATCTTAGAATACAGGTATCTTATTAAAAATAGCAAAAGTATGTATGAGTATCTTAAATACAAGATACTTTTAGTCCTTTTATGGCGAATGGATGAATATAACAAATATATAACTAAAAATTAGAATAAACATTTAGGGGGTGACTTATTGTAGTGGTCGGTTTATCATGCCAATTTCCAGTTATGGAAAAACTGGCGAAAGGATGTTTGACAACTCCGGGTTCTAGCCGAAGACAAATTTTTAGCATTCTTAAAGAAAAACCTACATAGATATGGTACTCATTCTTCAGTATATAATAAATGAAATATTGGTCGTTTGTTATAATTTACCTTAAATCCTAAAATTTTTTTTAATCCAGTTTATTTTAATTAATATTTTTTCCTTTTCCATTAATTCTAACAATATATAAAAAAAATTTTGTTAAATTTTTATTATATTATAAAAGATAATATTGTGCAATTATATTTTGAAATATGCATTTTTTAAAATGTAAAATCGAAACTTTATAGTATCATTTGTATTATAATATATAGCAAAATGGATAATGTTCTTGATAATTAAAATTACTAATGACATTAAATTTATTTATATTACATTAAAATAAATCTACATCGTTATTTTTTTTATATTGAATGATAAATAATCTTTATTTATCACTTTAGAATAAAGATAGCATTAAAAGTTATTAGATATTAAATAATTTCATATTAACTGAAAAACAAAGTTTTTGCCCAATAAATATATTTAAATGCAAACCAAATTTTTTATTTTTTAATTTTTTATTTTTTAAAAAAAATTTGATTAAGAATCATAAGAAATAAAAAGGTTACAAGAAGATTCTTAATAAAATAAAGTATCTCAAATAGAAATAAAACCAAGGTTGGTATTTAATCAAAGTTAATTAAATGTGGCAGTTATTTTATTTTTAGTACATCATAATATATAATTTGGTAATATATTGATTCATTCTTGGGATACTGTTTCAATTTCTCTAGTAGACAGGTTTTCTGGTTCAGTTGAAAATTATTTTCTTTTATGTTTATAATTAATCGTAAATTACAGTGACGAAGCTTCCACAGAAGCAAGGGAAGCGAAATATTTCTTACAAAATTCTTAAATAAACTTAGTATAATCTTTTTAACATGGTCTGTCTAGAATTGGAGTGCTCCACTCGACATTTTAAAAATTTTTGATAATAACTTATTTATTCCCAATATATATATAAATAAAAACTAGATTAAAAAATATTAATTTTTGCCAAAGTTGTAGCTCTGTCAAAATTGATCAATAAGCTTTTCCTATATTTGATTTCAAACTTTAATGTTGATTTTCTCATTTTAAACATTTATGCAAATGGAGCACTCCAATTGGCCGACGATATGTTAAAAAATACTAATTTGACGTTAAAAAGAATTAATATAATTTTTATAACTTTAAAAATATTAATATTATTTTTACTATATTAAGAATTACTATTATTTTTACTATGTTAAAAAAATTACTATTATATTTACTGCGTTAAAAAAATAAACATTAGGGAAGCAAATTTAATATATTGCTTGTTTTTTAATATGCAATTTGTATTGTGTAATTATACGTTTAAAAAATAAACATTGGGGAAGCAAATAAAAAAAATGCTAATTTTTTTTTATATTATATTTTTTCATTACTTTTTTAAATAAATTTTTTTTACATTTTAAAGGCAAAAATTAATGTTTAATAATTGTAATCATATTATTGGAAATTTATTAAGATTATCAGAGTTGTATAAAAAGTCTCTGTATCTATATACAATTTCAGAGGATCTGTATCTGTTTATAGATACTTTTCAAGATATATTATAATAAACTTTTATTTAACGTCTTTTTATCTAAAAAAATAAAAATATTTAAGTGCAAATTTTGTCACATATGTATGAGCATATAATATAAATAAGCATATATTATAAAAATATTAGGACTAAAATATATATATATAATTATTATTTTTTTCCCTTTATATCTATAGACAAGATTGTGAAGGATATTTTAATCATTGAATTTATAAATCCTTGATTAGCCATGATCACCATTAATTATAAATAATATCATTGATGCACAAAATTATTTTATAGATATTCCGCTAACTTTTAATGAGTAAATTATAATGTAATGTAAAAAATTTTTTTTAAAATTTTAAATCTATTTTTAATTTCGATTAAAAAAAAAGCTTATTAAAAAAATTTAAAATCTAGCAATAACTTATAATTCAGTACTCGATCATAGACAAAGATGAATTCCACTTATTTATATATTTTAATTTTTTTATGGTTTGACCAATAAAAATTTAAAAAAATATTCAATTGCTTCCCTAGAATAAACTTAATGCGTCGTCACTGGTAAATTATAATAAATGTTAGCTTATTTTCCCATGAGCAGTTTCTAATCGATTTCGATTCTTTGTATGAATTTTATCCCAGATGGACCATTTTTTTCTGAATGCACCTAAAAGGGTTAATAAAATAATTTCTACTTCCTATAAAGAACAAAGCACCTTCCACCTGCTTGATATACCAAAATCTGTTAAAAAATTATTCGATTGCATTCCACATATTTTGTTTATCAGGTATACCTATATCTGTTCTTTTTTTAAACGATCGGCTGGTGGCGGCGAATCGATTTAGATGCCGCAAAAAAATCGGCGCAAATTCTAACTTAAATTTTTTAATTATAATTATAAATTCATTGGAAACAATTTTAAAATAAAATTTATTCTTTATTATGCTTATAACTATAATTTAACGATTTTATTAAGTTCATGTATAAATAATATTTTATTTAGATTAATAGGACATAATGAGGATCTTTTAGAGTTGAGAGTGAGCCCAGCTATGGAAAATATACGATCGCTATAGGTGTGGTAGATGAAAGCACAGGATCTATCTAGCTAATATTGAAAGTTTAGGAAGATCCAATGCTCATATCTTCCAAAAATCTAAGACATCTTTTATCTCTAAATTATAAGGCGAAAATAATGAATAACACTCTTTTTTCCAGACTTTAAACTGTCTTGTTGTTCCAGATTATTGTTATGATAAATATTTGGTAATCAATGACTTAAGATAATCAAATTCTGAAGCAGCTTCCATTGTTTCACATTTGGTAAATTTGTTTGTGTAAGACAACAGAGAGGTAACATGTTGACATATAAATTGTACTAGAGTTATATTTTTTCCTTTAAATATTCATTTACTATGATTATAGATTGAAAACTAGGATCCAAAAGTGCTCCTAACACTTATGTAAAAAAATAAAACAAAGAGAAATAATATTAAAATATGTATCACAATATATTTAAAACTTTAAATTTTTTCCAAAATTGTTATTCATATATGATAGCAATATTTTTCTGATTAAAATATCGTGTTGGTTTTTAAAAATTTGCTATCAAGATATTTAGCAAAACTATGGCAAATCTATTATAGGCTGATTAGGATTTTAAAATACTTAAAGCAGCTTTCATTACAAGATCAGCTTGTCAACCCTATATAAAAGTATCTCATTAAAAATGTCAAAAAATACAAAGTACAAGGTATAAAAGGATGTATCTTTGATACAAGTAATGTGATCCCGAACTTTAGAGTTAATTTTAATTTATACATTGGCAATACATGGATTCACTCAAATATGAATTAAGCCTATTCAAAAATAAATATTAAACTATTCCTTATATTATTTTATTCATTTTAGTAATCTTTTATGGTATATTTTGCTATAAATTATTTAATTTATTAAATGAATCACATTATTCAATTGTATTTAAATAGGCCTAGTACAGGATTCCCTTATTATAGAACCCACTAGATCAACTCTAAGCCAATAGTGTTTTCCCTTCCACATGACTAAAATATCAAATAATTCCATTGATAGATATTGACTATATATCTTGAGAAAGATGGTACCCATCTTACTATAGATTTTAATAAAACAACTGAGTGGGTCAGGATTGATTATGTACATTAGCAAATATTTAAATAATTTATTAATCCTACATTTTTATAGGCTTCAATAAAATTTGTTGGTGGCAAAATTTCTTCTTCAGAATCTGAGGAATCACTATTATCTTTTATAATTGAATTATTTTCTTGTTTTTTAATTTGAACCCAATCTATATTATCTATCCAATTATCTCTTTTAAGGTTTATTTAGCAGAAATTTAAAAAAATATGCTAACCTAATTTCCACTGTTTTCTTGTCAAAAATAAAGTTTCCAGAGTTATCAAAATGGCCTTCCTCCATTTCTTCTTTCATATTAAAAGGAGTTATTTTAATTCCATCATACTCATTTATTGTTTCACATTCTTGACATAAATTTAATAATGGCATAATTACTTTGTGTATAATACCCTCTATTTCATTTATTTCTAAATCTTTAATGTTTTCGTCATTATTCTCCTTATCAATATCCTCCTCATCACTATCCAACGAATGCTTGTCTTTAAATGAGTAAGAAACCCTTTTGATTTTATTCAAATTTTTGACTTCATTTATTTGAATATTATTTTCATCGTCATTTCTAAATCTTTTAATTTCTTCAAGATCTTCCTTGAATGTTACTCTTCTCTTTGTCATAGTGGAAAGAAGAATTCCCAATAAAATTTTAATTTGAAATATTATATTTCATTATAGCCAAAGTTAAATGATTACATCCTGTCATCTTTCATGTCAGCCACCAGATTTTGCAAGACAATACAATTTATCAAGAAAGAATAATATTATTATTATGTTTATTTCGATAAAAAAAATTATTGAATCATATTTTTATTCAAATTAAATAAAATGGAAAATTTTAAAAAATATTTAAGCACATCTTAAAAAAATCAAGTTTTATGCATGCAACATATTTACCATCGGTGGCGGTTATGCCATGTAAACACTAATTGAAGTCCTATGAAGAATATTCAAAGCTATGGAATTATTTTCAAGAAGCTTTACATTTATCGGAAGATCCTCAAGATTAGATATTTTGTTAATTATGTACTTCCAGCTTATAAAATTTATAATTATCACATGAATCTTATCTTATATACATTTGAATCATGGTCAGTACATAGATAGTTACATCTAAAGAAAGGTTTTGGTCCTAATTATGGACATATATAGATCTGTAATGATCTTGCATTTGTGTATCCCTAAGTTACACCTAAAGAAAGGTTTTGGTACCTGTGGAACTCTAATTATGGACATGTTTTTTAGAACTGTAATGATATTGCATCTATAAATCCCTTTTAAGGAAGTAGCATTTATTAATTATAATGTAGATAAATACATCTTTTTTTACACATATACCTTTAAACTGGAATAGTTACATTTGATCTATTTTAACTTTGTTGTGTATATCAGATAGATCTAAAAGACCACACAATTTGGTTATTGAATATTTCATTCCACTCTTGAATACACATAGAATATCTTTATTCTTTATAAGGAATAAAAGACATGCAATTTTATATTGAAAATTTTTTATTCCACTCACTAAGTATAAAAATAACCATACAATTAGATTTATTATAATATTCTACACTTCCTTTTTCAATTATAAGTTTACTTACACATATACCTTCTAAACTGGAATGGTTACATTTGATCTATTTTAAATTGTTGAGTATATCAGATCCAAAGTTAAGTGAAGGGTCACAACAATTAGATATATTGAATTCCTTATTTTTGTAACCAAAAGTTCACACAATTAGGTTATTGAACATTTCATTCCACTCGTGATTGTATATATCTACATCCTTTTGCAATTTATAAGAGCAAAGGATCATCCAAAACTAAATATTTTTATCACACTCAATTCCCTTAGAAGCTGAAATGGTTACATTAAATTGAACATAGACTATGATTATTGTATTGTATGGGTTGAATCATTAATAAAAAAATAACACTATATATACTGTTCAGGCAATTTTTTTTATTTTAATCATATTTATTTACAGATTCTATGAACATTAAATCTCAATAGTGATAGTAATCATCAAAACTTACATTAAAGAATTTAAACTTAAAATCAGCCTCACCCACCTATAAAGTAATTAAATTATACCGTAGTTCTTGGGTATAGGCTCTTTTTTACCCCACTCTTTTTTACTAAGCATATAGAGGTTTAAGCAGCTTTTTTCGAAATGTTGCGCCTACAAGTACGTGCGGCTTGCCCACAAACGTGTGAAGGGCTCCATTTTTCTTCCCCTAATTAACTATCCAGTTTGATGGATTTTGAGGAAAACCTAGCGTAGCTCTGTTGTACCCACAACCAGAGGGCGAAAACGCTTTTATCACGTATCACGTATGTTTATTTCCAAAAGTATTAAATTTATTTTCAGCATCATATACTCAATATTTATAATAAAAACAGTCCTGCCCATTATAATTAACATAGCCCTAAGTTATTTCAATCAATTAATGATAATAAACATTTTACTACATATAAACTCTCCTAACCCTCATCAAGTTCCACTTAGTTTCTTAGAATCAAACGGCTAACTTGGAATCATCTAAAATAACGTTTTATAACTAATCTTACCTCATATCAGAGCCCTAACACTACACTTATGGCAGGCATAACTAGTAGCTACTCAAGATACCAAGAAACAGTGACCTGAAATTATCGGTAGGGATAATTAATAATTTTATTTACAGCGAAGGGGGAAGATTTTCCTACATTATGTGTCATATTGTCCCCTTTGTCCTTGTCATTCTTTACTTCTTTTTTATATGATATTGCAAATTATGAAACTATCGGGTCCCCCAGTCCCGTTCATCGACAATCCCGGACCATCGAACTTTGTCGATCCCCCCCCCCCTCCGATTGTAGAACAGCCAACGTTCTTAGATCCAACTATTTCATATGTACAATTAAAAAATGAATGCATTTTTATTTTGTAATTGTAATTATGACATAAAAAATCTAATCTTACTAAATGGAATGCATACCTTATTTTTTATCTAATATATAAATTAAAGTGGTTAAAGGCTTCCTAAACTTATTAGCTAGAAAGATATTGCCTAAGCTCGAGATTTTGTTAATAGTTGTGTAAACCTCTGTGCCATCTGGGAGCGGTTGCATAAAAGTTTCCGAGATAAAATTTTGAGTTAGCCTTTTTTAAAATCGGCTCAAAACGAACCGCTTAGCAACACTAATAAAAACGTTAGATAATTTGGCAACACTTTAATGAAATTCTAAGTTTGCTGACTGCGCTATTGATAATGCCGATGTTGGCAACTCTAATCTAAATAGATTTTTTTACTAATGGGGCTGAGCGCAGTAATTTATTAAGCTATTTTGATCTTTATTCGACCCTGACTTAGTACAATATCTCCCCAAAACTCGTTCATAAACCACGTTAGTAGAGCAGAAAGATATTGGAAAGTATTTATATTCGATTATAAAAGAGTTCAGGCTAAGGTCTGTGTGTGGTGTGGGCTCAAGCATTTGATACTTTAGAAAAAGAGTGATAAATATATTTTGATTATTTCTTATTTTTATAAATAAAATTTATTCACCAACTTCCTTCCTGCCACCACATCTATGTTCTTTAAGTTGTGTGCAAATATATATTGTAATTTGATTCTATTTAATCGTTTTATACCTTCGATTGGTTAGTAACCATCTATATATTTTTTATAAGTAATACTTTATACATGATCCGCAGACGTACCATCACTGGTTTCCATGGACGAATCCCTCACCAGGATAAGATGCAATAAGCGTTAGTTGATTTATATTTTTGAAACTATACATTACCTTTTAGTTAAATATTTTGTAATTGATCTTTTTAAAGTTCATCTTTTAAAAAAGAAGAAGAACTCCTGCTGGGACCGGTTTCATTATAGGTGCTCATAAATATTGTATGGTGTTTGAATTATATTGCCATATGTTACATATTTTCCAATTTTTAATACTCAAAACTATCTCAATATTTATTCCAGACCATCCACATATATTCTTTCTCAACGTGTTATTTTACCTGCTTCCAGTTGTCCAGCATGTAAATCTTGCAGCATTGTTTTTTCTAAGTTATTTTGGAATGATCATTTTATCTGCTTTGTAAAAACAATCCTTAACTAAAATGGTAATACGTCTTTTTTTGCAAAGTAAAGTTTACAGCACGGAATATAATACAATTTTAAATAATTTACAGCAGACGATTTTAAGTTTAAAAAAATTTGAAGTACTCATACATAAATCTTAGAAAATTATACTATGAACTTGTGTTAAACTTTAAATCTATATGAAAAATTTATATAAATTAATCTATATTATTGAAATACATTTCCGGTCATCAGAAATTTAAAATTAAGAGATCCCAAATCTTCTGATATTGCATATAAGGTACGACACATATATTAGTGATCTGCATCGGGAATAATTTTATTACCAGGTGCAAATTTTTTTAAAAAATAATTTTCTTGCTCAGCTCCATCTTGAACGAATTTTTTTTATTTGTCCTGAAAAGTCCACCCCGAAATTTATTTAAATATAGAAAAAAAATAATTTTTACATAAAATAAATATTCCACAAATAAAATAATACTAGCGCCTTATTTCTTGCAAGAATTTTAAAATATATCAATTTATTTGACAAAATGTAATGATCTCATAATTTAAAAATTTGAGCCAGACCCAGCCCTTTTAAAAAATATTAGGCCCAACCCAGTCCGAATCTTAATTATTTTTAAAAAATAGACTGGCCCCTGATATGCTGATAATATATATATTGCACAATTAAAAATTAAAATCCTACCAATATTTTATTTTGAGTGTATTTTTTTTTAAAACTATCAGTACGCTTCCGAAACTCGAACATTCTGAAAAATATGTTCCAGAAAAGGTAATGGAAATATTTTTAATAAAAGACAAAGATTAGATTAAACAAAAAAAAATACATATATTCCAAGTCTGTGCAAAAAGAAATAGTAAAATTCTCTATAGTCACTGGCGTAGACAAGAAGAGGGGGAGTTAAAACCCGCCCAACAGAAAATAAAATTAGGTAAAAAATTTGTTTTCACAATACCTTTACATTGATATCTAGGCCAAAATTTGTTTACGTTTCTTTTAAATCGATAAAACCCCCTGATTAATTTTATAAATAAAATAACCTCAGAATTTCCTCTTTTAAAAGTTTCCTAAAAAATCGAGGAATAAAACAAAATTTTGTTTCATAATTTAAAAAATTTATTTAAAAATCGGGTTGCTTCGCAGAGAAGCTATCATTAGTATGGGAGCGTCATTTCTATTTTCAATTGCAAATGTACTTAGTATTGCTTTACTTAGAAATAGTTCAACCTTATCGCTTGAAGGGAAAAAATCAGCCATTATAATTGTTTTAAATTTGACCATACATAACCAATTAGTGTAATGAGACAGAACCAATGAACTGTTAAGTTAGGTGAGACCAGACCGTGGGACCATCGGTCCAGTCCGGTCTAAAAATGTTAAGATATAAAAATTTTATTCTGCATTAAATTTATTAAAAATGGAATGTATTAAATATCAATATTTTAATTATATCATCAAATCATTTTTATTATAAAATAATTGATTTCACATCTCTTAATAAATTCCGAGCTTAAAAAAGAATTTGAATTCAGTAAAATTTTGAGAGTTGGTTCTCTGTTTTTATTGTAATCCTTCATGATTATTTTAAACTACAAATTATGGGGTTTAAATTACTATTTCTTTTAATTAATTATTTGAATTTAAACCAATATCAATACAAGAAATAAAAAAAATATTATTTAAAAAAATACCAATATTTTAGACCCAATACCAATTCAATATTTCGTTAATCTTGGGTTTTAATATTGGTTCCCAGCCCTAATCATAACTATATGTAGGTTTATTTGATGAAGTTTTTAATATTTAAATTTTATAGCTCTCAATTGATATATATATCGTTTACTTCTGCTTGAAGAATTGGAAAATTTTGGAGATATATTTTACATGTTTTCCCAGAATTATCCTTTCTTAAAAATTTACATAATTCTTTAATATCTTTCAAATTTGAATTTGATCGATTTTTTTTATTTATACTACTAATACTATTTTCTAAATCAATAGTTATTCTTTCATCCCTAGAAGAAGGTGGTGGTTAAAAATATTATCATCTTCTATGATTTCAATTTCTAAAAATATAATACTACCTACTAAATTATACATGACGAATAAATGATACGGAATAATATAAAAAGTAAATGATGAATGAGATATTATAAAGTGTTAGGCATTAACGAATCATGTTTTAGGTGTTCATGTACATGATGTACATTAACTAAAAAATAATTCATAGTTAACTTTTTTTATCTTCTTTAATCGGTTTTCGGTCGGACAGGACCGTCGGACCCAATAGTCAAATGAGACCGAACTGGACCTGACGTCGGACCGACCGGATCATTGCAAACAATATACCTTCCATCTTATTTTGGTTTTACATTTTCCGAATCTGGTACAAGTTTAATTTTTAATATTAACCCTACTAAATTATAAGAGTATCAAAGCTATAACCAGATATTGTGTTGCTAAACGGCTTGATTTCGCCGATTTTTAAATCAAGATTTTAACCAAAATATTATTACCTAAACCTCAAAATTCCGCCAATATGTTTTTCATGCAAGGGTAACTTAGTTTTGGCTAAAATATCGAGTTTTTTAAATCGGCCAAATAGAGCTGTACTGCAGACATCGAGTCTCACTATTTTGAAAATATGATAAAAAGTCTATTTTATATGATAGTAATTATTTTTTAGATATTTCGTTTATTATTTTATTTATTATAAATACTTTGGTGCTTCTAGGTTCTCTATAAATCTTGATACGAATTTTAGTGATTTTGGTATTTTTTTATAACCTTTTTATTTATATTTACCAAACAGATTGAAGATTAAACTAAAATATATACATATTGATCTAAACTTTAAAAGTGATTTCAAAAGTTTGGAAAATTTAACGCTCAAATTTTTGAAAATATAACTCGATTCACAATATTTTACTTCTATATTTAAAAGACAAATAATATCTATAAAGATCATAGAAGCATTAGATTCAATAATATTTTGAATCGGTGAAAAAATTTTTAATGTATTTTTGAATCGCGATTCAAAATCCCATATTTTATTTATTTGGCTTATAACTTATTTTTTTTATTGAATGGGAAAACTAACGGATGAATTAATAAGTACTAATTAGGCATTACATATGATTTCAAAAAATTCAGTTCTTCTATAATATGTATTTTCATGACGCTAATCTTGGTAAATTTTCTTATTATAACAGCATTGCGTTTAACTTTAATCTATCTACTAAACGGATTGAAGCATTAATATATTAAATATGAACTAAACATTGATATACGTTTCAATGTTAATGCTTCAAGAAAGTTTGGTTGATTTCAAGCTTAAGGAGCGAAATATATGTATTCTACTTGGCTTATAAAACAGTTATTTTTTTGTAGGCAGGGAAATTAATTGGAGAATTAACAAGTACTAGCTAGGTACTAAATATTAGGGCAAACCAGAAATTTAATTCTTCCATATTTTCAATGCTATCATGATGCCAATTTCGCTTATCTTCCTATCACTATTTTTTTTTAACTAAACGGATTAAAATAATATATAATTAACATAAAATATTGATAAAATTTTCGGAATAAATGCTTTCAGTTGCATTTAATCGTAGTGTTAGCCAAAGGTTTGTTTTGTTACTAATAATTTTTTTCTTTTATACTGGCTATTATATTGGTTTAAGCAACCAGGGACTAATAAAGATTTTTGAATTAGTATTTACAACTGTTCAGCCATTTTTAACAGCAATGATATTAAGATTTTACATTTAAAAAGCAAAATATTAATAACCACGGGAAAATCAAATCAATATTATTTAATCATAATTTTTTATAGGAGACCCGACCGAAGCCATATAAATTGGGGTCTGGGGGGTGAAAACCCCCCAATACTTTTTCATACCCCTTCGGATAAATCTTGGACAAGCCACTGCCTATAGTATTATATTAAATATTAAGATAAAATTCATATTTTTATTCCAATTATTTGATTCGAGTTATATATTAACGATATATTAACTATAATGATAAAATTATCATAGGAAGATTTATAAACATTAAATAAATTAGTCAACCGATTTTAAATCATTAAGAATGAAATTAGCGAAAATCTTCATTTTGTGTTTCTTTAAAGTCTTTATACGCTTTTCTAATGGCTGGAAACAGGGTGGGGGCTCCTTCGGTTCCATAGGAATTGTATAAACTTGCAGCTGCTGCACACAATTTGAGGCTCGTATCTGTAGGTTGAGTCGACCAGGCAACTCCATATTTCCATAAAGTCACGTAATGTTCACAATTACTAGTTAAAATGTGATAAGGTACTTCCTGGTGGAGCAAATTCAAGGCGTTCCTGATTGTTTTCGGCGGGGAATTGGGAGGGTAAAGACCTTTGGCCCTGGCTTCGAGCTCTTTATTATTAATTCGAACTAAGGAAGAACCGGCGACGAGGGCAAACGAATCACGGGCCAACAAGGCCGTCGTTCCTGTAAAAGCTTCTCTCAGGGTAGGCGGGCCTCGGCGCCCGAAATCATTGTTGGTGTTGTTAGAATTAGCGCCACTCGGTGCATCACTAAAAGAATGTGACAAGGAACCAGCCAAAAAATTGGTAAGAGAAGGCATGGAGTCAAGGACTGACCTAATAGGAGGAACTTGAAACCAGGAAGCAGAAGATATTTTGGGTTGATCATTGGAAATGTGAGTGGCATTCGAAGATTGTCCATCATTATTTTGAAGGGAAGAACGAGGAACGTCCTTTTCAAAATCTTGGCCATTGTGAGCCCTAACATGAATGACAATTGAGCCGCCTTCAAAGAGAGCCCAGTGCCGGTACCAACCCCTGTGAAATTCGAGCAAGTCCCCTGGTTTAGCCGTGGTAAGAACCTTGTCCCATGTGAGAAATTGATTCATGTTTGGCAAGGCCGTGTCGACATTATTACCGGGTAGATTGATATCTAAGGAAGTGTATTCAAAATCTGTACCTATCATTTCAACCAGATGATTATCATCGATAGGTTCATCGGTATCATCGAGAAGTTCATCGGTATCATCGTTTTGATTTATCTGATTTTTACTATTATAAACGGATTGGACTTGATGAGTACCGGATTCACAATTATAGTGAGACGAGGTGGTTGCCTTACTGGGTTTATTGGTATTTGTCATCCAAGGTATTTGTATAAAGATCTAGAACTGGAGTGGAAAAAATGACATAATTTTAAAAATTAGCAAAATATGAACCGGCCTTGGAATGGAAATTTAAGCTAACAAGGTTTAGATAGGGGTATCTACACCCTTCTAAGTTAATGATGATTTACTCTCTCAAATGTATAGTATATTTTAGGGTTGGCAAAAATCCTGATTATTTTTTTAAAAAAACGCTTTTTTGATTGAAATAAAAATAAATCAAATTTTAATTAAAGAATTAAGGGTGATTGTAAAATATATATTTTTAAATTTCAGTTTAATATTATCTTACAAGTAAAGGACAAAGGCTCAAGGGAACAAGTCGGGAAATTGTTGAAAATTAAATAGTATGTTGTAATTTGATATTTTTTTAATAAAGAGCAGATGAAATATAATATAGTTATTTTTTTAAAAAAATCAACATCAATTGTTTGCTAAAATAAATTTTTGTATAATTTTCTGATAAAAATACAAATGCCAAATAAAATTTAATTTTTTCAAACTAAAATTAGCTATTGATATTTCTCAAGCGGTTAAGAATTATCCGAATTTAAAAATCTTTAATGGTTGGAAAAATTTGCAAAGGTTTTTCGCCATCTTATATGCTAATAAAAAAATAAGTACTAATCAACTTTCATCCTTTGCTAAAAGTTACAATCAGGCTTTAACACTTGCACATTTCTTATCCTACCTTTTAAATCCGAAATAAATATCATTCAAATTTAACAATCAATGAAATGGGAAAGGCAAGGGAAAGAGGGGGGCTTCCCTATCCTAAAACTGACATTTTATCTATCTTGGTAAAGTTTCAAGCAAGATCAGAGCCATTTACTAAAATTATGTTTTCGGATCTTATAGTAAATAAAGTAGACCCAATTGAATGGTGGGTGGCCCAAAGGAAATTTGATGAAGAATGTAAATATTCTAAAAATAATATAACAACTATTTAATGCATCTTCATAATCACTTACTTAATTTTTTTGTTAATTAACTATATTATTTATAAATTTAAGTGTTTTAGCTCAAAAAAAAATACATATAAATAAGGATATTATAATATTTTTTCAAATAGTATTAATCAAAATCTTAGCTCGAAATTAGAAACGAAATGAATAAAAAAATGTCCGGTCTGCTATGAAGATTTTAAGAAATGGTCACCCGGCCTATAATTTTATATAAACAGGGGAATAAACTTATATTTCCATTCTTATCATTCCATCTAGTGTTTAGGCGACTCTGCCGAGTCAGCTTTAACGATTCTTGGTAAACAAACATAATATAAAATTATATATTTTTATTTATTTTAAAAAAATATATTAAAAATGTAGTTTTGTTTAAAGGTCAGCATTAAGCGTTTGGACCAAAAGCACGCCCATCCAATGTTAAAAAAAATTTTAACCCGCCCGCCTATAGTTTTCAAAAAAATATACCCGCCCACCCAACCCATTTATCTAAAATTTCTTACCCGCCCGCCCATTATTTATAAAAAATTTTTAACCCAAGCCCTTATAAAATTTAGGTCATTCTTTCATTTTTTTAAGCATCTAATATAAATATTTCAGCATTACACCTCTACAAAAAGTTTATAATTTACGAAATTAATATAAGTATAAAAATAATAAATGTAAATTATGGACAATTTTATTTGATCAAATTGAATATTTATGAAAAAAATATAAATGTAAAATTAATATTATATCTAATTATAATGCAAAAATAATAATGAATCGACATTTTCTGGATTTAAGCACGTTCTTCTTTGTTCTAAAAATCTTCCAGCAATGCTAAATCCGCGTTCGGAAGAAGCACTAGTTGCAGAAATTGCCAATATCTTTCTTTTGCTAATCTTGATAGCTTTGGCACCCTTTCTTGTGTTTCCACCAAAGTAGGATATCCGTTTGAAGTATATCATAATATAGTTAGGTAAATGTTCTTCACTTAAAAAAAACGATTGGTACAATAAGAAAAGAAATTTATAGATCATTTAAACAATTATTTTTTTTAGTTTGTTTTTGAACAAAAATTTTAAATTCCTTAACCCGCCGGCCCATTGTTTAAATTTCTTAACCCCCCCCCCACCCATTCTCAAAATTTTTTTATCCGCCCGCTTAGATGGGCGGGCGGACCGAAATCCCGCCCAATGCAGACCTCTAATTTTGTTAGCGTCTATGTGTTATTTATACAACTATAAATAATTTATTGAGCGCGTTTTTTTTAAATTTTTATCGTAAATATATTCTATCATGTTTGGAATACCTATCTTATGAATCTGTTAACCTTTGAGTCATGTATAATTTATATAAAAAATATATGGAAAATTTAATATAAATTATATTAAGTATAAAAGTTCATGGTGTCTGACAGGGTAGGTATTCCAAATATGGCGGTTAACATTTCCGGTAAAATCAGATTTTTAAATTTTTAAAAACGCGCTCATAAACGATTTAAAGTTGTAAAAATAACACATTATTGGAAAAAACACATTGGCGCTAACATGTATACTAGGAGAAATATTTTATTTCATAAATATAATGCTTTTTGTTTTTCATAAGATTTAAAATAAAAGGAAAATTCTTTGAAAATAATATAATAAGTATTGGTGGCTAAAAGCATATTTTGCAAAATATTTTTCAAAACCAGGCCGAAGTTTTTGAAACTATCTTCAAAGAACAAATTTATGTCGTTTTCAAAATATCGAGTCTTGCGCAAATCAATATGTTAATTCGATAAAAAAAATTTCCGTTGGTAATAGTGCGCACAAATTGAGCGTTGCAACGCTCCGTTTTAAAAGCTAATAATGCATTTTAGATGGTATTGTGCAAATTGGATTTTTTTACGGCAAGCGTTAAAAAAAAAGCAAACTGGTTTGATTTTTTTAATGCTTTTTTAATTTTGCGCTAAAATTTGATAATGGATACAAAATTGTAATTATAATTTATCTCATATATTAATTGAAATTATATCATTTAGAATATATTAATTGATATTTATATAATTTTAGAATATATTAATTATATTTTAGATAATTTTAGAATATATTTATATAATTTTAGAATATATTAATATAATTTTAGAATATATTAATTGAATAAATTTTAGATATCAACCATTAGTTTAAGGTAAAATATGAACAGTGATAAATTATATTTTTATTAGCATGGAGATGGAGTTTCCACAGCATGATACAACTGTATCATAAAGAAGAAGTTGAATATATATATATATATATAAAATTCATGAAGCCAATGATAAAGGACAGAAAAACTACTGACAATTTTAGTCCTAAAGAAACTACACCATAATGGTTTAAAAATAAATGCACTCATGGGTGAAAGACTTTTGGCTCTTTTGGAAAAGGTGCCATCTGAAAGCCAGTAAAATATATTTTTTTGTCTATAAATTTAATATTATTTTAGATCAGAAGGCTTGGAAAGTATGAGCCTTTCAAATAAATACTTTTCAATTGTGTAGTATCAAGATTGTATCATACTTTGATGGAGCAATCAAAGGATCAAAATACTATAGAATTATCACCAACAAATTCAACAGAAACAACTTTAAATCAAACATTGAATAAATTTTATCTTAGTTTATTTATTTCTGTAAATATGTTTATTTATATATAATAAAGTAATATTCCATATTATAGTGTCCATTTTTGAAAAATATATATAAATAAGCAAACTATTCAAAATTTATTTAGCATTTTTAATAAAATATATAGATTATTATAAATATATTAAGGTAGGATAAACAAATAAATATTATAATAATCAAATTATGAAATGAGATTGAGTAAACAGTTATGAAAATCCAATAAATAAAAAAATCAGGAGTAACATGATTGGAAGAAGTTACAATTAAGATCTAATAGTGTATATATATTATAAATTTTGACACAATAATTAATTATTGAGATCAAAATTTGAAGCCTTTCTAGGATTTTAATTCATTGACATATAATTTATCCAATATTATCTTTAAAAATAAAATAAAATATTATGTATATAAACAGAATAATAGTGTTTGATTTTTTAAGATATTGACTATTTATATCTTACTATGTTTTATTGAGCTAACAATATTTTATTTTGACATCATTTTATTTGATTATAATAAAAAAATTCAAAAACCAATTAAATAAAATTGGGCAAGATGGTATGATTATACTATTTTAATAAGATATTTAATATTCATACATGTTCTAGTGTATATTTTTATTATTAAAGAATTGAAAATGTAATTAAATTATTTTATTTGCATTATTTGTAAATTATAATGTTCTCCTCATCCTTGTATAATTAAAATAAGCAATTAGTTGTTTATCTTGTAAACTAAAGAAATCCATATTGTTTAATAAAAATTAAATCACGTTTCAATTTTAAAACAAGGAAAAAACGTACTGCTTTCAATTTAAACAAAGATGCGTTGCGTTAAAAAACGTACTGCAAACGCAAACGCTCAATTTGTGCGCACTATTAATGAATTTTAAAAATAATAACGAGATAAAAATATGTCAATGTAGTTATAAGATATTTAAATCATTTCTATAAAGCTCAGATTTGTAAATTTTTTAAAATATGATATTTATTATTATCATTGGTATAATATTAATTAAATATTATTATAATTAATTTTGGCAGCAAACAAAAATAATGATAATTTAACTTTCAGATTTCAAGCAGACTTGAGTTCATGACTGAAGTTCAAAATGGTGATACATTATAATTAATTTTCAATGATATTCTTTTTGTTTTTTAAAAAGAGTAAAGTAAAATCCACAAGTCTATAAAATTTTTATTACAATTTTAAATGTAATAATAATCAATTAGTTCTTTCAAAATTAATACATAAGTTAAAATAAATTATTTTATCAAAATACAAGTACATAAAAAAATGTAATAGATAAAACAATAAAATTGCATTTTAATTTATATATAATATAACTGAGAAAGTATTTAATAATTTTAAACTGTGCCTATTAATATTTTATGTAAAAATTTTACATTTACAAAACTAAAAAATAATTTAATTTAAAACTGCCAGGGTTTGGGAAATTTTCAGTATGCTTTTTAAAATCTTGTATTTAAGATAATAGATATATAGCAAAATTTTTAATAAGATACAAGATACTTTTATACCCATCCCCCTATTTTTTATTAAAATATATCCAAAAGTTCAAAATGAGCAATTTGTATGATGTTATTGTAAATGACAAGATCCAAAAAAATATACTATAAAACTTAAGGTTTATTTTTACCCAATTGAATTATAAAGCCCTTTTAGTTTTCACTCACTTTTGCCCTATTGAGAATTATTTGCTACTGATGAAGGTTTACATTTGTATAATATAATGGGCAAAAAAGATAGGAATGAAATATTTACTTCTTACTATAATTAGGCTGACATATAAGACTTGAAAAATGTAAGATCTGTATATGGACATTCTAATGTACTATCATTTATAATTTTTGGGGATTTTCATTAAATTGTTGTTCAAAATTATCATAGTTCAAATTTTTTCATGAATTTATTCTTCGATTAAAATTGTGGGCTTTTTATCTACTGGAATACAAAAAAATCAAAGAGTAATCATGTTTTATATCATATGCTATAATGGATAGAGTTCATTATGCTGAACTCTATAACATTCTTAAATTATTTTATTTTTATTTGTTACTTGGCAGCTTTGGGGTTTTAAATTTTTAATCCTGACCTATATTTGAAGCTAGTTTTTATATTTTTGATATATTGCTCATAAAGGTTTTTTAAACAAAAAATTAATATTTAATGATTATTTTATATTTAATATATATAATAATTATATAAAATATAATATCTTATAATTAAAAATACAATTAAAGTGGAATAAAATAATTAATAAATTGTGAAAATAATTTTTAAAAACTGTGAAAGATTAATACTGAAATAGGGCATGACTAAAATACGCGCCCCCGAATCAAAGTTAATTTAAATTATATTATTACAGAATCGTATTTAGCTTCATATGAGTTAGAAAATGTTTTTTTTTATTTAAAAAAAATGGCAACATAGTAAAATTTTTTAAAAATTATTTTTTTATATGACTAAACTATGTACCCCCTATCAAAGAAGCATAATATATAAAAAATGAACGCTGAATCATACATAATTTATTAAAAGGAATCAAAAAATGTTAATACTAAGTTTATAAATTATTTATAACTTATTGAGATTTTGAAAAAACACTTTCTTCTTTTTTGACTAAATTTTTTTAAAAATTTTTCTATGTTGCCATTATTTTAAATAAAAAAAACATTTTCTAACTCATCTTATGAAGCTAAATACGATTCTGTATTAATATAATTAAATTAAGCTTCTTTAATAGAGGGCACGTATTTTAATCATGCCCCTGAAATAATTTAAAACCTGAGAAAATAAATAAAAACCTTCCAAATGATTAAAAAAACTGTGATAAATTTAAATAAACAACATATATAATTACTTCTTTTAAACTGGTATATTATTTTAAACAAGAATTCTAATATGTTATGCCAACCATTTGGTCAATCAGGATTGGTTCAAAATGCTATAACAATCTAATGGTTAGCTGCCTTCAGATCAAATTTATAAGTCTGGTTCTAATCTGGTCCAGTTGATCCTCACTATCTAAATTCCAGTTACTTAATTTGAAAAAAGTTTTATTACCCTTAGTTGGATAGAAAGTGACTAGGTTAATGTCAGAAAAACATAATTGATGTATTGATTGATGCACAATTTTACACAACTATTGTGTTAAAAACCCTATCCAAGTTGATTTTAAAAAACAACCAAGATAAAATCATGCATGCCTAGAGATTTTGCTAATATATTTTAACTATAATTTTAATTGGGGGCCGTTTAAAAAATCGACCCGAATTGGACTTTTTAACAAAAGTACTGGAAGCAAACCACCTAAAACCTATACCCACCCACTTATCATTATTAATTATACGTTTTATATTAAAGTGGTGCTTTATTCATGTTGACTATTATTTCGTCACATGTTATTTAAAAGGGTTAGACATTCTATCAGCAAACAGATCCCTTTATATTCGAATATGTTACAAATAAATCACCGAAATATTAATCACAGTCCAATCAATTCAAACAAAATATCAAGAGACGTAGTTTTTGTTATGTTATATATTTAATTTCTGCTATAATGAGATTTAAACTAGGTGAAAAAGTACCTAATTTATTTTGTCTATGATTTCAAAAATAAAATTACAATAAAAATATACTGGGACACAAACATGATTAGACTTCCGAACCAGTCAAAATTTTAGCAAATTGATAACCATGATCATAAATAATATAAAACTAAAAATCTCAACAATTCTTTCCATTATAAAATATAATAATTTTTATTAGTTACCTATAAAGGTCTGCTTTATCTCTGATCATGATATATTTTTAAAATAATAAAATTTCCCTTGGAAATTATATGACGCCCAACTGAATCACGATAATACTAAATATATTCCAATACACCCCAATTAATTTAGATTTATTTCACTATTGGAGCTATTATATATTTCTGCCTTCCCTATATACTATCCATTGATAGAGATAGCATCACCCCTCTCCAATTAAACAGGTCCTGGAAAATTACTGCCCAGAATCTTAAAAATGCTCCTGCATATTTATTTGGAATTTCTCTCCAGTATACATATAAAAGATTATAGCCCTGCAAATAATCTGATGGGATTTAGTGTTCCCCGGCCAGTTCAAATTTTTCCTCGATCCTGTTGTATTTTCTTTATCCAAGGTTTCCCGATCTGGGAATTCTTTAAAATTCAAAATAACCAATAATGATGAGGGTTCTGGTTTCATGAATTAATTATCAAAGCAATAAAATAAAATGTAGGAAAAGGGAAATTACATTTATGAATGAATGACTCTTTAGAATAACTTTTTTCTATTCTCTATTCATTAGGCGCGCTAAACATCTCTACTTTATGCCCGTCTGGCTATTTAACATTTTTACCCGACACGATTAAATTATATAAAGACGTTAAATGGCCCGGCTCTGGGCTGGGTACTGGGCATTGCAGATCTCTAAAAAACACTCATAACTGACTGAGGATTTGGACATTGCAGAACAACACAACTCTAAGAGTTTCGAAACCCCCATTACGTTATTATGATGAATTCAATTTATAGTGGGGAGAACTGTAATGTATTAATATAAAATGATTTTGTTAATTTGCTTTTATCCTACAATTTATTATAATAGACAAAATTGAAAAACATATAAATATATTTTATTATATTAAATAAATCACTTTATATTAATGTAACTATAATGATTGTTGTTTACCTGTTATCTTTGGTTAACTTTAAAAATCGGGTAAATATACTTTATAACTACTTATTTTTTTAGAAGTAACTTATAAAAATAACTAGTTACTTTAGAAACCCTTTTCCAATCAATTTTCTATTTGTAAATTTTTTATAGTTTATTTTATTCAATCTAGGGACCACCACGAACAAAATTATAATGATAATCAGTAAAGAAAAAGCTTTATATAATCTTATAAAATAATAAATATCGTACACAATAGAAGTAATAATATAATATTAATAGATGGTGATAAAAAATTTGTTTTAAAATTTTTTGGCTAATTATCTATCTATATTTATATAATTTTTTTATTGGCTAGTATCTATTTATATTATATAAACTATTCATATTGACGTTATATTTTACCTAAGGCCTTTAGCACTCAAATAATTACATCAGATATAAGGCGATTTTAAAAAAAATTAATGATTAAAAATAGATATATTTGGCAACATATTTTAATTGTATAAGAGCTCATAAATTTAGACAAAATCAATGTTGCTAAAAAATAGAACATCATTTGGTAAATTAAAAAAAAATGATAACAAATTATACAAAAGGAAGAAGCTTGTGATTTAAAGCTAGAATAGAAATAAATTTTTGCATAATCTATTTTTCTAGTCATAATCCTTGAGTTGAATTTTCTAATATATCATTGATTTTTCCAATTATTATCTGTATATAAATAAATAATATAATAGAAGAGATTTTTTTAAATGATAATAAGTGAAAACATATTGTCATTATGTTAATTGATATTATTTTAGAAAAAACAATGATAAAATATAAAAGATTTTAAAAGGTTTCTTTGGGAAAATCAAATAGTTTCCTAGAAACAACGATTTAAATGAAATGCAAATTTTAAAACAGATTGCAATGTTCCCATCAATATGTAATATTGTTTTAAAACTATAACTTACAGGAACCAATCGGATTTTTGTGATCGTTTAAAAAGGATAAAGTTGTCAAATAATATAATTTCTATATATTCACTGAAACGACCCTTGGAATATAAGCCTAATTAATAGATAAATTAAATTCCGTCCAACACCCATTGCAATTGAAAATTCAGAAACAAGGAAATATCATTTTGTCCTGATAGTTATCTTAATAAATGAATTATTTGATCCTGCCATAATTGATGGGGGGGGGGGTCCTTAATATAAAATTTAAAATCCATTTTGCTGTGTTCCGGAGAAACTATAATATTTTTTTGAACTTCCGAGGATATCTTTTAATTTTCTTTTTTAAAAATATTATTAGACTGGCAATTCATTCATCTAAAATATGAATCTATACAAATCAGCTAGGGGTACGCCATTTTGATTTCCAATATAAACAATTTATAATATCAATTTTTGTAGCCAAATTGGCGCCTCAGCTGATTTGTATTCAACATCAACGAATCTTCAGTCCAGGTAAATATTATATAGCGCTGCCATGAGCCCAGCGGAAGATTTACTGGGGCTCTAATGTAATAGGATAAAAAATGAAACGTACCTCAGCTCTATTTTTATTTTTTAAATGAATAACGTGGAAATTTTCGTCGTCCTTGGACATAAGGGATTGAATGCATTTCTTTTTCTTGGGTTCACCCTTGAAAAAAATGAAAAAGGTAAATAACTTTTATATATAATTCATTCATAGAATAATAACATTCCTTTTGAATGAATCGAATAATTTACTATTTGTATTCATACGAATAATAATATATACTAATCTTATTTGATTCATAAGATTAGGATTCATATTAGTCTTTGAATAGGCATACTAAAAAAAATTTAAAATTATGGGAAATTATATTAAATCTTCTAATCTTTATATGATTAGCAGAGTTGTTAAAGTATCTAGATATAAAAATGTAGTATCTGTATCTGTATCTAGATAGATTTTTTAGAAAGGTATCTGTATCTAGATATTTTTTTAGAGGTATCTGTATCTGTTTTTAGATACTTTTTAAGATACATTTTATATACCCCTTTTTTTTATTATAAATAAAAATATTTGACTGTAAAATTTATTTTATTTCATATGATATGATATGAAATAAATAAATATATATATATATTATATATTAATATTTATTAATACTATAACAAAGAATTATATATACATAAAATATTAAAACTTATATATAAAAAATATATATAAATATTCATTAATTTAAATATTATGTCCGAGTTTATCAATAAACCATACAAATTTTAATATTACAATATGGAAATGGTAAATTTTATTTTATAACTAAATTTTTAAGTTTATATATTTATTTAGATCTATATCGATGAAGAAAAGGAAGCAACAACAAGTTCTATTGCTTTACCATGGCCAATTTATAGAGCATATTTTAAAATAATATCTCAAAACAAAGAAAACAATTCTCTGATGGTAAAATGTTTGCCGTGTCTACCTAAAAATACAAAAATATCCGTCAGTATGACTTGAACGTGCAGTGAAGCTCATAAGGGTATAGATATTATATATTTAAAATTCTAATTTAAATTTTAAGAGAAAACATCCAACCTTGTTAACAAAAATAAAAAAGGGGAAGGAAAATAAAACTACCAAAGAAAATAATGGACAAGGCTCATCCTCCAATAATATTTTTGCTAAAAGACCTTTGACTTTAACTCAAGGCACTTTAGATGATTTAATTATTGCTTTTATTATAGATGGCATGCAGCCATTTTCAATTGTTGAAAATCCTTCTTTTAAAAAAATGATCAACACTTTGGCTCCACACAAAAATATAATTTGCCGACAGACAGTTGTTGGTAGAATTTCCCAAAGATGGGAAAATGAAAAGAAAGAAATAATTAAAAGTCTTATAGAACCATCATTAATATGCACAACAGCAGATTGTTGGAGTGCCAATCGCCGGTATAGCTAACATTTAAATTTGTATAATAATTAAGAATAAATTATTTCAGCAATTTTAAGAAATTTTTATTTTTAGTTCATACATAGGAGTAACCGCTCACTATATAAATCCAATAAGTTTGGAAAGAAAAAATATAGCGTTGGCTTGTAAAAGAATGACTGGTAGTCATACATATGATAAAATAGCAAAAAATTTACATAGCTAAGGATGATTGCATTCAAAATAAAATTTCAAAGACCATTACAGATAATGCCAAAAATTTTATAAAATGTTTTAGGTTTATTTTATTATAAATAAATATAAACATAATATATGATTGATTACTTAATTAATTAAAGAGTTTTCAAGCCAATTGAAAATAATACAAGTGAATCAATTGATGATCTGGAAGATGAAGCAGTTGTGCCAATTTCTATATCAAATCTTTATTATACTGATTCTGAATTATCAGAATCATTTAGTTTACCTCATCACCAATGTTGTGCCAGTCACACATTGAATCTTTTAGCCACTGTGGATGCCAATAGAGCCATGCAGTGTAAACAATATCATAGGGTAAAACTAATTTTAATTAAATAAGTAATATTTTCTTCATTAGATATATAGCAAAACACTACATAAATGCCAAAGTATATGGAATAGGCAAAATAGGTCTCCTATTTCATCTGAGATTTGGTCGTTATTTTATATGTCCTAATATAACTAGATGGAACTCCACCTATAATGCCTTACAATTAATGTCAGAAATATAAAAGCTAAATCTGACAAAGTGGACAAGATATGTGATGGAATAAAACTACCTAGGTTTTTACCTAATGAATGTGATTTTATTCATGAATATTGTTTAGTAAGTTATAAATAATATTTATATATATAGCATTATTTTAAATTAGCTAATGAAGCCAATAGCTAATTCCCTTGATATTTCGCAGGGAGATAAGTATATGTACACAGCTTATTACTGTGCAACTATTTCACAACTTATTATCAAATTAAAGAATTTTAAAGAAATGAACCTGAGATTCTGTTTACCACTCTTAGATGCCTTACTTAAAGGGATTGAGGATAGGTAAATTAATATAATAAATTAAAAATATTTAATAATTCTAGGTTTATTGTGACCTTATTTGAAGATGATAATATTATAGCAACCATGCTCCACCCTTTTTTTAAACTTGATGGACATGGTTGCAAATGTAAGAAAATCTTAATAAAAGAAAACAATTGATACAAAGATTAACTGGTGAATTATCAAAGTCATCAACTGACTGCAAGCAAATAACCTACCAAAAAAAAAATTTAATTTCAGATTTTTTTCAGTACCATACAGCAGATATAATTTCTAATAATGATTTAAATTTTGATAATCAACAAATTTTAAATAATTTTTTCAAAAATAAATGTAGAGATTTTAGCATTTTTAAAGAATACCCTGATATAATTGTTATTTATTAAATATAACACTACAATTCCTTCAAGCGTCCCTGTGGAAAGACTATTTAGTGTTGCTAAAAATGTCTTTACAGATAAACGAGGATGCCTAAATTATCAAAATTTTGAAAATATTTTATTACTGAAATCTAATAATTATTTATAATTATTTAATCATATATTTTCATATATTATATTAAAATCATTATTTTAGTTATATTCTGATAAATGTTATATCGCGTCAATAAATTTTTTAGCTCATTTCATGAATTTTCACAATATAATATTAATTTAGGTTTATGCAAACCTATAAGAGCATAATAAAAAATGTATCTGTATATAGATACATTTAAAAATTGTATCTGTATCTTGATAACTTTTTAGACGCTGTATCTGTATCTAGATAACTTTTGAGACTATGTATCTGCATCTAGATCCATTTAAAAAGTATTTTTTAACAACTCTGATGATTAGTATTATAATTTTGATAATTTGGTTATAATATATTTTGTCTGTCAAAATAAGAAATGCTGTTTTAAATATCAAAGAATGGGTTCGTTGGAAGGGGAAGAACGCGAGGTTCCGCGAACCCAAATTTCGAGCACACCTAAAATACTTTCCAAGAGTACACTAATTTTTTAAGAATGATAGGAGGGCTCATGACGCTACTGATATTTAATAATCTAAAAAAATAAATTAAATTTCAAATTAAAAAAAAACTTTAAATTCTATCTTAATCCCGCCAAGTTTGTCTGAATAGATTGGCTGCTTGACTTTGTCCCAATTATTGGACCAATTTATGACCCATTGTCCGAATAATTCGCCTTTGGAAATCATGAATATGCTCCTAAAACAAAATTTTAAATTTAATTATAATGTTTTATATATTTTCGAATCCTAAAATTGTTTTCTAATAAAATTACATCATTTTACATTGAGTAGTAAGTGTATCATTTTAACTGTGTAAAGTATTCCTTTTTAAACTCATTTTTTCCGGTTTAAAATGATATACGGTTCAAAATGATATACTTTATAAATTTAAAAGAATTAATTTCAAGCAGAGGCGTGGCGCAAAAATTAGAAATCCCTCGGGAAAGAAAGAAGATCTTTTATTGGGTCACTACCCATAATTTGAGGAGGCTTCGTGTCACCGCTCTTAAGCCTCTGATTTCAAGATTAGAACGATACTATAGAAGTTTAAATGAATCCACAAAAATTGTAAAGAAAAATATGACTAAGAAAATAATATCATACAAATGATGAATAAAATATAATATATCTTTTTTTATTCAAACTCGTTGGTCAATATAAGCACATTTTTCATATCGGGCGTTAAAAAAGTATGGTAAACGTAGGTTTGTTCGGAAAGTCCTTTTTCAACTGCCTTTTTGTTTATATATTTTTTTTAAAAAAATCAGTCTTATAAAAAAAATTTATTTGGTTATATTTTAAAATTACGGATAATTTAATAAGCCATTAAGGTAGAGATATATGATGTAGATAACGTAATTTAAATATGAGAGAAGCAGTCCCTGTTCCTCAACCACATAAGATTTTTCATCCTAAGATTATCATTCTTTCCAAAATGTTTCTCAAAAGATATTTTCATCTAAGAAAAAAGAATAGTTTTATAAAATGAATTTGCGAGGTCTTAGGTATATTATCAGAAAAAATAGATTATGTAAGAAATTTGTGGTATAGTATTAAATATAGAATTTTTATATATTCCGATAAATTTATTTGTATACCCTGAAAATTTCGTATCCTTCCGCCTCATTGTAATCGTAAGGTCTAATGACACCGTCCTTTTGGATATACCTCCTAGGCCTTAATCGGTGTACCTCTTCTACATTTTCCGCCAGCCTAGAATAATAGAACAAACATTATAAACTGCTACAATAAATAACTCGAGCTAAATAAAACAAAAATGGAAGCCAGCATAAAACGTACAACTTAAAGACTTTTAATCGTATTAATACTAACTAATAATAATTTAATAAATGAAAATATAACATGTATAAAAATAAGAATAATATAAATTTAAAAAAAACGGATATATAATCAAGACTAAGAAATTTATTAATAGTAAATTAGGAGTTATGGGTAAAACCTACTCGAACGATAAAAGAACAAAAATTTATTATATGGCATGCAAATATATTGGAAAATACAATTAAATTAGATTTTTACTTTGTATTATATTATATATAGATAATATTAAAGTTGCATATAATCAAACAGAATTTTAAAAGGGTATAAGAGAAGATCTTTCATTGCTTTTTAAATTAAACGGCAATAGTTTAATATATTGCGATTCCAAAATACTTTAGTTATAAGTAGAAAATTAATTTTAAAAGTTTTATTCGTCAAATGAGGATATGAAATGATATAATTAGCTCGAATTATACTAATAGCGACCCTTAGACGAATGCAAAAGCCTTCGTTTGAATTTTCGGTCTTAGATTTAAAAATTAAAAACGTTTACCTTTTAATACCTTGGAAGGAAGAGGAAGCGAAATCAACGACGCCCGAAGTAGGCCTAGCCACTACTCCAACTAATCCTTTGCCAAACCCTTTAAAAAACCCGGTAGCTCCTTCCTGTTTAGCGCCCTCTATCGGCTTTTTTACTATACCCGTAACGCCTTCGTAAAATCCCTGAGGCGATTTATGCATTGGTTGTTATTTTTTTTAAAAAAATATGTGAGAATTGTTTATATGAATAATTTAATAAAAAAATAAAAATTAGTTTAAAGCCCATATAAAAATTGAATTGCTTCAAATATGAAAAATTTAACAATGACATTGATTGAGCAGTTACAAGAGAATGATAGGTATGAGGTTTTTATCTCTCTTATATCTGATAAGTTAATTTTTTTAAGGAAGCTTATAAATCACACCTGATATCCGATTATCAGAAATACTGTAAAAAAAAATATGGCAAGCGTTAAAATATACTCAATCCAAAGAATACTTGTTTATAAATAAATTCCTAAATTTTATTTTAAAAAAAAATTAACCATAACTAGCCCTTTGCCGCCCCGCGCGACGCCTTCTTTCAAATCAGCCGGGCGTTTGTTCATTTCCTCTCTTCGAGACTTTTGATAATCCTGATCCATAGTGAGCGCGGCTAAGCCCTTGCCTAGTGTGCCAGTTATTCTGGAGACGGCTCCAGCTGCGCCGCCTTTGAATTTTGTAAAAAAAATTTAAAAAAGAAACTTGTTACAATTATCAACAGCTTGAAAAACTTAAACTCGCGTCATTCATTAAACAAAGATTATAAAGTACTGAAATTTGTTTTAATCTAACTATCCTGTTGAACAATTTAATTACAATTTTTTGTTAAACCTATCGTATGTCCAAAGAGACTTCGAACGCCTAAAGCTAAGCCTTGAGCGAATTCTTCTGGACCCTGAATTGCACCCTGGATGTTATTATAATTTTTGTAAAGAAACATTGCTATATTTTTTTTAAATGTAAAAAAAATTAACTTTGTATATTAATGACTGAATATATAAAAAAAATATATATTAAAATTAATAAATTTTTGTATATACTTGATAAGGTTCGTAAAATAGATCTCCCATGCCTTCCGTTAGACCTCTAATAAGCCCGAAAGGGTTGCCCAGTACATCTAATCCCAGAACTAAAACGTACATTTGCTTGAGAGCCTGAGTCGCGTAATGTTTTGTTACTTCATCTGAAGTTGGTTATTTCAAAAATATTAAAAGAAAAAATTATCCAACTTAAATTCGCAAGATTTAAAGAAGGAAGGAAAGATGTTGTAGACTGGTCTGTGTTTTTTAATAAAAAAAAAGCCTAAAGGGTATGATCTAATAAAAAGAAAGCAAATTAGAAGTTATTGACGATGATAATTATAATTTTCATTCATTTGATTTTACATACAATTTGAAGGTATAAAGATAAAAACTAGGATTATAAATTAATATTTTCGTGTATTTCAAAAAATAATTTAGCAGAAGTATCTATTTTTTTTAAAAAGGAAGAAATATTTGTTAAAAAAAAACGTGTGAGTTGGGCCTGGGTATAGAACCGATAATTGCGTTCAAAATAAGCCAGCTTGAATACGACGTCGTCAATATCGGCCAAAGTTACGCCCACGCTTTGAAGCAAAAAATTAAGGGCGGCAGATCTCAGAGCGGGAGCTTGGGCTCCGCCTGGCGTAGGTGTAGTTGGATAATTACTATTGGCAGGACTTATGGTGATTTCGGAAGAAGCGCTCTCCCGGGTTTGAGATTGTTGAGAATGCTGCTGCTGTTGTTGCTGGAAAGCAGTTATATTGTCTCCTTTAAAATAAAATTGCGATGAAAAAAAATTTTCAACAATACAATCCCTTTTAAAAATAATTCTTGTTTTTAATTACACAATAACATTAAGATGGTTTTTATCTTTATTTATTAAAGAAAAGAGGCAAGCAATGTTATGTTTAACCTCAAATAATTTATTTTAATAATAAATTAAAAATTATACCATCATTCTTTAAAAAAATTTTTTTATTTTAATGTAGTAAAAAAAAACAGTTAAAACGTGTTGTGGTTGGACAGACGGGTCCCCCCGTTAGGGAAGTCGAGAAATTAATGTAACACGATAGTCAATCAAAAGTAAAATTATATTATCATATAATCGGACATAAAAATGAAAACTAAAATCAAATATTTAATGAATATAATTTATTTTTCCGAAGTCTTATATAGTCCCCATTTTTTAATTAAATGATAATAAACAAATATTAATTTCCATCCATGTCCATCTCGAAAATTAGCTAGAACCAGTTTTGAGGATGAAATCAAAACAGGGTGGTATAAGTGAACAAAGAAAAAAGTGAATGGTAATATACGAGTATGGTATAAACAAAGAGAAATATATAAATGGTAAACATGTTATCGTTTGAAAACACAACAAAAATTGTTATTTAAAAAAAATTAGCATTAAAATTATTAAATCTTTATTTAAGAATTTATTTTTTAAGAAAAATAATAATGGGAGAAGGAATGTTTCCCTTGCTTCTATGAACGCTTCGTATTTTAATAAAACCTTAAAACTCAGATCATTTACAGAGCATGTTTTTTAAAAAATTCTTAAACAGCTGATTTCGCTGGCTTCGTGTACCCAGAATGTATAAAGTGCCTACTTTCTCAATTTCAGACAATTTAAAACTTTTGAGTACTTTGTCAAACGGCCAAATTTTTAAAAATGACTGACATAATATTTTAGCCAAATAATATCGCGGAAGTATGGAAATTTCGCTCGTAGATGGCAGTAAAGGTAAGACATCTATTAACAAAATCTCGAGGCTTATATAATATTCCTTTGGCTAAAATTTTAATTTAAAACTGATGAAATCGAGCTGTTACGACACTCCCTTTGAGTTACTATTAATTTACCTACAAAGGTTTTTTAGAGACATTAAAAAAAAGTAAAATTTTCTAAAATTAGGAGGCTATTTTTTTTTACATGCTGAAATATGATTGTGGTAAAATCAGGTCCTTAAATTTTTTTAAAAAATACGCCACTATAAATAATCAAGTTCTAAAAATTTGGCTAAAAAAATCCTGGAGTCAGCTTCAACTATTTCCACCACTGCGACAACCAAAATTACAACTGATATGATTATAAATACAACTTCGACAATTATAAAGCATACCCCTCCCTATATTTGCGAAAGTCCTTAGATGCATAATCCCAATTTAAAGTTCCCATATTACCCCTCATTCATAGTTAGCACAAATTAGCGGCATAAATACACTTTATTACCACAATTATCACCCAATTCGCCGTGAATGAGAGGTTACCCTGTATACATAGTTAGCACGAATTGACGACAAAGTATATAAAATATGCTGTAATTTTTTTATACTAGCAAGGTTAAGCGTTTTAAAATTTAGGTTCTATTTTATAAAATGATTGGTTTTTTTCCTATAAAGAGGTGTTGTTAAACGGCTCGATTTGAGCCGATTTTAAAAACGGCTAGCTTAATATTTTTCTGTAAAAAGGGTATGAGAAAATTATTTAGATTATATAAAATATTTCAAAAAAAAATGAAAGTTGGGGGGAAAAAAATGAATTTAATTCTGAATCATAGGAAATAAATCATAAATGAATGATCGTATAAAAAAATATTATACTGTTCATGCTCGAAGTAAGACCGTTCTCGTCCTGATAATGTGTACCATCCTGATTGCTTTGCAACGAGAAAGAGAGGTGAATTTTAATGGGAGAAAAGTGAAGAAAATCGTAAAACACCTTCTGCCCTGTCGACATAACTCTATCGGCAGACGCCCTAACCATGTCTTGTTTGGCCGTGGATAAGTCAGTATTAAAATCTTCATGCTGCAGTTGTTTATTATTACAAAAATAAAACGCTATATTTAAGTAATAAGCGATAATAAATCGAGACATTTATATATTGTTAGTAGTGTTGTTAAGATTAGGGTTAAAAACGACCCGATTACGATTTTAGCCAAAGCAGTATTGAAAATAGAGGTCCAATCCTTTCTCCTACTTATGAGCTAAATTTCCAGGGCTAACATAATATTATTTTGAAAAAAATTTTAATCGGACCGTTTTTTAAAATAGACCCAAATAGAGTTTAACAACACTAATTAGTTACAAATATCAATCTTTTTGTAATGATTGGATATATTGTTGAAATATTAATAGCTTTGAAACTATGGCATGATTAAAAGTAACTATGCAAAATAGCTAAGCCACTAGGATATTTTTTTTCATCAGTCAATAGAATGTATTATGTAGGGTATCTAAAGGCTGGGAAAATAAAACAAAACAAAAAAAACGCGGAATTGACTTTAAATTTTATACGTCATTTTTAAATCAATTATCGAATATTGTGGGTTAATGATGCTTACTACCTTAAAGTACTATCTATCAAATTTGAATTTTGTTCATTTTTCATTTGGATAGGCACTACCAAATATATTTATAATATATATTTGAAAAATCGTGATTTTTGGAAAGCCTCTATGGCCTAGTAGGCAAGAGCTTGGCTTACTTATCCTATGCTCCCGGGTTCGAATCCCGAGAATGATCATGTTTTTTTTCTTTTCTAACTTGATGGTTCCATCCTTGTGGGGATAATATATAGGAGGCCGGACTCGACCACGTGATTCCGTATTAATATATTAAATAATAAGAGTCTTATTACATTTTAATAAATTTTGGTCGGTATTTAGCAAATTAGGTTGGTATTTAGAATATTTCCATACATTCACTTGGTAGTAAGCATCATTAACCAATATTGTGACGGTTTATAAATCAAATTTTTTTCTTTATTTTTTGGTTTTGTTTTTCAAGGTTTAAAATTTAATGTGTTTGGTTTCTCAGAACTTTACTACATGGATATACAAATAAATATAAATTTTTTAAAATCATTATTCACGATAAGACTGATCTGTTCGGAGGTAGAGGACGTAGCTATGGTTTCCGTAAAAAATGCTATCGCGGAGTCTATGAAACCCTGGTCGATTCGTACAAATGTTTCCTGAACTAGAACCTTAAATTTTTTTTTACCAAAAAATTTCTTAAAGATAGAGATTTAGGATGCGTTATAAAAGAATTTTTTTGTAGCATTCTTTTCCATCATAAATTAAGGAATAGTCCCAAATTTCCGGTAATAAAATTCCAGTTGTAATTAAAAAAAATTGTGAAATAAACTGTTTAATTTAAAAAAACAATACAGATAATGCGTATATACAAACCAAGCATGCTAATATAATTTTTTTTAAAACAAAAAAATAATATTATCTTATCCTATGAAACACCATAAAAGTTTTTTTTTAAAAAAAGAGGCATTAAAGACATTCACATTGAAACATTTCTGCAAAGATAATAAAATTTGATTAACGAATTCTATGCAACAAATCAATAATTATTGTTTTTGCAATAAAGAAGATGCAAAAATCAAATAAAACTTACCTTGAAATATTTGACCTGAGCCACGCCACCGCTATGTTCCGAGTTTCGTCTGAGCATGCTGGCTTCGACAAAAGGTTTGGGAACGGATGATTCGGCGGATATGGATTTTGGAAGTGGGGTTAGGCCTAAAATGACCGGAAATGTGCAGGCCGGAAGTTGGTCGTCGATCTTAAGAGTATTATATAAATAATTACAAAAAAGTTTCAATTTGCCATTAGCATTTTACTCCCAGGCTAATGTTCTGTTTAATTATATATTCAGTTCGTTGGCGGGTTAGTTTTGGGATTCCACGAATTAAAAAAAAAAATTTCAACTCCATGTTTCAATAATCTCCACCAAATAATTCTTTATTTCTTTCTTATGAATCCATATTTTTTTTTATTTACTAATAAATACTTTCAAATAAAGTCGATTAATACTTGTAATTTATTCATCTTGGCGTGTAGCTGAACTTGATGCGGAGATGTTTTGTATTGAATCCATAAGCCGGGTCTGAAGGTCCGTTTCAAGGCGTAAAAATAATTAATGTCGGACGTAGAACTTGGTTAATGAAAATGGTAAAACATAAATTAAATAAGCTTATATTTTAAAATCAAAATATTAATCTTATTGATAGCAAATCACTTATTCAGCTATTTTTAAAAAAAATTCGAATAATATTTTAAAATGATAAATATATAAATTTTTATTTATAATTTGAATAAATAAAAAAAAAATTTATTCAAATCCCCTTTACTCTTGCATTCATTTATTTAAATTTTGGAAGAGGACATCTTATTCGTAATCAAAAATTTATATTATATTGATAAGGCAAAATGAAGGAGGGGGGGGGGTTTAGAGATAAATATTGTAAAGCTCCTGAAATGTTTAAATTCAATTTTAACTTATATTAGGGAGTATTTTATGTTTTTTTAAAGAAAATTGGACGTTGTTGAAACGCATTAATTAAGGATAAACGCAGAATAGCTCAAGAAATTTAGATTCCACAAACTCACAACTTTTTAAAAAAAATCCCCTAACTAAAACAAAAACATTTCGTGTTTTTAAAATTTTGTTGATATTTCAGTTGATAAAAATAATGATACAAATTTTAAGAACACCCATATCAGATCTAACATTATGTAAAGAATTCCCTCTTTTTAAAACAACTCATCTTAAAATATAATACCCATAACAAAAATGTTTTTGGTGAAAAAAGATGTTCTTTGTTTGATAAAAATTTTGAGAGACATCTTCTCTTAAAAGCAAATTAAAAATATATTATTTAAAATTATATATATAACTAATATTTTATTATGTGATATTATCATTATATTTCAAATTTGATAAAAAAAATTTCATTTACGATTATAAAAAAATATATAATTGGGACTACAATATTTTATTTATTCTCCCTTACATAAGAAATTAAAATATAATAGCCATAGTGCGCTACTATAGCATTAAATATTTTATGATATAGCGTGCAAAAGTGGGTTATATATATATATATATTGTAAAAGGTTAAAATTGAAAAATATTGGACCCGAATACAAAGAGTCAAGAAGTTGGGGAGGGGGACAGCGTACAGAGTTGGAGTATCGCGAATAGTTATATCTAAGATATAACCTACAAGATTCCTTTGTATCTTTTTTGGTAAAAGATACTTTCTTTTTCAACAGAATCTTTATCTTTTTCATTTCCTTGACAACTTTGCCTTTTTATATTTTTGCTCAAAATGTTCAATATTCATATTTTTACTTTTTTGTATTTTCGTAAATTCATATATTAAATTTTATTGTTTTCATTGTTAATTTTGTATTTCAACATGTCGGCATTAAGTCATTATAGGGTTGGGCAAAATTTGTCCATAACCTTTTATTGTAAATTAAATATTCTACCTTTACCACCATAAACAGTATACTATGTCTGCAATTGGTAATAAATAATGAATAGGCTAATATAAATATCGAAATGTTTGTTTTAGTTTGATTATCCATTTTTAACTCTTCTACAAATATTGACATTTTGTAATATTATATAAATCATCATTCTTATCATTGTATTCATATAATCGTCATCATATTTTATAAAGGAGAGAGGGACAAATATATTTTTTATTATTTCAATCCCCAAAATTTAGATGTGCTCATTGTGCACAGTATACAATGTCAAAAATAATAATATTTGAGTGGTTTAGATTGGTTGATTGTATGAGATAAATATACAATTCTATTATAATAATGTTTTTGGATATTTTATTAATTAATTATATAATAATAGGTATACTATTATTAAAATAAAATTTAGAATTCTTTTCTAGAAAGAATAAGAGAGTTCAATGTCATTAATTTTGAATTTATCTTTCATCCAGTTTTTTTAAAAATCAAAAAATGATATAAAACGCATAATTCTTATTGTTGGCCATGCACAATTTACTTTAACCTTCTAATCAATATTTTGGTCTATTGTGCGGAAGGAATTAGCAATTATAATACAAAAATTATTATATAATTTTATGTTGTATAAGAATAAATATTAAATATAATTTTATCCTTCAAATGTTCTTATAAATAAAGATGAGCTTTAAAAAAAGTATCTTGATCTAAGATACTATCAATTAGCAAAAAATTCAAGTATCTTATATTTTGTATCTTTTTATGTGTCCAGGATACATTTTTTTATAAAGAATCTGTAACTAGATTTTTTTAAAGGAGCTTCTCAACTATCAACTGTAATATTATGGGGTTAAGTAATAAAATGATGCAAACTATAAATTTTTGATGTTGTTGGATTTGAGTTTAACGATTGCCATGCGATCAAAATCCAAGAATAAACCTGATTTGTTAAAAATATTATTCGGAGAAGATTTGACCAAAATATCGTTGTATCTGTAAAAAAAAAAGGAAGATGTTTGTAAATAAGATGGTATAATAAAGATTTTAATAATAGTTTGTTTTATACAATCCCTTTTCCAATTTTCTAGGGTTTATAAATATTATTTATTTTATACCCTACCCTAATGCTTTCATTGCCATATTTGGAGCCTGAAAACACTGTAACATCTCACTGAATTCAAAAAATAATGATACTAAATATCAAATTCTTGAAATAATCTCAATTTTCACATATCCGTTCGTCCCTCTATAATAAAATATTTCTAAAAATATCTTTTTAAATTATTAAGAATTATTTAAAAATGCTAAATAGGTCTAAGACCGTCCCAACTAACTAAGAGTTTCGAATAAATTATGATCATATACATTTTTTTGAATCAGCTGATATTAAAAAAAATATAGCCTTTTCAGTAGCGTTAAAAAGTCAGCTAAGTTAACCTTTGATTAAAAAAAACAAATTATAAAACAAAACCTAGCGGCGAGATTTAAGTTAGTCTCCGCTCCGTACATTCCATAACTGTATTCGTTAGAATAATATTGGTAAGCTTTTTCCAACGCGGCCTCTTCCTTAACCTTAAGTGTTTTAAATTTAACGCTCTTGTTAGTATCTTTGGTAGGCGTATATTCTCCCATCGCAGCGTTGAATTTTTTAAAGGCGTTTCCCGAGGAGAGCGCGTGTGCGGAGTTAAAAGAAGAAGAGCTGATTTCCCAAATCGGTTCTCCGGAACTAATTATACTAGCGTACGCGATTTCCCTAGTAGTCTTCCAATTGTCGACCAGGGAGAGACTTACACCCTCTATGTTTAATTCGATTTCTCGCTCCACTTTTTCAAGCTCGCCAGCCTTAGTTTAAAATAAAATATGACTTAGTTTTCAAAAATTGTTCAATTCCCAGCCAAACCCGGGTTAGCAATTTTATTGTTTTTTGGCCCGAAACATAATAGTCGTGATGCTTAGAGCACGTCTTACACTAATAGTACCTGGTTTATTTGGCTAACTTTAGGCTGGTCAAATAATTAATAAATTTTCCTTCGTATTAGCAGCAGCTTGGATGCTATGATGGTCAGATTATTATTAATCTTAACAAACATATTAGTTAAGCAAACGCTTTAATTTTGGATGAGTTATAATACAAAGATTCTGTATGTAATATAAAATACGGTGGTCCTTTAAGATTATAAAGAGTATTAAAAAGAACACACGTTCTTTTCAATATTAAATAATTGATTTTTGTTAGGTGGACTTTTGGATATATTTCTCTTTCTTTCCTTCTTCTTTCTACAATAATTTAATTTATAAAACATTGTCTAAAAAGATTAATCTAAAATTATTTAGTTTGTTGTAAGTGATAGAAAATCGTAATGTTTATAAATAGAAATAAAACTGGGTTGTGCACAAAAAATAGATATGTAACTAATAAATAAAGAAAAAAAAACTTGTTGGGCTATGCATATGAGAGCCAAATCTTCGGTAAACATTAACACTCTTTGAGTTCCATCCAGGAAAGAGACCCAATATATTTTGTGATGATTTTCGGCTGAATTCAAATCCCCAAAGCCGTCCTTAAGAATTTGTTAATTTATAGAGAACATTGTTTTGACAGCAAATCGTTATTAATAAAATATTAGAAAGAAATTTTAATCTTACATAGTATACATAGGAAAATAATGGAAAAAATTAAATAATTTATGATGCAAAAAAAAGAATAATTAACTTTAATCATATCGAATTTTTGATTTTTCTTATCACCGCAAGACCATACCAACGATTTGTCTTCTTGTAGTGCGTCCTGCCAGGAGTAGAGTACCGATTTGTTGGGAGGCAATTTAAACACTACTTTGGTCCCACTTAGCGAAAAAAAATAAAAAAAATAATGGACAATTAAAACATATTTTTAATTTTAATTGGGTACCATTTTTAAGAAAATTAATAATCATAACACACTATTTTTTTTAAAGTTATATACGCAAAGCAAATACTATAATTTTTAAATTAATTAAACGACTATATTTCTTCAATTCACATATTTTCTTTATTGACCTTATTTTAATTCTTCCTTTCGTTTAGTTAACATTTTTTTTACCACTTAAACATTTATAATTAAATTTTGAATTTTATAAAATATAAATATTATTTAATTCATTAAAACGAAATATAGACCTTTGATAATACTGCAATACATCGTCGCCTGTTTGATTTATTAATAGAATCACTGCCTGTCCATGGTAATATTGATCAAAGGTTATAGTAGCGGCGATTTCTGAAACGTGGCATTCTACGTTAATTCCCCCATACTTCATTGTTTAAAAAATTATAAGATATACTATCGATTTCAAAAATTTCGGGATTTATATTTTGATTAATATGATAAGATACAAATTTTTTTATCTAGTTATTTTTAAATCTTAAAAGGAAAATATGCTAAAGGATAAAGGAAGGGGATGCCAGAAAAATAATTTAATGATATACCCCCTACTTATACAAAATAAATATTTTATAATTATTTTACTCAATGGCGATTCTGACTAGATTTAAAGGATAAAAAAAATTTTCAATCATAAACCATGAGTTCGCCCTATTTATACATTGAGGTTATATGAGATTAGCGGGTTCCTTAATTTTATTTTTGCGGATTTCCGGCTAATTCTTCCTATTTCAATAAAATAAGGGCAAACTATCATGTCTTCAAATTGATCATATGTTTTTAATTTACTAATCAGTCTACGTATATTATAATTATAAGTCAATAATTATATTAATAAATTAACAAAGAAAAATAATATACATGCTTTAAGCAAGGTAAAAATATAAGGTTCATACCTAAACCTAAAAAATAAACCAAACTAAAATGATAATGAACATTTAAAAACGAACCACATTATCCAATTTCAAAAGCGTGTTGTGTGCTCTATTGATAGGGAAAGGGGTCGTACACGTGTCGCTGTCTTTGAATTTTGCCATCAGGGCCATATTTTTATTGGAAGGGGATTGTTTAGGCCAAAAAGGTAAGCACTTTTTTATTTAAAAAAAAAGTATAAAAATTATGCGACGCTGTCTTATGAATTAAGACATCCGCCAATAAATAAAATATAAAAAGCAGTTTGGAACGGGAACCCTCGGAACCGGAACTTTTTAAAATTCTTAGGAACCAAAATCGTATTTGAAAAATAATCTATCTGTTGTTAAAGTATCTGGATGTAAAACTGTTGTATCTTATCAAAATGTATCTGTATCTATTCATAGATATAATTTATTTCTACATTCCTTTTATTACATTTAAAGAAATTAGATTTAATTCCATTTTTTTTTTAAATTTATTAATATCTCTCCGAGTTTATTTATGTCCAGATACATTTTTATTTTGCCCAATGGTTAACAATATATAAAATCTTCATAAATTCCTAGATGATTAATATTGACACTGCTGACGAAGATATGATCAATAGTGTAGAAGTAAATTTTCAAAGTTGATTCTGGATACCAGAAAATTTAGACATTTTCAAAGTATCTAAATCATACTAATAGCAGGAAAAAAATCAAAAGATTTTATATTACATATTTTACAACGTACACAAGAGGATATAGATAAAGATATATATTTGAACGCCAATAACTTTAATTAATTCTTCTAAAAATGAGTGTGGTGATTTTATTATATTTAAAGTTTATCCAAATATTAAGGTGTTATTCATAAAATAAAACATTATCCTATCCCTTCCAGCGAACGAGTGAAATACTTTTTAGTATGGCTAAAAATATGTATAAACTGGGGATGCCTCAGTGACGAAACTAGAAGAATGTTGTAAAAGCTACCCTAATATTTTATGATCTTTTAATTATAAAAAAAATCAAACTGAAGTAAATATATTTGGTTCAATTTTTCAACTTTGACATAAATCCACATTTTAGGCGATTATAAAAAAAAAAATTCAGCCTAATTATATCTGCCTAGATATATTTTTTAAAGCATGCATTTATTTAGAAAATATCTTTCAACAACTTTGAGATGGCATAGAGAATGTTTACAAAAAATATAACCACCCCCTACCGAATTTGAAAATTTTTCCCATCTTGGCCCAGAAAATAATTTTGATGTCAGGCCCACCCATAATAATTTTATTTTGAAGGAAAAAACATACAGACCCGCGAAAATATCATGCACAAATTGTCCAGCCCGGGTATTTCCAGATATTTATAACTAAATTTTTAAAAAAATAAATAATTACGTCTCCGGCTGCAATCGTTTGCCACTTTTGAATGTCTTCCAGTTTGGGATAAGCTGCCAGATACTCTTTGTACATTATATCCAACTTAAAAAAAATGTCAAAATTTTAATTAATTTCCAATAAATTCATTTACACTTTTATATATCAAAAAATAAATGTTGCACAAGATTGAAATTAATTTAATCATTTCCATTAAGGAGCATAGCTACCTCCTTGTCATTATGCGAATTTTTTTTTACAAAAGGAACAATTTCCTTTCCCCTCAGAGGCCAAAAATTCGATCATTTTTATTTATTATTTTTTAAAGATAGTAATGAAAATAATAATGTTTATTCAAGCAGTCGTACTAATAAATTTATTACCTTTGATTTATTATTGATGGTGTAATAAGGTATGAAGGTTACCACTTTTGTAAAGCCTGTTTTGGATAATACTATATCCACTCCTATCTAATTTATAAGGGGTAAAAAAACAAAATTATATATATATAAAATAAAATAACTAATATTGCCAATTTAAAGTTTGGTACTTATTTAATAATAGATGAAAGGGAAGCATATCTTAACCTTCCACTAGCCTTTGGATATCCTGGCTACACCACTGAAAAGCAGAAAGATGTTTTAATCAATTAGCGGAGAAATTTTTTTTTTAATTAAATTTAGAAAAAAAATATGAGGTTATAAAAATAAATTAGATAATTTTTTAAAATTTTGAATTAATACTTCGTAAGAGGAGTCACCGCGTTTACAGGATAAAACGCCCGAGCTTCCGACAGTGTCCAAAGAAAATTTCTCGGACCAATCAGAATCGTTTATTTTGATGCATACCTTAAGAATTTTTTAAATATTTTATTCGATGTTTATAAATTGTTTTATAAAAATTTTGATTCTTTTTTTGTTAAAAAATTATTTTACTCTTAAAGCTCATTTTCTTTTTAAAAATTAATATAGGTAACATCATCGTTCGAATATTGAGCTTATCTAGTAATGAATCAATGTTATGGACTTTAAACACTAGTTATATTTTAGCATTTAAACTTTTTAAGATTAGATGACGTGTACAATAACGTAAACAAATTAGGGCTTAAACTAACTGTAACCTTCAGTCTTCTAAGAACTAAAAATTGTTGCATAATATAATTTAATATCATAATATACAAAGTTAATTGAAGCTTTAAATTATGACTATTTACATATATAAAAACATTCACTAAATAATATATTATTTTATTTCTACATACGAAGCCTCAAACCATCAATTGATTTACTAGATATATATATATATTTGAAGTTATTGACTTTCGATGCACGCGATAATTTTGCTTGTTAATAAAAATTACTTATTTAACGACTTGATATATATATATTTGCGTTTTATTTAAACACCAATAAAAGAATAAATTTAATCGCATTTTTATTATTATTTGGAGATATCGTTATTATTTATTCTAAAACAAACGAAACCAGACTTACATATTCTTATTCTACTACCGATTCTATTTAGCGCAACTATTGCTTTATTTGCGTCAAAATAAATATTATAAAATCGTGGATAAATTAGTCAGTAGTCGAGCGACGCATTTATATATTAAATCTAAAGTTTTGATAGTTACTTTTTTCTTGGAGAAAAACGCTTTAGGTTTGAAGGAAAACAAGAAAGGCAGTGAATGACCGGGTTTGTGTTCAACTATCGTGGGAGAATCTTCTTCTCGTTCCTAGTAATTATGAGAAAAATTATTTATTTTTTTCCCCTAAAATCGCTTATTATTTAAAAAAAGTGATAATCATGTGATTTTTAAATTACTAAATTATACCAGGGTTGTGGGCCCGAATTTGGGTTCAGAAATTTAAAATTATTTGGTTGGGCATTTTGAAACCACAGACCAAACTGGGCAATCCGTCAACCCCGGGGTGGGTTCGGACCTTATTAAGTTCCTGTTATCAAAATTTCCGCTAACCATGCATTATGCTTATAATATACGTTCATACTTTTTTCATGGGACTTGGATTGTACATGGCTTCGGCTTGCTATTAGGAGGATGCATAAATACAATATAATAAATAAGTTAAATATTTAGAATATTAATTTTTCTATACTTAAGAAGAAGAAAAAAAAACAAAATGCTTTCTTTTATATCATTATGAAAATGACAGAGGATGGGAAAATCAAGAGATGTTTCTATACTTTAAAATTTTACTTTTCTTAGTTGGAGATTAATTTTTGCCATCGAGATTCCAAAAACAAATTTTATTTATACACCTAGAAATTCAATTAAAAAAGTAATATTTTTCTAACATTAAATACCCTAAATTCCATTTGGCACTCTCCTATAAAGATCGCACGGATAGACCCGAACTGCCAGGATTTTTCTCATGTTTTTGGGCCAGACCCGTATAAATATTTAGTCTGGCCTGGTTTAGTGTTGTTACATGGCTCAATTTGAGCCGATTTTTAAAAACGGCGAACTCAATATTTTATCCAGAAAAGTATTATGCAGAGGTCTAAATATTTTGCTCATAGATAGCATTTAGGATTGAAAATCTATTAGCGAAATCTCGACGCTTAGGCAATATTTTCCTGATTATAATGTTGAGTTAGCCGTTTTTAAAAATCGCCTCAAATCGAACCGTTTAACAACACTAAATTGAAACTTTTTTAAAAAAAAGAGGTAGTAAAACTTGATAGAATAGCGTCAAGCCGGTCTGATTAACCATCCAATAGGGGCTAAACAGACTTATCTCCATCATTCCCTTGTTCTTGAAAGAATGAAAACCGGTGTCCTAAATCGATCAAATGTTAAATATTTATTAATAAGAGATATGAAAATAAATACTTAAATGTTTTGCGAACATAATTTTATGAAACATCTTAGAGCATATTTTAAAAAAAACGATAAAAAAAACAATAAAAAAACATCGAGATTTAAAGGCCGCAAGCGGCGGATTAAAATTATTTGAATAGATTAATTTATTATTTCGTATTTTTTTCTTACCAAAGAATAAATTTTTCCGCCTTGTCGCTTAGAAGGGGCTGTGAAGGCTCTAACTTGAAATTCTTCCACGGCGGGGTTAAGTGGCAAGGAACAGGTCCAATCCCTGTCTATATAATTTTTGATCTTTTTTTTAAATTCATTTTTATTTTTTTTTAAAAAAGGTAACTATAATTCAAGAAAATTTCTATATTTAAAAATAATACATTTAATAATGAAAGAATTTCAAGTGGCAATAAATATTAGTCTCATATTTCTATTCCATTATACGAAAATATTCAAGAGTATCTAAATCTCAAAAAAATGTCCTTTGTAGCCTATTTCTGGGAAACGTTCAGACGAAGTCGTTGATTAAATTTAAAAACCAAAGTTAAGTAAAATTATAATACCTTAATTTCTATGTTAGATTTTCCTATACAAGCGTTGTATAGAGCCGACGTATCACCGGGTTTTATTTCAACTTCGGTATTTGAATTCTTAGTTGGTTGATAAGTTGTTTTTTTTTTAAAAAAAAAAAAATTGTACTCCAAAAAATATAAATTTATTTTTCTAAAAAAAAATAGCATTAATGGCGATGCAGTACGGTTTGTATCAGAGTTTGAAATATTCTTCAAAATAAAAAATTCTTCAAAAATTTTGATTTCTGAAGATTTTTTCGAGAATGCTTAAACAAGATTTTTCAATAAAATTTTACCAAAAATTTCAAAATTTTTGCAAGTAAATCTTTTATGATTTTTTGCATAAAAAATCTTTTATGGTTGAAATTCTTTTAAAAAAAATCTACAATTTTATAATTTTAAAGATTTTTTTTTTGCTCAAAATTTTGGGCATAAAAAATTGGGTTTTTAGTGACATTCGTCTGCAAAATTAATCAATCTTCTCATTATATTATTTTAAATAATTACTCTAAAAATTTCACGTAAAAGTCGAAATTATCATAGGGTAGGTGCTTATAAACATGCTGGAAAACAATTTGAGCAAAATTTGGTCTTACAAATATAGAATTGTGTGGGAAAAAAAAAATAACTTTTACTTTTCTTCATGGTATCCCGGTTGAGGATGGCAAAAAAAACTTGCCACTATGCGTTATATTTTTTTAAAAATTTTTATCTTCCATTTTTTTTTAATAGTAAGAAACTGTTTTAACACATTTATTAATTATGACTCTAAGGATTCTTTTAAGGAGGGAAGTGTGGACAAAAATATAAAAATTACATAAAAATGTTATAAGACCAGTGCGAATTAAACAAAAACCTGCTTATTTAAAAGACTGCATAACTTAAAATATAAAAATAAATATTAAAACGCATAAAGTAAATTAAATATTAAAACACATAAAGTAAATTAAATATTAAAACGCATAAAGTAAATTAAATATTAAAACGCATAAAGTAAATTAAATATTAAAACGCATAAAGTAAATTAAATATTAAAACGCATAAAGTAAATTAAATATTAAAACGCTTACACTAAAACGCAAAAAATGAAAACGCTAAAAATATTATATAACAATCTTATTGATTTATCATTCTTCATTTATTCTTATATCCAACTTGATGAACTATTATTTCTCATTATTCGTAACTTACTGATGATAATAACATTGAAAATTGATAATAATAATGATTGAGCATTACAAGCAAGCTACATGACAAATTCACGATTTATAAGGATAACCTATGATAAAGATATCAAGCTTACGATTTAAACAAACCAACGTGCAAAATCTATTCAAACAAACCAACGATTGGGACAAAGCAACGATTACACAACTTGATGGTCAATACGATAAACCACTTGGACAACAACTAATTATGACAGTTTAATTGAAATTATGAGAAGGCTTCTTTTAGAAGAAGGAGAATGTTGAATAATATAAATTATAACGTGTATTATTCATATTATATCTTTATTTTAGTTTCACTTTCAAATTATATTTTCATTTTAGTTTTACTTTAAGTTAAACTTTTTATATATATTCTAATTTCATTTTTGTAAAAATGTTATATAAATGATATGAAAAAGAAAACAGATAAAAAATAATATTTTTACTTTTCTTCACAATCAATGAAACGTTTTTTTTATTTAAAATTTTTTATGGGGTAGGGGTGGGGTAGGTATTGATATGTTACGACCAATTTTATAAAAATATAATTGATTTTTTTTAAAAATTATAAGACAGATACTGATAAATCTTTTTTAAATATTAAAAAATTTATCAAACTCTGATATATAATACAGTATGTACCAAATAATCTATTTCTCATAATACTAAATTATTTATGCGATCAATTGATTTCTTTTTTTAAAAACTATGAAATAGGCTGCTTTATCGTCTTATTTTTGTTAAGTATTCTCATTTTAAAACATTATTATTAGTATAAAAATATCATTCGATGGGGCGAAAAAAAGGTTTACGCTGAGTTTATGCGTTAACGTATAAGGCAAAAGGTTGATGAGAGTAACAGTGGGCATAATGTGCAACGTGCGGGTTCTAGCTGCTTTGAAGTCTCTGATAGGTTCATTCTCACTTCCACCGTATATCGATTCGGATAGCTCAGTAATCTTAATTTTGATTTATTTAGAAAATATAAATTTTTTTTTTATTGCTGGTTATCATATAGTTTGATAGTTCAGGATGGACAATATCTGCTCCACTCAATAGTCCTGTTTATTCTTAATAACACGTTGACTAATTCAACTCAAACATTAATTGTCTTCCTTTCCTCTCTCCCGAATGGCCAAAACTAAATAAATACGATGGGGTTTCTCATCATTGTATAGATGGGAAAATTAAAATGTGGAAACAAATGAAATGGCTCATTCATTTGGGAAATAAATAGGAATTGATCTTCTTATTTCAAAAAAAAAGATTTCAATTTTTAAAATAAATATGATCTAATTCTTTTTTAAAAAAATTAATATTATAAGATTTTCAAAGAGATATCATTAAATAATTTAGGGATAGCATAGTGAGGGCTCGCTAATAGTAAGCGCGAAATACCGCACAAGGGATGCGTAAATTACAAAATACATAATGTTGAATTATACAACTATACTATCGTTTAGCAATGAATTACGCATCGCTTCAGCGATATCGCGTTTACTATAAACGCTTGCAATAAAAAAATGGCTGTACTAGGATCCCAATCAAGATTTCACTATATTTTAATGTTCTGTTCCTCCATCTAATATCGATTTTGATCCATTATTATGAATCACTCCCCCCCCCCCAGTTCGGCAAAAAGTTAAGGTAAAATATGTTCAAGTGCTAACCGATAAGTAGAAAGGCTCGTATTGAGGATTTTGCGGCGGGCAGGATATCACATATTTTAAATTGGTGGTAGAGTTATTGTTGTTTTTCCAATCCACGCCATCTTTTGACACGTCGTACCTTGTCATTTTATTTATTTTTAAACAAAATATAAAATTTTCCAGGTAAAAATAAAATCTTGCCCTCCATTTTAAGATTGGGCTTTAAAAAAATACTATAATTTTATATTGAAGAAACAGCTATTTTTTTTGTGTTTTGAGGTGGCTGATTGATATTCCTTATCCTTACACAATTCTTTATTATTCTGATCAGGATATGAGATGGCAGGAATTGAAATAAAATTGATTTTCATTTTGGTAAAACTTTTTAAACAGCATATTAATGACACCAAAGTTTTTCATATTATTTTTTACGATTTAATGAATGAATGAATGATGATATAAACTCTTATAAATGATTTATTATAAATCGTTTCATTTTTTCTTCGTTTCCTTTAAAATAGAATAAAGAGTCAATAATAATGTACGGAGAAAACCCATATTCAACAGATTTTTCATTTAATTTTATCGCAATACTAATTAGCACGCTTACATTTAAATTGAACGTGCGTTAAATAATTCGGAAGGAGGGGACTTATCATGACAAAATTTCCGTAAAAATATTCACTATTCAATACGCTTAACGCCAATGAATAATATTAAACATTTAAGGTTTCATTCTTACCTTTTTAATAAAAAAATAATATCTATATTTTTTAATACGGTTCATTAGATGGCTTGAAATAAAAACGAGCGTATGTATAGACCATATGAATCGGCACACTCCATTGTTGATCGGTGGCTAACGTTATCAACTTAGTGAGAGAATTTTGTTTGGATTTAAAGATGAATATTTCGATGGGAACGGAAAAGTAGTTTATAAGCTTGATAAAAAAAGGGGATGTTTTATAATATTTATTTTTCAAAAAAAGATACATATTTAAAAGCAAGAAACATTAAAAATGATAAGATTCTTCGGACTCAGCAATAAAAACAGGAAAGCTTAACACTATATAATAAATTGATAAGTTTCTATTAAACCCTTTAGAAGTTTCATGGGGTCTAACTCACTCCTAAAGATTATAAGATATTTATTACAGCAAAAAAATTAAATATATAACTTGTTTTCAGTAGCCTGCTATTTTATGTTAAAATATATTTCAAACTTTCATGCATTTTATTGGATGGTTTTTGTTTGATATTATACGATTTTTGTATTTTTAATATAAGGTGATCCTCATCTTGAGGTATTAAAGAACTTTTTTATTTAAGATACATTAATATTTCGAATTATAATTATATCGATATATTTTCGTGTGCTACCGGCATCATTTAGGCCTATTCAAAATGTATACATATCAAAAAATTTACTATTAGTATTCAATTCGAATTTTCAAATAATTTGTTTTTTAAAAACATATAAAATAATTCTTGAGAAATAAATTGACATAATTTTATATTACGAATTATTTTCTTGCTAATTTTGAGCAAAAAAAAATTATCATAATAATTTGATGATTAAGAACATGGGATCAAGTTATTAACGAAATTAAAATGAATATTAATTTAATTTATAACGCCAAAGTTTCTTAAAGATCTTCTTTATGAGACATGCGATTTTTTTGACAGCAAATTTATTACAATTTACAACTAACAAAAGTTCACAGGTAGTTGATCCTACTTCGTTAATCACATCACTCATGTCAGATGAATAAGCTTACAATAGAAATGCGAATTAATCTAATAATTCTTTATTCGTATTAAAACAAAATGATTAATTCACTATTCGCATTCTTTATCAAATATTCGATTTGGTATATTAAATTAAGCAAAACGTATGATAAAAGGAAGTTGTTCTGAGCGTGCTCCAAGAGATTCCCTGGATAATATAATTGTTCCAATTCGTTTGGTAAACCGATGATTGTGACGATCCACGCAACACCATTGGCGTTAGAAAACCTATCTTTATCAGATGATTGCTGTCCTCCGCAGTATGCAAAGGCAAATTATATTAGTAATAAATTTGGATTCATGTAATCCTAGGTTGCTGGCTTTAAACTAGGGTAAATGGCGATACAGAAATCAGGGCTAAGAAGTGCAGTCCAAAACGGAATCGATATGTGGAGGACAAAGATTTTCAAACCAGAACTTGAAACCTTGGAACCTGGGATAAAAAAAATAGGGTTTTTTTTATTCCCGTTAGAATTTTTTTTAAAAAAAGTCTAGTTCCTAAAATTTTGAAAAGTGGCTTTTGGGTTTCTGTTCTAAACTCCGCTTCAAACAACAGTTTAAAATTCTATAGCAGATTTGTCACGTCTTGCAAAAAAAAATATAGATTATTAATAATATCTTTGTAAAAATTTTACTATATTATTTACATTTTTTCCTTTTATATGATTATGGATAAAGAAAAAACAATTGTTAAAATCAACAATTATAGGTTATTATGAAAAACAGAAAGCCACATAAGATAAGGAATGAATGAATCATCAATAAGGATTGAAACGCAGCCTAATAAAAAATATTTGAGGCAATGTTAATTTTCCTTCATTTTTTAATATAAAACGTAAGTAAAAGTCATTTAATGATTAGTGAAAAGAATCTGATGGTCACCCTTTTTTCTTTATAAAAAATTTCAGAAGAAAGTAAAATAACTGGAAACGGGAATTTTATTAAAGATGTTAGTTTATTTTATTTAAGTATATGTGAGTAAATGTCCAAAGTAAGAAGGTTAAAATTTAACCTGTCCGAATTAAACAATAATTAATATATTATTAAAATATACTAAGAATCAACCTATTATCAAATATAGTTTTTAATAGTTCAATTGTATATCAATATGAATATTAAATTAAATTCAAGGATATTACATGTTTTAAATGGTCCATTTTATAGTAAAATTAAGAAATATGGCGATTTTGATTTATATTTGAAAATCTCTATAAAATCTTTATTCACTATGAATTCTTTAAAATAATAATAATAAATAAATTTAATAAGTTTAACTTAATAGGTGGTTAATTAAATATCAAAGCTTAAAGATTAATGTAAAATTTTGAATGATACAAAGTAAATGGGGTGTATGCTATATATTCCACTTAACAACTTGCGTTTTTCCCCACTCACCCTCTACAAGTTAATCAGTACATCTAAAAATAAACCTTTAGCGGTGATTGAATAATAATTTTCTTGCACCCATAAACAGATGTAATTTCGACTATAACACCCTGATATTTCAGTTCGCCGCCTTGGTTAATAGGTAGTTCCAGAAATATCTTTCTCACTTGATTAATAGCTATTCTCCTATATGCAGAATCATTTTCTGGAAACTTTATTATTTGTAATTGAATAAATAAATATTAAGCTAATTTAATTATTAAATATATAATACTTTATGATGTATAAATTTTTTTTTTACAGTTTAACGCAAACTATATTACCATAAAAATTCTACCATGCGAGAAAGCATAACAATAAGAAAACTCCTTCTATGGTTTTATCGCTATTATGGACAGATTAGCGTTTTTTTAATAAAAGATTTTAAAATGGAGAGATTATTTAAAATAAACCATTCATAAGAATGCGACAAATACTATTTTTAGTAATTTTATTCTAACTATGTTTCTAGTAAATATCAGAAATCGAAAAAATAATTCAATAATTTACATATTAAGCGCCATATTCACCTAAAATTTGCAACGCTTATTACAGTCAAAACTACCCAATGAGAATTGAACCAATAATAAATGCAAGGTCTGGAATCATTGATTCTCTTACCCTGTAAAGTATAACAAATCTTAATCATATCGGCTTTAAAATGAAGGGTTGATATGATAAAAATAATAGGAGCACATATTATCTTCGCCTGAGAATTAAAATATTATATCTCTATTTTTTGTAATTTTACAGGAGAGCAATTAAAAAAAAATAAGCTTCTATTGTTTTCAATAGAATTTAATTTGAGTATTAATCATATATCTATTTTTTAATGTAAATAGAATAGTATAATTATAAAAAAAAATTGATTAATGTAAAAGAGTCATTTTTGACAATTCTCAGGCGACGATATGATCTTACAAGCCAAAAAAAGTAACTGTTTTTATAATAAAATGAGAATATATATATAACTAATTATTATAATTTTATTCAAGTTGTGAAAGGTTAAGGCTTCGATGTTTCCTGAAAATTATTTTCTATTCAAATAAAATAAATGAGAAAATTTTTAATTTTTTTTCAAAAATAAAATGTTTTGTTTTAAAATTTTACGCTTAGGCACTCATCGAACAGTAAGAATAATTTTATATAATAGTAAAGAGTTAATTTTAAAAAAAGACTAAATTAACATTGTTTTGTTAATATAAGGTTCTAATAAATATTTTAGTAACATTAAATACGCCATAATTTTTAAACTAAACATAGGGTTGCTCAAAAATGAGGGGGGGGGGGGTGCGATAATTTTTATTTTAGTTATTCCCTTGCCTATTACACGCCTAATATTTTAAACAATTACTAATATTTTTTAATTAATTTTAAAATTATAAAGAAATTCAATACTTTAAGATCCAAGAAGTTGTCCTGGCTTTTCTCATTAGACAAAAACGATGACCTGCCATTTTTATTTTTTCGATTTAATGTCGGGCTCCCATCTTTTGTTTTTTTGTCATAAGAGATTTTTGCTCCGGTCTTGTATATAAAATCCGAATCTTGGCTAGCTAAGAATAAGTTAACTGTTTGACCGTTCAACAAGGTTCTGTGTTTAGCAGGGGTGTCAAACTTCGTGCGAGAGGAGGAATGGGAGAGGGGGTAAAAAATATATAATTAGAATTGGCATATTAAATCGAAAATTAATAGTTTATTTATTAAAGGAATCTAACCATGAGATACAATTTATAGATAGGTAGAACACCAGTGTCTGATGATATAAGGGGAGAAAAAATAATACTAATTTTAAAAAAAAATCTATATAAAATGGTACCTTAAGATTTCTATCGGGTTCTACGTAAACTTCTGCTCCCAAAGAGTTTATAACAACGTAGGGAGAATTCAAGTCTTCGCTTTTCATCTTGGGTTCTTTTTGGTTGACAGCATCTTTGAATGCCTTAAATTATTTAAGTAATTTAAACATTACAATGAATATTTGATTATAATATTAGGGTCAGATTCTCCGCTCCGCCTTACAGTGGATATCAATTTTGATTTACTTAAATTTAAACTATTTATATTCCTTAACGTGCCATAATATCATATCATAATTTTAAAAAATATTTTAATGGCAAAGAAACATGTTTAATGAAAAATAAGTTTAAAACTTATTCCAACATTTTGATATTTCAAACCATGGTCAAAGAATACAAAAATTAAAAATTAGAGTGAAAATATAGATCCTACGCTAATCAGGTGATTATTTTTAGTAGCCAGTATATTTTTTTTAATGGCAAAAAATACGAAAAATAAATTATAAAATTTGTTCAGAAGTTTAGATAAAATTGAAGTTACCACGGGCAAGGATATAAAAATTATTTGCCTAATAATTACTAATACAACCTCAAGAATATCCAATACAATCACAAAAAAATACAGTTTATTGGATGAGAGTATAATTATATTTTTTCTAATATATTATTTAAATTAGTAATACAACCTCAATAATATCCAACCCAATCAATAGATATACAGTTTGGATGAGAGTATAATGATAATTATATTTTTCTAACATATTATTTAAATTACTAACATAATCTCAAGAATCTCCAATCCCAAAAGAACAGTTTATTAAATGAGAGTATAATTATCTAAAATTTGCCTAATATATTATTTTAAAAATTACTAACATAATCTCAAGAATATCTACTCCAATAAAAAATAAAGTATTAGATGAGAGTATAATTATCTAAATTTTTTGTTTTAAAAAACCGTTGAAAGATTATTTAGCATTTGTAGGCAACATTTTGTGAATGTTAGATTAAGCAAATCCTTGGACGTAATCTCTATATAAGTAGAAGGCAAATGGGCCAATTCTTCGGCTCTCATGAGAGCATTATTCGATTTAGAATCAGAAGGCGCTATGGGGGATGTGGGTTCGGTATCCCTTTCTTCCTCTAAATAGTCGGGATTGTTTTTGAGATCTATAGTTAGCTTGAGAAAAAAAAGAAAAAATAAATGGAAAAATTATATCTTCTATTTTTTAAAAAAAAGATATAATGATTCGCATCGTAATCATTTTTAATTTCTATTAACATTTTAAGTTAGTCTCAATTAAATGTTTCTTTTTTTAAAAAAAAATAAAAATAATAAAATATGATTTACATAAAATATTTATATAATTATTATATATTATATGATAGTTAGTCCTAAAATATTCAAATTATCCAATCTCTTCTTTGAAAATATTATATAAAATATAGCATCTTCTTTTCTTAATAATAATTTTTTTAGTAAAAAGGGTCATTTAAAATTTATGAAAAACTTATCATTTACATTTTTTTAAATTTCTTCCTAGATTTTTTGAAATCTACAATAGGTCGAAATATAGTGGAGAGACTTCCTTCCACTTATAACAGACTTTTTGCCCCATTCTGTCAGCTTATGAAATATTCTGTCAAGGAAATACTTATCCTTATTGAGATTCTTTGGGTTTATAATGCTAATTATCATTGAACAATTTTTATTTTATAAAATGGAAATAAATTTTTATAATGTAAGCATTTTAAAAAATAAACAATACCTCCCAGGGTCTCTGAACTTTGTCGGAACGATAGATCCCCGCCTCGGGAACGTATTCCGCTTGGTCATCGTGGCTAACCAATGGCTCTATCAGTGGTTCCCACAGGGCTAGGTATTCGTTGTAATACCTTTTATAATTAGGATGAAGCAAAAGTATGAAAATTTGCAATGAAAAGTTATTGTGCGTCAAGTGTTAAATATCGTCAACTGAGTATATAGTATTTCATATCCATTTCGATAAATGAATTCTTTAGTACTATTATTCTTATACATCCACAGTAAAAAAAATATGTTAAAATATAATTGAGATATATCGTTTATTTGCATTAATACATAAAAAATATTAACTTGGGAAACATTCTGACTCATAATTATTAAAGATTTATTATTTTATAATAATTACAAAAAAACTTTCCAACATGGTGGTGGATACGAGACTGAGCTTCTTGGATGAAGCTGTGCCCAGCATCCTTCGCATAAATTTAAATATTTTAATAGTATTCCTAAAGCTTATAACTATAAATATAATAACAATAATAATAAAAATCTTATATCGTTTTTTATTCTAACAAATGTTCAACAATGCTTTTATTTTTACTATTGTAATTAACAGAGTTGTTAAAGGATCTAGATACAAGTATCTAGATCCTGTATCTAGATATAAAAATGTGATATCTGTATCTAGATAGATTTTTGATTAAAATATCTGTATCTAGATATTATTTTAGACGATGTATCGGTATCTAGATCCATTTAAAAGGTATCTTTTAACAACTCAGGTAATTAAGAAGTGCTAGCAAGATGCAATAGAGATGACATTATAATTTCCCAGAGAGAAATGTTAATTATGATTGAGCATTTTAGGGAAATTAAAAGTTTCGATTATAAATGTTTTTAAAAGAATTGCAAAACAGTATCCAAAACTTTCAAACTAAGAATAGGATCACGTTTTCATCTTCTAAAGAGTAATTTTAAATTTTTTATTTTACATAACACAGATGATTTTTCCATTTTCATTTTGTGAAAATTACATAATAAAAGTAGGAGCTTAAAAATAGACAAAACTTCCGAAGCAGAGGGAAAGACTTTATGTATTACCAAATATCATTATCAATATAAAAAATATGATATAAAAGGCAATACTTTTCAAATTTATATATATTCAAAGAGGTATTATTTAAGTTTACAAAGGATTTACCCAGCTTCAAGACTAAGTTTAAGCCTAGCTTTCATCTGTTTGCCACTCCAATCTTGAAGTTTAGCCGTGAGTATTTTGCATTGAGTTTTGATCATAGGGACAGTCCTATTGTCGACCCCGGCTTCAATAGTTATCAGAATGCTGTTAATTGAGAGATCAATCTTAAAAAATTTGTACATATTTTTAATCAATAATATTTTTTTCATTAGGTCATGTAGGTAGCACAGGCGGGGTGGGTGGGAAAGTAGGAAATTTCCCGTCTCATCGGAATACATGTTCTTGTAAATATTATTTTAAGCTAATAAAAATTTCATCCTTACACCCCCCCTCCTCACCCCCTTCCCAAAAAATTTATATACTATATCACTATAAACAAATGATTTTTGAAATCTTTAGAAAAAAGTAATATAAAAAAAATGAAAAACCAAAAATTAAATTTATAAAAATATAACATATCCAAAGGTTACAATAAGTGGTCTTAAAGGCCTTTAATAAAATATATAGGGTGAAACCCCATCTAATATTCATCCCCCCCCCTAGGAAATCCTGGATATGCCTATAAAATAATAATAATATTATTAAAATATTCTCTATTTAAAATTTTCATCACAGGCAAAAAAAACAATTAAAAAAACCATTTAATACACAAAATCAGTATCAACCATATTATGTTTTTATGCGTAATTTATTTGCTAAACTTGTTCCATATATTTTTCTTTTTCATATTGGCTATCTTCCTCACTACCTTCGGGGGTCTCGCTATATAGGTTTTCTTGTTGCAATAATTGCTGTTGTTGTAACAACAACTCGTCCTCTCTGGCTTCATCTGAGAGGGCCTTTGTTTCCATGCTCAATGAGTCCAAAGCTTCATCTCCTAGTTCTACAAGATGTTAAATTTGATTACAATTATATTGATAATTCTTAAATTAGTTCCCTTTTATCAATAGTTTTATAATTTTCATATTTTAATATTTGCAAATTGGCTTTATTTAATTTTTAGTCACTCATTTTGATTCCATGACTAAATTTTATTTTATATATTTAAATAGATTTCTATATTTTTTTGAGGAGAGAGAAACGTCGTAATACATAAAGATATTGTAAAAATAAAATTAACTAGGGGGTTATCATTGATTACTTACTCTTTTATTAAGATTATAAAAAAATGTTAACAAATTTGGCCTATCATTTATAGGAAAAATATATTTGTTATTAAAATTCAGTGTAAATGTATTTACCCCCCTCATTCCATTTTTATATTTTAAATATATTTATACCCCTTTTATTATAGATTTTATGAGTCTTAATTTTAAATATATATTTTTTTAAATTGAAATCAATAAAATTATACTCAAAATTTAAAATAAATTCCTAATGTATATATTTATACCGGTATGAAGAAACCAATAATCGCAGGTGGATAAATCTTTGATAGCCCACAAATTTTCTGGAAGTGCTAGCAAATCCTCTTCCGTCTCAGCAGGCTTATAAATATTAAAATTCACATTTTACAGGTGTTAAATTTTTTAATCATTTTTCTTTCATTCTTTCATTTAAGCCTAAATAAGCATAATTCGTTGAGCTGTTCTTATCAAAATAATATAACAAGGGCATTATTAATGCATAGAAGTTTTTTTTTGAAATAAAAAGCCAAATATACAATCTTAAGCATGAAAGTAAGATATTAAAAAAATATGCCTGTGAACTAGTGATCTGCATCGGGCCTAATTTTTCAAGCCTGGGCCTGACCCGAAATTTTTTTTAAAAAAATTTACCGGCCCGGCCTGACCCGATTTAATTTTAAATATAGAAATTAATTTTTATATTTACTCAAAATAAAAGCCATATGTTATATGGCGTCTAGCTCTATAAATAAAATCCAATATTTTTATTTTACATAAAAAATTAAATATAAAATAGATAAATCTAAATATATTTAATTAAATTTCAAAGGCCCGACCAGACCCGGCCTGAAGCCCGTTCTGATCCACATAAATGAAGCTCATGCTTTCGAATATAGAAGAAATAAATCGATTTTAAAGTTTAAAACCTTGGGAGGGCCTTTGATACTAGTCACGGCTGTGAGTACTCTGATAGTCGCGGGCGATATATTCAAAACGATGTCCGACACCTGAGCTAGTATTTTTTGTCCGAGTTTGGTTAAAGAATCACATGTTACAATTACATTGAGCGGGTTTAAAATCTTTAATAATTAAAATGGAACCATATTTAAACGTCATATTAATTATCAAATTTGTAATAAAAATATTCATTTTAAAAAGAAAATTACTTTAATATGGTGAATACTTATAATTTTATTAATATTTTCGAACTTAAAAGTTTTTTTAAAAAAAATTAAAAGCTAATTCATAATAATCGTGAGTTAAATAGTTATTAAAATTTTTAGTGTTGTTACAAGGCTCGATTTGAACCGATTTTTAAAAACGGTTAACTATTTCAGCCAGAAAAATATTGTCTAAACTTCGAGATATCGCTAATAGATGTCCAGACCTAATCTAAATATTTTCAAAATAACCTTTTTTATTGATATTGAGGATCACGGTCTGGACCGGTTTCTTATTTAAGGATCTTGATCCAAACTAAAACGGGACGGTGCCCTTAACTCTTCGCATTCCAGCTAATTGAAATTCAATTAAGAATAAATAAATAGTCAGAAATGATGGTACTTCGAAAATTATCCCTTAATTTATAAAATATTAGATAAACTTTGCTTACTACCTAGCAATAAACTTTAGACCTACTAACCCGTTTCTACCCTAATAGGTCCATATTTTTAAATTTTGAGGGATAATACAAGATTTAGGAGTGAGAATCGTTCCAGATTTTTGTTTTTAGGGATTAATTCAACCAAAGCACTCATAGGCCCGTGTTTTTTGTACAAACGAACGTTATATTAGATATATACGCCCCCCCCCTCTCTAAAAATTAAACTGAAATTCGTTTAAGGCCTAGGATATAGTGAGCTATTTGTTTATGTCATAGTGTCAATTATTGATTACACATACTAAATTTTTTTAAGCCCTGGGACATACATTATATAATGAGTTAAAAAATAATATTTTCATAATAACCTGTGCCGTGTTACCTTCCCTCAAGTGTTTCGGGAAAGGGCAAGCAATAATTTGCAGTTTGTGAAGCTTTCCGTCCATCAAAGTTTTGTCAGGCGTTCGATCGTACAAAAACCCCAATTGAAGCTATGATTTTATAAAATAATATAATAAAGTTAATGATATAATAATGAGTGATAGAAACATTTGAAAAAAACGAGTTATTTGAATATTTTATTGTCACCGAGATAATAATCTTCTTAGCGATTTTTGGTACAAAAGTTGTTTTTCTTTCTCCCTCGATATTTAAAGGTAAGGGTAAAACAATAATCGTATGATAAACTTGAATATATATTGATGCACGACAAAAAAAAAATCTGGACTCAAATTGTTTTAGTATTATTTTTTTTTAAAAAAAATTAAGTTACCGTGAGTATTAAAGCTTTCGTATTCCAGTCAAGAGGATCTTCAATCAATATAATTTCGGGCTCGTTCAAAGAAAATCGAATATAAATACTGGGAGTGGTCTTAGAATCAACCGCAATCTGTTCTTTGGCTTAAAATCAATATATATTTATTGTAATTTAAACAAGGACTGGAATTAAAATTATTTGTGCGGATCGGGCCAGATCAGAATTTTATAGTATAAATTTAACATCGAATAAGATGTCAGTAGTTTACAATTATTTTTTTTAACATGCAATACATAAATTACATTAATTCATTAAACTATCCTGTATTATAAATATATTTAAAAAAAGTAAGGAAAATTAAAATCAATGATTTATTTTCCTAAACTCATTTCCCACAATTACCCTTGATTTTTTTACGCCTAAAGTTATTTACGAACTGCACAATAATCATTCGGTTCTCACTTGTTTTATCTGTTTGAGTGGCCTGAACGGCGGATCGCGCTTTAGCGATTGGTTTGTTAACGTCATTTTCGCTGGAAGGCATGTTTTTGGTAAAAAAATCACCGACCGACCTCAAAAAGTCGATACAAACGCAAGCGTATAGCCTATATTTTTAAAAGTTTTAAGAAAGGGAAAATTAATTAACATTGGCATTTACTTAGTAAAGAATAAAACCAAACCAACCATTCATAAAAATTAAAAATTTGATATGAATAAATAAAACAAACTGAAATTACTTATTGATGGCGGCATTGATGGTCATGTTAGAATTAGCGTCTTTGAGAAATTCGAAGTTTATCAAATGACTCATCTTGCCATGGTGTTCACTATCAGGACTTATAGTGTGGTTAATCAACTCGGGCTCATTAATTTTTCTCATCTCTATCATCCTGATTTAATAATATTTTATGGGTTTTTTTTAAAATTATTTATTTTTTGCTTGATATATGGTTACCACTGATAAATGAATTAGTAACCATATATTAGTATCAGAGTTGTTAAAAGATACTTTTTAAATTGATCTAGATACATATACATGGTCTAAATGTATCTAGATAAGATACATCGTCTAAAAACATATCCAGATACAGCTACAATTTTTTATATATAGGGTTTCTTATTATGAGAGTACAAAATGCGCAAATAATTTGTACTCATTCAAATTAGAACACCATATAAAAAATAAAAAAAATGTCAATATTTTTATCGTTCTTTCGAGCAAATTCTCATTTAAAATTTTTTTTTACATTAAACTTATAAATTATTTATTTAAAGTTAGCGGAATATCTATAAAATTATTTTAAAATTCTAAATAAATTTATTTGCTTAAAATAATTTTGTAAATCAATGATATTGTTTTAATAATTAATGGGCGTCATGGATAAGCAAGGATTTATATATTCACATGATGAAAACATCCTTCACAATCTTGAACTGATTTCTAAGAATTTTAAAATAATAATATTTAATGAATATTTATATTTTTTTATATATGAATAATATTATATATATATATATTTTAATATATTAGACTAAATATTTTTTGATATATAATTATATTATATGCTCATATGAGATAAAATGAATTTTGCATTCAAATATTTTCATTTTTGAGATAAACAAGCATTAAATAAAAATATATCAAAATGTATCTTAATAAGTATCTAAAAAGATATCGATACCTCTTAAATAATCTCTAGATACAGATACCAATACTTTTATAACAAGTTAGATATCTATACGGTATTTTTATATCTAGATAATTTAACAACACTGATTAATATATATATGGTATTTACTTCTATCCATTAATTATTTATTAAATTTTGCCATATTATTGCATCATGAATTACAATTCTAATAGACATGTACCGGATATGATAAAAAATATTTTCATTAACTCTCTTATATTTCAGTGGCAGAAATATAAAAAAAAAATATTCAGTGTTAAACAATATTAAATTCGTTCCTTTGTCATATTAATCTTCGGAAACATCGGCCACAAAACACTTCCCTTCCTGAAAAAGATATAAAAAAAATTACCAATTTCACGAGAGATCTTAAAGAATATTTTTATTTTCGCCAGAACGTCGACTTAAAAATTTGCCTTTTAAAGTTCTTATCATATTATGGCTCCATAGTACTATTAATCATTTATTTTAGTCTTTTTTTAAAAAAATATATATTTACTTTTTTTTGTTTTGCATATAGTCAAATGCATGAGTTTCTCATAATTACCTTCGAAAATGGGATGTTTAGATTTTTCATTAAACCCAATGCTGTAGTCCTAAAATTAACGGCGAGGGCAGTTATTAATCTTAAAAAAAAATAGTAAGGGGCCAGCTAAAAAGGGCAAAAAATATAGGCGAATTTTTGCTTTTCCAAGACTTCGATGCAAATATTTTTCAACACATATATACAAGGCATAGGGCAATTAATTCAATAATTAGCCATAGTCTTACGAGGGCCAGAATACCAAATATCATGGAGATTGCTAATCCGGTTGACATTTGCCAAGATCAAAAATAAATTAATACTCTAAATGAACTAATTATGTTTTTATGCCAATGGTTATAGCTTCCATTGGACTATGTAGAGAGGAACTTTACAAAAAAAAAAAAATTATTTTTAAATTTATCCATATTTAATCTGGGGGGGGGGGGTTGTAGTAACACTTCTTTTTCTTTTTCTCTTTCTAAATTATCATAATGCAATAAAAGTATTTTTTGAGATTATACTTAAAAATCTAGAACACTTTTGAGATTATACTTAAAAATCTTTTATTTTTCAAAAACTAAAATCTAACAATCAATCAATAAAAAAAATATATTAATACATTAAAAAAAATCAATATTATTTTCTTTTAAATTAATAACAATAATAATAATATACATATACCTAGAACACCTCCCTTATTTTTAAGAGGCGTTCTCAGGTTACTAAACATATATATAAAAAAATATTACATTTTATTATATATATTGCTCCTCTTTATTCATTAACTTCATTTATACCCATCTCTGCGAATTCTTGAGGAACTTGTGAGAAATGGTCAGCCACCAAACCAACCAACGATAAATGTGCAACCATCCTTTCATAGATCAAGGATGAGTGTTCAACAGACCTATATTCCGTTTAACTTGTTTTGCCTGTGGAACAGAAGGACACAAAGCAGCTAACTGTCCCAGCAATACTTATGTTATCAATAATAATGATAATAACCAAAATAAAGTCAATGATTCGAATTTTGCTCGTGCTAACACAATTCTGGATCGTTCTAATGTAATCCTGCCTAAGCAAGTACTCATGAATCAGAAAAATTTTGGAGTGCGTAAGACACTCATGAAAAAACCAGCAGTGCAAAGGAAAAGACCTGTCAATTTTTCTACTAAAATGAACGTAGTTGAAGAAGTGCAACAAGAATTCAATGTATTAATATATTTTTTTTATTGATTGATTGTTAGATTTTAGTTTTTGAAAAATAAAAGATTTTTAAGTATAATCTCAAAAGTGTTCTAGATTTTTAAGTATAATCTCAAAAGTATTCTTTTGTAAGAGAGAAAAAACTGGCTATATTTAAATTATATTCCCATAAAAAAGCTGCTTAACTTTTATATGTTTTACATTCTTTTTAGATTTCTTAGAATAATTATTGGAATTCCAGCAAAGAAATGGTACAAATTTTAAATATATAAATTCGTGTTTCTTTTAAAAAAAATTGATCTGTCATTGATTGAGACGAAAGTTAAAACAACAAAAAGTTTGATGATAAAATTTATTCTTTCTTTCTTTTTCGAAGAATATCTTTATACTTTATACACAATCAGTTATTTTAATATATATATTTGATTCAGTTTGCACTAAATAATTCCTCTTATTATACAATTTTTTTAGTCAAGTTGTTTAATTATTTAAAAGGGAGTTAAATAGCTAACTTGGTAATCCCGGATTGAAATAAAGGTCTTTTATCTTCAAGCGACAAATCGTAAAGGGATATTTTGGTGTCGAGGGAATTGTCGGACTTCATGTGACCTGTCAGGTGGATGTATATGAGTTGAATGCGGGAAAGAGCCTTTTTACTATCCCTTTCGCAAACTCCACCTTTACTCTAATTAAGTGTATATGATTATATTATCAAGGCCATAATTTGATGTATCATAATAAAGGCCGCTGCTGGTCCTATCGGTCTTAGGCTAGAATCGGACCAGATCGAGATCGATTTTAGAGTTCCAGTCCAAATTATTTAAGATCGCAGTCCAGCCTATTTCGGTTACATCTAGACCAGATGGCGTCTAAATGAGCAGTTTACATCCGAATTATTTTGAGGGGGGGGGGGGGGGGTAGGATAAATATTTTGGTGGTTATCTATTAAATTTTTAAATAAAATATGGCAAAATATATTGCTGTAAAAATTAATACTTTTAATAGACTTATTATAATAAAATGATATTGCAAATCATTGACCAAATCTATATATTACATACAATCATAGACATTATTTTTCAAATAAAATTTTTGCTAAATTAATAATGTGAAAACATCGCCGTGGAAGTGGCGGAAATTTTTAGAGGAGTAGGCATAGGTTTTTGACTGGGGTTTGCATGCATTGAAAATCCTGTCATATAGACGCAAAGACCAGAGATCGGACCATGGGCCTTTACTAATGTAAAAAGTTTAAAAATTACTTATAAATTTAATAGTCGCCTCTCTAGTGAATTTTAATTACATAAAAAATTACTGTTTAGAATATGATATTCACCATATTTATTATTTTTTACCAGGTTGGATGACCCATAATAGAGAGCGGCTGCTACTTTATCGAATTGAAACTTGAAGCTTATTTTGACAGGCGAAACTGATTTTTTGTCGCCTTTGAGACGATTACATAATTTATTATGTGAAATATTTGTTACAATTAGTATCGTCAAAATCTTCGATATCATCAATTTTTTAAAATAATACGGGTAAATCCACATCAAATTGATAAACTTAATAACCTGACTTTTTTAAATTTTGATAAAAAGGCGTGCTGAGAAACCATTACTTGCAGACATCGAATAGAAAATTGTAGTCCTCCTGTTACTAATGGTTTCTAAGATATCAGGAGTCAAATATTATTTTTCGAAAAATGCGTTTAAAAAAAATTGATTAAAGTTAATTATATAATGATCTGGAAAATATGATGTGTCATTTTCTTTATAGTAAATATTAGAAAATTATTTAAAATAATAATGTTGCATTTTTTATTTATTTCATAATTGTTGGGCTTGAGATCTAGTGTTTTGCTCTCCGAATTTCTTTAAATTTAATATTTCATCATTCCTTTAGAATAAATATACCAATTTTTTAAAAAAAATTAAAATTGGGATAGTCATGGATTGTTTTTTTTTAACTAAAGGTTTTTTTTTTAATTTTTTTTACTAGCATTTTTACCCTTAAATAATATTATTTAGCATTATAGGCTTTAACAAATATTTAAAAAAAAATTATTTTATTAATTAAGACTCTAGATATAATAAGCATAAAAACATTGCCTATTTTCTTCTTTTCATATAATCTAGTTTTTTTAAATGCCTTTTGTCTTAAAGCGATTATATATGCTTAGTTAATAAAATAAATTTAAAATTATGAAAGGCTTTTTTTAAAAAGTTAAATTAAGCGTTTTGGATGCTGATACTTTCATTTTAAGGCAAACTGCAGATGCGTTCAGTCATTCGTTGATGGGCTTAGTATTGGTAAAAACTTGACGTTTTGAAAATTATTTTGATACTAAAGGACCAGCCAATTCCTTTATTTATCTATCCATAGCATCAATTTTTCATTACCAAAATGTAACATTTTAACAATAGTGAATCCCTCAACAAATAACTGGACGCAACTGCAGTTTTATCGCAAGACGAAATTATCAAGGCTAGTGCAAAATACTTAATCTAAAGAAAAAGCCAAGAGTAGCCATTTTTCATAATTATAAATATATTTTATTTACAAGTAAAGATTTATAATCGCTTATAAAACCGAATATATTACAAAATGATGTTTCGTAATATTAATGTTTTCTTTCTTTCTTCCTTTTGGTTATTTATGTTTTAAAATGTAAATTATTTTATCAAAAATGAGTTACCTTATAAGGGACCATCTATTTATTTTAAAAAAAATCCCAATACTAAAAGGTTATGGGATGTTCCATTTTATATGATTTTATTTTTTAAATAAATATAATGTGTTATTAATAAAATATTAAATTCAAAGAAATTTGGGCATAGAGATCTTAGGTTCAAAAATTTATAATGTAAATAAAAATTACACCATCATTATTTAAAAAAATTCTATATTTACTAAAAAAAATTTAGTAGAGCTAAAAAAAATGGCACTTAGTTTTTATTTCTAGCGTTATTATTATCTTATCCAAATTATTAAAATAGCATTTTCCTAAGAGAATTTTGGACATATTTTGGGCCATTGATATCTCACGAATTATTAGTATTAGAGGGCTATCAATTAATCGATGCCTGCTAAATGTTCTCTCGGTGTGCAAATAAATAGGTAGATCGAATTGTAATGTTTATCGATTCGAGTCCAAAAAATTATTATCTAACCTCGAGATTTAGCCCAAAAGAGAGCCAAGTTCATTTTAATTTAAATGTAATTTCACTCAAAGATATTATTATTTTTAATAACTATGAACAATAAAAAAAATCAGAACCCTTCACAGACAGCTTTGAGTACAAAATATCCGAAATCAGATGGACAAAAATAACCCTGAAATTTTTTTAGGGCCGGACCGCCAAAAAAAGGTCCGATGCAAGGTTTCTGATAGAACTTCTTAATTAATCATTGATATTTATAAATAAAGAAAAATCCTTATAAAATATTCACCGGTACCAGGGGTTTCCTTGTTATCTTTACCGCTCTTGCTCTTTCTAGATTCAGATTTTAGAGATTTTCTTTCTTCGACGATCGGTCCTAACATCAAGGATTTCCTCAGATTAATGGTTTGCGCGGCAATATTTTCGGTGCTCAATCTGGACGATTTCGGTTTTTGCTGCGATTTTGGTGTGGCCATCGAACCGACGATATCTTGTTTGTCCTGCTTGTTGAACTGAGAAGAATCGTCGACGCTGGGAGATTTGGCCGAAAGGTTTTCGTTGACTATGTTCATAACAGTATTGAGGTCATCTTCACTTAGGCTTATCTAATAAAAATTATGAGAAGTATTTTGATTGAAGCAGGTGGCAATCATTAGTTTCGTAGGGCTTAATCTGGGGTTAGGAATAGCTAATCTGCGATAACTATGGGTCAGATCAATATATGAAGCCACCATTTATTATGAGTCAAATAATGAAAATCTCATGACCCATTTGTTTTAATCACTTTTGTAAAAAAAACATTTTGCAAAAAAAAATCGAAAGGTTCAGAGTTTTGGATATTTTTTGGTAAATTTTATAAATATTGAATATGTATTTTTTCTAACCTCAATTCCTTTAACTTCGGAATAATCTTCATAATTCGTATTGGTAGAATCCTAATAAATGTGATATAGAGAACATTATAAATATATTTATATATATTATTACTGTAAATTCAAATCAATATAATGTCCCTGATATATTTTACTATTTTTAGTAAGTGTTATAAAAAAAATGGCGCTCTAGCAACCAGTTTTTGTATGTTTTTTATTCAGATATTGAGGTAATATAAGAGCAATTATTTCATTTATTTTTTTTAAATTTTCCAAATTCATCTTTATTATTCGTCTAATATAACTAATATATAGAACACCTCATTAATCCAGATCTTGTATAAAAAAAATAGTTACTACTTTGGGGGTGAAGCCTGTGTGAACTTTCGACAAATGGCCAGTTATATCAATTTCCGGTATAGAGTTATGCTCTTCGAAGCTCAAATTTCTTCTGATCTCCAGGTTTATGTTGGCAGGTTCCAAAATCATAACTTCAGCCTTAATATTCGAAGTATTCGTCTCGTCCATTATGACCCTGATAGTGTGGGCGTATTCAAAATTTAAGGTACAAGTATTTATAAGTAAAAAAAACAATTAATATATATATCCAGATCAAGTGATATTAATGTAAGTTTAAATATATATCATAAACTGGGATTTAACGTGTATAATGAAGACATAAATTTGATACGTTAAAATTGGGATATCTTAATTTTTACCGGTGATGATAACTATCCCCCTCCTTAAGTATTTATGCTCTGATAATATTATCAAGCGATTACCTTCATCTATTTTTTAAAAGATCGGGGCGTAATAAAATTTAAAAAATAAAAACGGTCAAATTTAAACACGTGATATAAAATTTATTATCATTTACTATTTTAAAATTGCGGATTTTAAAACATTCCAAAAAATTCGTGTCTTGTCCCTTTAAAAAAAAATGAGCAAATATTAAATATTCAGAACGTTAAATCGGATCAAAGATTTATTACCGTGATATTTTGAAATCGGTCAACTCTAACATCATTTTGTCCATAATCGCGGGTGATGTTCCTTGGGCATCATAATTTTTGAGAGATTTCTAGTTTTTATGCGTTAAAATCGTTTAATATTAAGTAGTATAGTTAAAGGCTAAGGTGTGTGCATTTTATAATATATATCTAATCTTTCAAAAGCGATAATTATTCTTTTTAAAAATATCTAAATCATAATGGTTCACACATGTTAATGGTGACCACAAATTCAAAAAAAATAATAAAATGCCAATCATCAAAAATTAAAAAAAATAATTGCATTATATTAAATCTCCCAAAATCAAAGAAAATAATAATTACCAAAGTAATTTCATCGTCCAACGAATTATTTATACTATGCGAATCGTTTGGAACTTTCTGTTTAAGCAATGCGGGCGGTGTTAAAGCAAATCGATTGGCCAATCTGAGGGTTCCCAGATCCAATATGGCGGCATCGGGAAAAGAATTTCCTCGAGGAATGACGAAAACGGGTGCCCTCATTTCGACGCGCAATAAAATACGCGAGGCCGTTTTACTCAGGTTGCTGGCTACTTCAGCCGCAGCAGCGGAGGTAGCTTCTGCCATCTTAGATTTGGCGTCTGATGAAAACGTTTCTATCACGGACTTTAAAATTATAGGAAAACAATTTTTTATTTATTCTCCCTTTTCATTTTATTCTTCGAAAAAAAAAACACTTAATTGTTGCGTTATGTTTTATTGGCAAGATAGTTAAAAATTGTGTTTACATATTACAATATATATTAATTTAAGAATCGGAATTGTTTATTTAAAATTTAAAATCTTACTATACTTATATAACATGCATAATATTCTTTTTGTAGGTTATGTATGACATAAACCTGCAATCGGGCGAAAAATGGAAGTAAAACAACGACCCTTAAGCCTCCTAGTGTTACATCGACTTTGATATCGGTTTTGTTTATGTCGTACAAAATATTCCGTCTGTAGAAGCCTTGAAATGAGGGGTTTTGCTTCCAAAAGTCGTTATTGGGCCCGTTGTTGAAGAGGTATAAGGTAGCTTTGACGAGGCTTTCTGAAGTTATCTAATTGTTTTTTGGAATAAAAAGTAATCTACAAAACAATTATAATGAAATAAAATTCAAATTTTAAAGATAAGGCATTCCTCGATAAATCCATCGAACCCGATAATATAAGCAGTAAGTTTGCATATCAAATCAATTTACCAGTTTTGAAGGAGTTTTGAAGTTTGGAGATTCTCCAAAGGCTTTCCGGTTATAGGAAGGGGATGCCAAGGTTTCGTTGGTTGGGCTAGCATATGCGGAGGAGGAAGGCCTGTAGTTAGTTAAAATGCTGCCTAAAATTTGTCCGTGATAATAAGGGATATCGTTAGATGGCTTGCGAGATAAAAATGTGTTATCTTGAATCGAGATATCGGCCAGTTCAGCATCTATTTGGGTTTTATCCCGCCGTGTCATAACGTTGGACTTTAGGCCTTATAGGAAAATAGTAATTATGCAACAAGTTGCATTTTTAGATAAAAGATCTATTCAAATTTTTAGTCCTGACTGTGTTTTTATTTATCTAAAAAAATATTTGATTGTAATCCGTATATGAAAATGGGTTCAAGAAATATTAATTTTTATGTATAAAATAGAAGTCGTGATCAAAAAATTCTGCGAACAAGTTCAGGTAGGTGCTGACCTTTAATATAAATTAAGAAAATTTGCAGATAAAACGTTCTTAGATCGTAAACACGGTTTAGCAGTTAAATTGCAATTTTAAAAAGTGTGGTATTACCGATAATGGAAATGGTGGCCAAATCAAGAGAAACGTCACATATGTTGAGCGATACGGATTGGATATTAACCTGTATAAACATGTCAGTCACTTTGACGCCATTTTTGTTCTTTCTAGGAGTCATTACTAGAATATAAAATCGTGGTTGTGAAATAAAAAGTGGTTACACTAATATTAATTAATAGTTACCTATTTCTACATTTCTTAAATCATTAAGAGCATAAGTTAACTTGATTTACTATGTTTCGTACCCAAAAAAAATATGAACTTTTGAAAAAAAACCTAATGGTGCCAACTTTGAAGGTACCGGTGAAGTAGTAGATAAGATAGACATATTAGAATCACGAGGTTTGATTGATGAAGGTGGAGTGGTGTAATTCTGATTTATGCTACTCGAAAAGGTGGATAGAGCTGAAGGCGATACACTCATCTTACCTTGGGTAAGCTTTTTTTGACTTTGCAAAGAGTGGCCTGAAATGTATTATTATTTCATATTTTTTAAATTTGTAATATATTATCTCAAATAAAATTATAATCGAATAAAAAAAATTAATTCATTCTTAATCAACGGGCGTCGCGATAGGAGATAAGCACGCCCAATATATTATATATTGGATCAAAATGGCAATGATCGATCTTATAATTGAATTGATCGTAAAAAAAAAAATATTTAAAAAAACAACTGTTTTTTCCAAATGTAAAAAAAACGAGAAATAAACAGCGAAAAAAAAAAAGAGTAAGAATAAATATCTATAAAAATTTATTTTAAGAAAATTTCAAAAATTAAATTTTATATAAAACAAATAATAAACTTAATTTAACAAAATGAAGCTATTAATATTTGTTTTTTATATTTAAGATGATTGTGATATAGAAAAATTTGTGATAAAATATTGGCGATTATATTTTCAGCAAGGATTGTAGTAGTAATTTTTAAAAAAACCAAAAAAAGGGCCTTAGTTTTTGTCACCCCTTAATTACATATATATTTCATTATTTTATTCAATTTCTATTGTGATAAAATTATTTCTTTCGCCTTCCTTCATTATCACTCTTCTAATTTAATTATGTATTTAAGGATTATATATATAATCTAAACGCCGCTGTCGAACCTAATGATCCCTCGTCAAAACTGATTCCCATTCTCTTTTTCTTGAAACTTCCCTTGGTGGACACCGTTTGTAACCTCGTTTCGTCCTGGAACTTGGTATGCTTCTCCTGGGCATCGATCAAACTGATTCGTGTCATTTCGGCAATCAAGGCTTCGCCCATCTTCAGTAAAGTTAACAGGGCCTTTTGGTGCAATTTAAGGTTGAGCGGACAAAATTTCAGATCCAATCTTTTTTCGGTCATGCAGTATTCGGTCACAAAATCGGGACCGTTTATATTGGCCTAACGATAATGAAGTAGATAAAAAAAATCAAACATATCCTTAAAAAATACAATGAGATTTTTTATATTAAAAATCTAGTCACTTTAAAATAATTATGTATTTTTGGGGGTTTTAAGCTTAAATATAATTATCACATAAAAAAATTAATATATATGTTAAAACATCTAAAAATAAACAAATATTTAAATATAAAAAAATTTTACGATTATTATTTTGCAGGATAAAAAGTGTTGATCAATGCCCGCGGATGAGTTGATCAAATATAGATGGCCTGATGGCTCTATATTTTCAAATAATATATATATTCATCACTAAACAAAAAAAAAATTTCAGTTTCCTTTAATGATAAGATTTCTTTCCAATCTTTCTTCTCTTCAGCCCTTAGCTCACCTAATCATCCGTTATGATGAATTATTTTTTTATATCAAATCATCTAATAAATTTTGTAAATAAACGGTGTATCACCCCTATCCCATCCTTGATTAAGATTTTAAATTTTTCATAATATTTCTCAATGTATTATATAAAATGTTTCGACCTGCATACTCGAAATTTTCGAGCACTATAGCTTTGAGATGAGCTTTAATGAGTGTTTCAAATGTCTTGGATTCAACGTAGGCTCCTAAAGAGTTAATCGAAAAACTCATTATTCTTTCCTTGTCCTTCGAAGGTTTAATTGAATCTACTTCGTCACCTTTGGGTTTAATTCTGGGAACGCCGGCCTTGACTCGGTATAAATTGAGGCGTAACTGTTATATTATACAGGTGAATATTTTTTTTAAAAAATAATACCAAATAAATATTAGAAATTTATTTGGGATAGGTGAATACTAGCTTCAATTCGAAGTTGAGCATTAGGGAAGTCAGGTGCACATTAAGGTTAGCCTGTTCGTTAACTTTTTTACTTCTATCCGAGTCTTCGTCAATAGCGGTATTGATTACTTCTTCTTCCGCCAGCCTTAACGCGTCAGATGCGTGGGCGTTCTATATAATTATAAAAGTAGTGTGTAAAAGTTTGACTTAGAATATGAAAAATATTTTGATCAAATTCTACCCAAAAAAAAGTTTTGCGAATTTTGTTTTATTACATTATCTGAACTAGATTTCGCGCCCTTTTTTAACAAAACGTCCTGTGGAGAAGGGGAATGGGGCGCAGATTCAGAAGGGAAAATAGTTTCGTTATCGATATTTTGAGGAGCCGGTTGAGGCCTAGGAACGCTTAAAATAAGCTTGAGCACGTCTTCCAGTCGTTTGTCGGATATGTCTAGGGTTACGTCGGGTAGGACGCCAAATATCCGTATTCTTTAAGAAAATATTTGGTAATATTCATAAGAGACAAGTTAAGATGAAGAGAAAAATTGCTTCCCTGCACAAATAAATAAAAGCGTTATTTAACCTACATTTAAAAATGCATTGGTAATTTTATTTATTAGATAAAATTGATAATAACTATCAAATCAAGATAATTTTTGAGTATCTCAACACTTAGCATTCGTTGAAAAAAATAAAATAAAGCAAGAGTAATTGTTTAAGGGGGATGAGGATGAACTCATTATAAAATGCTATGTCCCAGTCATTAATTAATTTTTCGTCATATTTAAGTTTGTCAAGGAAAATTAACAAGATATTTATAACTCAAAATTACCCTTTTATATTGAAATTATGGTATTTTAAAATTTTTTGGGGCTAATCAAAATTGATCAAAAATACCACAAAAAAGCACTTTAATCAAAAATCCAGACCATCGAGAAATAAGTGTTTTTTTACAAACTCTAGGAGCTCTATGATCCTGATGAATGGTGTCAGAGGTAAGTTCATAATATATTGGGTTTTCAATGATTTTATAAAATATAAAAGTAAAATATTATTCATTTTAAGTAATCAATAAATCAGCTAACTAATATTTTCAATTATAAATATTTTATAACGGTAAACCCAGAACTTTATAATAATAATAAAAAAAATTGTGTTTTAACCTTGGAATTTTAGGGTCGTCCATTATTATTGATTTTTCGAGGAGTACTTTGATTGCGCCAGGTTTCAAAATATGCAGTGGTGAGTCATCCATAGATTTGTGGTGCTTCCAATCATCATCTTAAGATAAATTTCAAAAAATTAATAAAATCAATCCTTTTATCAATATTTTTCTTGAGACAGAGACTTGCAGAGGTTGGGCAGCAAATAAATGGCAAATATCCATCATTTATACGATTTCTCAAACTATTTTTGTAAATTACACTATTTTAATTGCATGCTTTGGGTTTAAAATATTCCTCAAGGATTAGAATGAAAAATAAATGGAGAAGTCATTATAAACTAAAACAAAATTTAAAAAAAATACCTTTCAATTATGGATTTATATGATTTCGGATCAAATCTTATCTAAAATTACAAATCTTTTGTAATTTTTATGCGTAAATAAAAAACTTTTGATTTTCTTTAAAAAAAATAATATTCAATCTATTGAACCTTTCAAAAAATTTTGTTAAATTTTGGGCAGGCAAATATTAAAATTTTTAAGCTCTAATCAAAATGAACAAAAATTCATAAAAGATCTTCAAACAAAAAAAAATTTAAATGAATACGATGAAAAAAATCACATTAAATCTTAAAATTGTGCTGAATATTTTTTAAAATCATTATCGAAAACCAAAAAGATACTTTTTTAAAATCTAATTTAAATATTCATAAAAGATATTTTTTTTCATGATTTTTATTTTATTTTGTTCAATCTAACCCCTCATTCACGTTAGCGGGAATTCGCGGCGAAGAATAATACACCGCCGCGAATTTGGGCTAACTATGATTAAGGTGGTAAGATCATAACTGGACGATGTTAAAATAAATTACAAAAAAATAGTTTTAATAAACCTTTAGTGGCGTATAGCATTTGGATCCTATCCATTTTCACTTCGACTTTATCATAAGATTTTTCCATCAAGTCTTCGATTTCTTTATTCTATAAATTCAAAAAAAAATTATATAAATAATTATTTTATAAAAACTTAGCCTGATTCAAACTTTAAATGGAAAGTTATACAAATCTATTATCCAACCAACAGTATAGTATAATATGGTTTACAGTGAAAATGGGCGAAAAAATAATTAGAGAATAAAAGTTTATAGCGATGGAGATAGGTCAGATAGTGAATCGTGGCTGTTGTGAGAATAATAGGAACCGAACGTAATTTCAATCTCAACAAAGAATTGGCGGTTAATCATCTAAGACGCTTTGAGACATATTATGGGGGAATGGGGGTGGTAATTAAAAATATTGAAGTTCAGAGCAAGCTTTAAGTATCCGTTTTTAGGTTGAAATGAAAACCTAGGATTAAATTATGAATAGATCAAAATAGATGAAACCAAAAAAGTGAAGAAAAATAAATGAAACATAATATAAAAAATGCAGATGACCTTAAAAAAAATTATCATATGAATATTTGGAAAAAGATTCGCAATTTAAAATAGAACGATTTTTAAAAAAAAATCGAGGGCAAATTAAAAATATATACATATATATATTTAAAGATGTCAATCAATTCACTGCCCATATATAAATTGTCATATGGCAGGGTACACCGAATATTTCAAAAAATTTTAGAAGTGATGGTGGGTGTCATAGATTAGACTGAATAATTTTATCAATGCAGAAAATTATTTAGTGATTAGCGAAGATAGGGATATTTAGGAATAGTACATTTTTTATATAAAAATATAATGTTTAATAGGTGATCTAAGTAGTTAATATCTATGGTGGGCAATTGTTAAACCTTAACGTTTTTAAAAATAAAATCCTCATTTGTTCAAATGTAATAGATAGAAACAGCAAACAATAAGCGTTCTTAAAACTGCTCCGCAAGGTATAACGGAGTGTGGTTCGCCTAAAATTTTGAAGAAATATTGTCATTATGACCGAAAAGGCCAAAAGGGCATTGTTTTTAAATACATACAATGTAGGCATAGTAAGTCTCGTCGATGATATGACGAGCGCTTAAAATAAATTGATATTCATAGGTGAAACAGTGTCATTAATCAATACTAGAATAGGAAGTTCGAAACCATTATGTACTGCACCTCTAAAAAAGTGGCTTCAATTGCAACATGATGAAGTACAATACGATTCCGACCAAGTAAATAACACAAAAATGTAATATATAAAAATGTTGTTTCCGGAGCCATAAGATCCATCTTGATAAAACCAGCACAGCAAAATGGATGGTTATCATTATCAATGGTAGCATAATTAATTTTTGTCAAAAAAAACATATTCAATTTTAAATGTTTAACTAAAATATTTCCTGTTTACAAGAGGGTAGATTCGTATGAAACGCATATTAACCAAAATATTTTAAATATTCAATTAAGCAAGATTTAAAGCTGTTGAATAATTGTGATGAAAAAACAGACCCTTAATGGTATAAAATATATTGGTCTAAGTGTATTAATCCCCACGTCTAATTTTAATTTTCGCTAGATCTGTGACTTTTATGTAACAAGTCCTGAGATAAAAAATTTTTGTAACTTAGAACTGTTACATAAAAGTTAAATAAAAAGAAAAGTAAAATTTTTAAAAAAACTTTGGAAGTAGGGTATTAGAAAAAAAACTAAATTTGAAATTTAAAAAAAATCTTAACATTGATGGTAGGGACGAGGGACGACCTCGTATCGTATATAGAAAGATCTTGTCTTACATCGGGATCATCTTTGACGGAAAACATGGAGAAATTACCCAAATCAATTAGAATTATGTCGGAATCACTGAAAAAAATTAATATATTCAAATGAAATTATAGGTATGTACGTAGCAAAAGGTGTCGCTATGGGGCAAAATGCGTGCATTAAGGCTATTCAAAAACGAATATGATTCTATTATACGTATAAATACGAATAGTAGATTTTATTGAATAATTAACTATTCGCATTTGTACTTCTCCGGAAAACCGCCATTAAACGTAGAAGTGCGATATCGGATAGTAAATTAGATTCCTATTCGTTTTTGAAGAGATCTAGTGCGCAGCATACCTATATATAATGAGGGAGCTTATAAGATTTTGTATTAGGGCAATCGTGTTTTTTAGCACTTCTTAGATAAACATGGTCCGTTTTCATACACCCCCCCACCCTTAGTTATAATTTATAAGAGCTAACGACACCCATCAACCCAAATTTTAATTGTTTTAATAAAGAGTTATTATTTTCAGTGTGAGAAAAGGGGAGGGGAAATTGGAAAAACATAAAATGAATTATTTATTACTTACTCTTTATACACGCCTCGATTGGGTATAATAATGTGGGAAGATTTGATATTGACTTTAAGATCTAATATCTTACGCTTTTCTAGAGCGTATTTGTAACCCGTAGCCGTATTTTGTTTAACATCCTCCAGGGTAGAAACTGCCGCGTTTTGTAACCTGAGATAAAAAAATAATAATAATAATAAATGATTGACATATATGTTAAGAATGTAAAAAAAGGAAAACAGGGTCCCCCCCCTCTCTCCACCAGAATTATTGTAAATAGTCCTTAATCCGAATCCCTTAACAAAATAAATATTATCCGGTTCTCATACGGGCGTAAAATTTTTCCACATTTACAAGAGTGTGCACGTACAAAATATAGCATATAAATGGTCAGAAAACGATATTATTATGCGAAGCTGTAATTAGAAATTTTAGTTTGTGGGTTGGTGAAAATTTGCTTTTATAAAAAATGTAGGAAATTAATATTATAGCATTAGTATTATAGCGTAAATTATAATATGAATGAAGGGAATAATAAATTGGATACATGTAGTAACGGTATTTTTCGATAAAATAAACTGTAAATGATTAATTTAATGTAATATTAGCTTTCTTTCTTTAAAAAAAATTGCAATTTATAACGTGTTTTCGTATATTTGCATAAAAGGAATTTAATATTTTTTAGAAAATCCTTTTGAGTGGCTAAGAATTTTTTAGGAAGCCTGCTTCCCTACCCCCTCCCCAAAATCCTCCCATATACAAAAATAATAATGGATAATCTTACTGTTTAAGTTTGACGGATTCTGGAGGCTTGAAAAACTCGCTGAGTTTATTTATGGTACCCTGTTTAAATGTGAAATGATTCATATTTATATATATAATAATACTAATTTAAAATAAAAATATAAAAAAGGTATTCTTATATTTTCCTTTGGACATACAAATCAAGCGGAACTTTAATTTTTTTATAAAAAATATAGGCAGTAAAATCAAAGCTCATTACATCAAAACCTTAAGAATTATATTTAAAAAGATTAATATAATTTTTCTTGATTGGGCGAGGGGGGGGGGGATATTGTTTAAATTTTATAAGTTCTTTTATCCATTATATAAAATTTAAAAAAAAAACAATTTAAAACATTCTTTAACGCTAAATAATTTATTTTTAAAATAGAACTAATATTATTTTCCTTCAGCCTCTAATATCGTCTCCAAGTTGGTTTTATCTTAATTCAAGGAAACGCAATTAAATATGTCGGCTGTTTTGGAATATGATTAATTAGATCGTTTTTGTATTGTAAATGCCAATCTTTATCAATTGTGATTAGTGTTCTCCATACGGTTAAATCAAGAATTATGCCAATAAATTTCTACCCATGAGATTTGGTCAAAAAGGGCAGTAAAACCTTTTACACGAGGTTTAAATAGCTTATTTTTTTCTCCGCTAAAATCTTGATTTACCTGTTTAAAAAAAGCCAAGCCTTTAAGACTGGATTCAGAGTGGAATTCGATCCGACACAATTTAACAGCTGAGCGATATTAAAAATTTTTTAATGAGAATCCATTTTTTTTATTAAAATAATAATTCTTAGATTATTGTCATGAATATAATAAAGAAAATTAATAAAGAAAAATTGATCTCATAAACAGATTTTAAAAATTAATCAGTTGTTAAATCGTGTCGAATCGGGTCCCACTATGAATCCAGCAGAACTTGAGGTTTTCGACAACACTGCTTTGTAATATTACTTTATATTATAAATTAATAGGATGAAATACTAGGGTTTTCCATATGATGGTTCGGACAATCATTTTTTTTTTAAATTACTAAATTAAATTAAACAGTATGTGGAATGAAAAATAGAATGGCATGGCATTTCTAGAAAAATCAAACTAATCTGTCAAAATATTAGACAAAAAAAACGTAAACTAAGCATATTGGAGATATTCCTTACATCCGGAGATTCACGTAATATTAACAATAATCTAGACCAAAATTAAACAATGATTTATGAATACACTGATAAAAATGACGGCATGACAACGATATTAAGGAGGAATAATCAGAAGAATCCATCCCTAAAATACGGCATATACCAGATGATCGGTAGCATCGTCCATTGATAATGGAAGAAAAAACTATAATTAATTCGTTAAAAAAATAAAAGATGGATAGATACAAACAAAATGAACGCTTTGATTTCCCAAAAAAATAAAATATATATATGACAAAAAAAATTCCTATTATCAACGTGTATTCTTTTTTTTTTTAAAAAAAAAAGGTTAAAAAATTGAAAGAACCTGGATTAGTTTCGTGACTCATTAAGTTTATTAATTAATTTCGAAATATTAATAATTCGCCTTATTTGCCACTATACTCTCTATATTTTATTAATAAAAATACTAAAGAAATTTATACATGTCAAAACAATCCTTTTTGGTGGCTCTGATCTATAAATTTTATTAATTAAAATATTAATTCTTATAATGTATAATAACAATGTCTACAATTCAATAATTACATGTGCACAGTAGCGAATTGCATATTTTCCTCATAACTTTATTGAGTGTCGGGATTGAAATCAGTAATACAGGATTTAGCCGAATCGGTACACTTTTATACCAAACCCAATACTAAGTGACGATATATTAATAACTTCTTTTTTTTTAAAAAAAACCCCTTATCTAAAAGAAAAGAAATTTGAAAATCATCAATTCATTTCGCGGCATGTTATTTTTTCTTATTATGATGTACCGCGTCGTAAACGATCTGTAGAGGGTTAGCCGTCAGGTGGAGCCTCTGGTCGCAGGAATTGTCCAGTGGGTTTGACTCGAAAAGGCAGTGCACGAGGTTTTCATTCTCATCCGACTTTATGGTTTTTATGATGAGGGGGTTGGTTTGATGCGGGTTAGATTTGCCACTGACATCGAAGTTGTCCATAGACACTTCTAACCTTTTTAAAATGGTACGAAAAAAAAAAGAAAAGTGTATATGCGTTAAAGGTGGATTATTTAGCAATCAATTCAAATGTAGTAACGCTTTTTAAAATAACATTTTTAATGTTAAAAAAAATCCTTTGTAAATAAAAGGGATATTTGTAGAGGAATATATGATAATCGTTGGACATTTTTTTAAGTGATTAATTAAAAGCGAATTTTTTTAAAAAAAAATAAATAACGCAAGTAAAATTTAAATGGGAATGTTACCTTTGAATCGGACTACAATTGTGAAAATAAAAAAAGGATTCAAATTATGTCATTTATAAAATGGTTTTATTTGTGAAAATACAATCTTTTAATATTACATCAGTAAAAAGTTAGAGCAAAAAAATTGTTTTTAACCTGGAAATGAAAAATTTAATAAAATTTAGATCTTCATTCTACAAACATTTATCCACACAACCAATTTTTTTTTAAAAATTATTAATTAAACTAAAAACGTGAGCTAAGACTCATTTTCAAAAGAAATAAACACTTGGTTTTTGGTTAGTAAATTATTTTAAATTAATATATTCACATTAAAAAATGGTTATAAAAGCATGATATTAATTTGTTGGACATCTTATATCATACATTCCACATCAAAATCGTATCTTAAAGATATGTTAAAAAATTAGATGGGCAAAAGTAAAAAATTCCATAATTCCGATGAAATGAATGGAATACTCTCAAACTTTTGACGAGATAAGGATACAAAGAATCCATATTTAAGGAACATAATTCCCGTAATGAGAAAATATTCGTACCATCAAATCTGACAAAATGTGTCCTTATTTATTTTCTCTTCAATATATATATGGTGAATTCCATATCAGATCAACAAAGTAACAAGCCGACACCCTGAGAATTTTTTTAAATTTTGCATATTGATAGTATATACTACAACTAAGAAAAAAATAAAATTTTACTTCCTTACACCACTTACTGGCTAAGATATGGTGTTTAAAGAGCGGAAAAATGGTACATTTTTGATAAAATACACTTCATTAATTTTCAAATATCTTAAGAATAAATTAAGGAGCAATAATTTATATTTTATTATATAGCTTAATAATAAATCTTTAATATTACATAATGACATATAAATATTTGTGATAAAAACCCGATTAATTCCAAAAATCGGATTTACCAAACCGGAAATAGCCATAGAAAAAAATGTATTTTTGACTGTGTATACCAAACTGCTTTATATTTGTACAAGATTCTAGATTGGGCTGAAGGTGGGTCTAAGAGTTATAACCCTATATGGATAAAAATTTAACATAAATATCATCATATTTAAATTGAATGGATACTTACGCAATCATTTTTTATCTAAAAATTATATCTACATGTAAGGCCCTTATATTTTTATTGGTAAAATGCTGATAAAATCTGATAACTAATTTGTAGATTATTTAATTGAAAAATTAAATAATTGAATCTTCATTTTTTTGTAGCACAACAACAATCCTTATTTCAAAACTTATTAAAATCCAATTTATATGTTGGCGAATTCTTAGTTATTACTGACCTTTCAGAAAATTATGCTTTTGTGGTGCAGGACATGCACAAGGATTCCATTGGACCTAAAATAAGGCCACTATTTACTTTTTATTATTTCTTACCTTTAAGACTGTTTAATTAAACAAGTAAATTTTGTTATTATAACAGATTGTTTAGAGTACAACACATGTGCATTTCATCTATTTTAAATAAAATTGATCTTATTCTTTAAAGAAAAGGACAAAGTTAATTATTTTTCTGATGGGGCAGTTACCCAATATAATAATAAAAATTTCATTAACCTCAACAATTATGAAAATGATTTTGGAAAAAAGTCAGAGTGGCATATTTGCAACCACACACAGTAAAAGTCCCTGCGACAGTTTAGCGAGTATTTATAAACTGTTAGCTTGCAACGTAACAATGGATTTATATAATTATCAAGAAATAATAACAGAGTGGTAAATTATATATTTACAATGATAAATATCTAAGTGTGAAAAATCTTTTGAAAGCAAAACAAATTTCTGCAACACAACATTTTATATTTTTATTCCCTTAGAAGAAATTAGATGAAAGTGAAAATTTTTCAAATTTTTTGGGTGAATTAATATATGATATATTTAAATTTTTTGATTGTATTATGTATATAGAAATTATTGCCAATAAAATTATAAATATGTTTATTATTTTGTGCTGTAATTTCAAAAGAAAATTTACTATTATAAAATAAACCACATTGCAACCCCCCCCCCCAACCTCTCAAATAATATTTTTTAAATATTAAATAAGGGCCTTTCATCGTTCAGCCCAGTCTAGTATTTTGTATAAATACTAAATATAAAAAGTCAGGTATACATGGTATACATCCACAGAAAAAAAAATACCTTTTTTTTCAATGGCCATTTCCTATTTTGTACTTCGGGTTTTTAGTTTTAATCGTTCTATCACATTTATTTATATGTCATATTAAAGATCTATTATTAAGCTATATAATATTTAAATTATTGCTCTAACTTAATTTATTACATTCATTGATCAAATGATGTATCAATTGACAAGCAAAGCAACGTTGAATGGCCGTTTTTATTAAATGATGTGGAGCAGGATTTGGAATAATATTGGGAGTAACTCTAGATTATTCGTCTGCCAAAGGTGATGTGGAGCAGGATTTGGAATAATATTCGGAGTAACTCTAGATTATTCGTCTGCCAAAGGCATGAAGTCCTTATGAATAATATTACCTGCAATATCATATACTGTATGCATATATAAGTGGTTTGCATTTCTCTTGGAATCACATAAAAAAAATTTAATAAAGCCAAATTTTAATTAATGATAATTTATCAAAATATTTTGAAGTTATATTGTGAAATATTCATATATGGCAACAACTTTCTATTATTTAGTTAAATATATGGCGGCAAAATCAATTCGTTTCTTTTCATTATTACAAAACTTTTATTTTTACTATATGTCCTATTCCATAATAAGTTATCCACACTGAATAAACATAAAGGTCGAGGACGGTATGTACGACCTTTGAAACCGTCAATTAACTTCCCAAAATAATACAGCTTGTTACCATGCAGACACCCAAGGCATTTGTAGATCTGATTAAGGAATGATCAGTTTCCAAAAAAATTAACGAAAATCGAACTTGAGTAACTCTTTCGAATTCAATATTTAATATGGAGGGTCGGCATAGGAAGTGACGGAAATAAGATATCTTTCTGGAAAATGATTCTCATTTTCTATAAGGATTCCAGTTAATAATGTATTGAATATTATAGTGTATGATAGAATTTATTTTCTTGTGCAAATTTTGTAATAATATGTACTTATATAGTGGTATTATTTTAAACTTTTTTTAAATAAGTTGTAGCCGTTCTAAATAATAATATGTAGTTTGTTTGTTTCTATTATGTTGTTTATCCACCTTTATAATGTCAATACGTCTCACTTTTTGTAGATGGGTGAAATGTCGTATTTACGTTAAATTATGTATTCTTTTACCCATATTTATTATGTGCTTTTTCCGACAATGTGTTATTTTTTAAACTTTAAATCATTTTTTGTGCGCGTTTTTTAAAATTTAAATATTTAATTTTACCGGAAATGTAATCTAGCATGTTTGAAATACCTATCCTATAATTTTCAAACAATATGGCCATGAACTTTTGCGCTTAATATAATTTATATTAGTTTTTCTAAAATGACTCAAAGATTAACCGCAAAATTATCTACAATTCATAAGATAAGTGTTCTAAACATGCTGGAATACATTTCTAGTAATATACGATTTTTAAAATTAAAAAAAACGCGTTTAAAAAATGATTTAAAGTTGAAAAAATAATACATTGCATGAAAAAACACATTGAAGCTAATACACCATATATCTTTATAAGAAAAAATAGATGAAGTCACTCAAATTTGAATTTAATGTCAATCTGTTTTTCTTCGTCCTTTTATTATTGAGGTAAATCACTTTGTTGATTTACACTTTGAATCCTTCTTGTTTCTTAATTAATGATACTTCACGAATTTTTAATCACTTGATTCTATTTACCGACATTATGTTCCTTTAATATGGGTTCTTTTATCTCGTCGACAAAATTCGAGAGGATTCCATCCATTGACACTATGTCTTTTTTTACAATGGATATATATTTTTTTGGGTGCGCACAATTCGTAAAATTTAAAATACAAATGCTAAATCTTAAATATTATGATTTTGAAATAAAAAAGAAGCCTATGCTGATTATTAGTATAAGGATAGATGTTAAACTGTGAGGCATCGGCACCAGGACATTGTTCAAACGTAACCCCGAGTCCATTTAGTACCATTTCCGTCAGTCTATTATCTCTTCTTTTTTTTTTAAAACATATATTATTTATAATGATGATTGATATAAAATGATATAATCCTTTAAGTTAATAATGCAATCAGTTAGACATAACCCTGTAAATATAAAATAAGAAACAACTAATCTTATTTTGGTAGACAAACATTTTTTTGTAGACAAATAAAAATGTAAATTATCCTTTTGATTTAAGAATGTCCATTATTATATTTTTTTTAATCAACTATAAAATAGAATTTAAGAATAAAAACCCCGTTTTTTTTTGTTTTAAAAACAAATTTTTTCGTGTTTTTTTTAAATGTTTTCATGCATTCTTAGTCCTTCTAACTTATATCTTTCCTTAAAAAAATGTGAGATTTGATTTTCCTAAATACAATAGTAATTTTACATAGTGTCTTCCTTTGTAAACAACGTCAACGAGAGTTGGAGCAATTTGAAATGGTAAACGTTTTGAACAAACTAATATAATAAACAACAATTTTCAAGATCATATTGATGAAATTTTAGATATAAGAGGAATATGTGGGACATAATATATCCAAATATTTAGGATGTAGGTCCCTTTTTTTCGCCATTACCATAATTTAAATTTTTTTAATCTATTATTAGATTGAGTTTCCCGACAACAGAATTCGTGATCAAAGTAACCTTTAATTCTCCCCCGCTGCCTAAGTGCCTATAGAAGGATAATTAAGTTAAGTCAGTTACTAATGCGTTGGGAATTATAAACAAAAAATCAAGTGAGCATAACCAATATATATTTTTAAAGAAATCAATCATAAAATAACAAAATATTTCTAAACTCGGTTCGGACCGGGTTTACAAAAAGTCGGGTTCTACCCAAGTTCATATACTTAAATATTTATGGGTCTCCAGATTCGGTAGGATTTCGGATAAAAAAAAAGAGTTTTATTACGACTTCATAAATCCGTGTTCTAATATATATTAATAGGGTCAGTGATAAATTGTGTATTTTCCAATACTTCTCTCGGATATTCTGGGGGTACGCCGGACTCGGTGTAATCAATGGCTTGATACAATTTCTTTCTTTCCTCTGGCGACATGGCTTCATTAAACTTGGCAGCTAAAATTATAATATTTTTTTTGAGTCATTTTGAGCAACGTTTTCTTTTGCCCATTTAAAAAAATTTCTTAAAATTCTAACATTATATAATAAAGATGTAGTAATACCAATCCCTGCGTTTTTGGGATCCAAGTCCGACGTCTTTTTGTTATCGCTGGAAGAGCCCCAAGAAAACCAACCTCCCAACCACCCAGCGTTAGCGTTGCTGGTCGACCGGTTGACTTCGAGCCTTTTAACTTCGAGTGCAGCCTTTTGGCGGGCCAGGGTTATGTTAAATACGTCTAACTGCCTTTCCGCCTCCTTTAGTTCGTGTTTTTTTTTGGTATGTCAAAGTTATACAATATAAATATATTTTTATTTATGTTTATTTATTATTTGTAAGATATTATAAAATATAATTAAAAACATATCAACTAAAAAAGTAAATATAAAATTGTTACAACTTAAAGATTAAATAAGTTCAATCTGTTTAACAACGAAAACGAATAATATTAAATTTGCGCATATAATCAATGCCTTTTATAACTAAATTATTTTAAAATAAAAATATCCCATGCAACATTATATAATAAACCTAATTTTTTTTTTTTAAATGTTTATAAATTTGGCATATGTCAGATGCGGAATTCTAGTGGATGGGAGTAAAACTGCTCCAGAAAACTAAGTACACTTCTAAATAAAAACTGAGCTTAAAATTTCGAAATGAGTGCGACTGTTAGTTGCATTACTTTTCCTTTCGTGGAGAGGGGGTGGGGGTAAAACATTCATTATAATTTTAAATAATTTCCATAATAATTTGGCTATATCAAATATTTACATCCAAAGTATTTTTAACGTCTAAGGGCAATTTTTTCGTCGTCAGCTTAATCTTGTACGCCTCCGAGTATTCCCTAACTAATTCCCTGTGCGCCGATATATGTTTCCAACTCCATTGCCTCAGTTTAGGCCTGACTATTACTTCCATCACGCTGGTCATAGCGAAATGCCACCTATAATATTACATATAAAATAAATATGGAAATTTAATATCAAAATTTTTTTAAAAAAATGATATATCATGCAGAAAAATGTATCTAACTTTTCTACTTTTTTTTTGACGTAATGAAGGAACCATAACATTTTGGTTCAATTTAATTAAAGTTTCCTGTAAATATAAAAGAAATTCAATAGTCTAGTCTCCAGTCAGGGTGGCGGTTAGGTATTTAAAGTAAAGTAGGGATCGTTGCCCCTCTTTAGAATTGAATTTGGGATCAGACTGTGATCTTCCCGAGTAATGATTTTCTCAATTTCGATAATTAAATGAGTAAAAAATATATGGCATCAAACCATTTTTCGTAATTATCTTTATAGACTTGCAGATGAGGTCGGTATTTACGATACTTGGATTTGAGATTCAACGTTTCCAGACTCTCGAGTAACTCCAATACATCTTGATACTTACGAAATACATTATGGAAAAATATTTTTAAAAATTAATAACAGATTTTAAATTTAAAAATAAATGGATTTTTTTTAAAAATTAGTGAAGGTCAACAAGGTCCAATTCCGACAGCAGAAATTTGGCAAATAAAACTTGATTTCTACTATGTTTCTAAACTTTATCTAAAGCCCGCCATTTTAAAAAAATGGGATTGTGGAAGGATCCGGAGAACCGGTTCGGCTCACTTTCACTATTTTTAAATAAATAAATAATTTTAAATTAGTAATTTTAATTTCTCATGTTATAAAAAGAGCTAAATTAAATTTAGAAGAAGTGGGGAAAAAAATAAACCTGAAACTGGCTCAGCCCAATAGATATCCCTTGTATGATTAGATTGAGTAACATTTTAGGTGTGCTAAAGTTGGACCCGTCTAGCTCCGGTTTAGGGTTCAGCCTTAATTGAGCTAAAGATGTGAGAGGCCTCAGTATATAGCTATAACCGGGCGGTAAGAATTCGGTTTTATTCGCATTTTCGAGAATGCACTCTGGCGATTTTTCATATGATAGCGGGAAAGATCGCTCTGATATTTGGAGTGTTTCATCCTTTCTGGCCGTTGACGAGCTCAACTGAATTTCCGATTGTTTATTGGGTTGTAAGTTGGTGTTGGAACTCGTGGTTTCTTTGGTAAGTTGGCTCGAATGAGCGATACCGTTTCGAAATTCCTTCATAACATCATCTCGATTTAAATGGATGAAGCTAGAATGGGAAGGCATATCACTATTCCAGTAAAGGCTGAGGGCGTCTAGCCTAACGATCTTGCAAGTTATATATAAAGAAAGAATATTTGTACGAAACTATTTAAACAATTCACGACATAGTTAGTAACTTTTTTATATTATTATATTTGGGATAATGATAAAATCAATTGCTATATTAGAAACTGCCTCAATAATAAGAATCATATAAAAAACTTAAAATTCAAATAAAAAATACTCTATAACTTGGAAATTTTTTTTAAACAGAAATTTGTTATCTAGCTAGTTTTATCTGGCTAGTTTGAAACTAAGCCTTTAGCTAGTTCGAAAACCGGCTATATAAAATTTGGTTTAAATGTGTGAATAAATATGAAGTTGTGTAATGGGTAGGATTTTTTTTTAAATATAACCCTAACTCATACTAATACACGTATTTTAGGCGAAATAAAGTGTAGATGACCTGAAAAGAAAATCCTTTCCTTTATCATGCTTTCAGCCATATCTAACATTAAAATATACTCCATCTAGGAAATCCCTTTATTTAAACCAACTTTTCAATAAGGAGCTATTTATAAAACATCGGTTGTATGTAATTACGATTCATATTAATAACACATATATAATATATTATATGTAATCATGACAATTCTCTAGCTAAGTCGAATACAAAAAAAAAATTTAACATAATTTTGAGGGAACAAAAAAATATCTTAGTCGGATTGGTGCTCTATAGAACTTCTTTTTTTTTTTAAAAAAAATGAGGTTTAAATGATAGAAACTGAGATATTTATATTGTATTTATGTGATGGTAAGCTCCTAGAGAAGACGATCATTTATTAATTTAATTTTAATATGTGTATATACCAATAGGAAAGATGATCTACAATGCATTTAATTCATTATTTTTCTATTTTGAAGATTCAATATCCATTCTCGAAAAAACCGAACCCCAATAAAAAATTCTATCTGTTCAGAAATAAGAAATAGCCACATTACATTTAATTATTGCTAATCTACTTCCTTCCTTTATTCAGATTTGAGAGATATATCTATATTTTTTTTTAAATAATGTTCATATAAAGCGATTCTCAAGGAACCATTTTATCGTTCATTCACAAATATTTATCAGTTTTAAAAAAAATGTAAATTATTCATACTTTATAAATCATTTTGATAGCTTGAGTAGCTATGCAAGGCTTCCAATCTTCGTTTGTTGTCTAGACCAATTAATAAATAAATAATAAGAATACATATTAAAACTATCAAACCGTATGGCGATTCGATTAGCCTAACTGTAAACTCTCTATTTCATTTCTTATTTCATTTAACCTTAAGAAGATATGAATCATGCATATTATTTCTTGTTATTATATTTATATGTTCGCCATTCGGTTAAGAATGAGGTACATTTATAACGATTCTTGAAATTTAGAATCCTCAAGGTTTATAGGGGGCTTGTGGGAAAGTATTGGATTATCAAACTGAGATGCCATTACATTTCCGCATATAGAAGGGTTAGCAAAATCACAGTTTTTTTTAATAAAAGTAAAAATAAATCGATCTATTTGATTAAATCACAATTTATTAATTTAAATCAAATACATAATAAAATAACTAAATTTTTTTAAAAAACTAGACTCCCAAAGGAAATCAACGCCTGAGGCAAGGTTATTTATCTAGGTTGCATTCATTTATTATATTAAATATCTTTGTCACCTGTGAAATTTAAATATTAAAAACAAACAATTTTTTTAAAAATAATTTATAACTTAATTTGAATGCTAAATAACAGAGCTGTCTGAACCTTTCGAACCCTGATATTTTACTCAACCAGAACCCGAATTTTTTTTTTTTAATTTAGGGTTGAGGGTTCTTTAATTTTTTTTTTTTAATTTTAATTTATTATATTTTTTTTTCTTTATTTTTTATGTTTTTAATTAAAATTTCTTTATTTTTTTTAAATTATAAAAAAATTTGAACTATTAATGTCGTTCGGGTCTCACGACTTACGCTTTTTTTAAAGAGTTGGGGAACCGGATCTATGCTATGATCGAGGATCCCAACGAGGGTTACAACCTACGTCAGAGGCTTGGCTATAAACATAATAAAGAGCAACTATGTCCACTTTATACTATCAATGAATGGGACCCCGTGAATGAACATCTATGCATCGCGATTAAACTACTCAGCTCCCAATTAACAAATAATATAAACATTTCAAGAAAAAAACATGTCCCATCTGCCCTTAGAGTTTCTGTTAATGAATAATCGTGAAAAACTATTAGTATGATCTTTTTAGTTTTCCATTGTTAAGTAGAAGCAGAAAATTATTTACAATTCTTTAAGCACAATTATTGCATATTTGGAACAAATTAGTAATTCATTAATATAAAAATTAAATGAATCACATTTAAACGTAATTCAACCTCAAATATCATGGTGGCCAAGAGTCTCAAACTAGCTTAGCGATAACAATAAATATAATAATGTTATATAATAATTTGAAAATTATTTCAGTAATGTTATAAATTAATTATTTATCAATCAGGTACATTAATTATATTTTTATAAATATTATATTTCTTATAATCTCAAATTTACATGATAAAAAATATTTTAAATATTTATTTATATTTTGTTTGTCTTTATAAATTAGTAACGCCATCTAAATTAATAAATATTATTATTAACAAAAATAAAATGGAAATTTCCAAAAACCCTTAAACAAAAAATATTAAATATTAAAACATTTTCTGTATAAATAATTATTAGTGGAATCGTTTTTTATTTTAATGTATCCATTTTGTGCAAAATTTATAATTTATCAGGACACCGAACCCTGAACCCGGTTCAGATTTTCTTTTACTAAAACATAACCCTAAACCCTTTTTTAGAAGAAGAGTATACAGGCCTGCTTAATAATTTTTGATTATTTTTAAATAGATTTATATAAGCTAAAATCTGATTTATTCTTAACAACAAAATATTAAATAAATATTTATCTTAATAAACGGCAAAAATAATTATATAAATTTTTTTTTAACCTAATAATAATTTTCGTAGAAGTTTATTAAAAATTTTCAAGATCTGCAAAAGTTATTTTAAAATAAAATCAGGATAGGGCTGGGTCAGGTCTAATATATTTTTTTAAAAATCGCCGGGTAGGGTTAGGCCTTGGAAAATTTTTTAAATATATCTAAATTTATCAATTTTATTTTGAATTATTATTTTTCATGCGTAGAAACTAGACGCCATATGACATATATATTTAGACTATTTTGAGTAAGATAATTTTAAAAAAAAATTAAATTATAATTTTAAGAAAAATTAATATCTATATATAATAAATTCGGGGTGGGCCGGGAAAACCTTTTAAAAAAATTTAGGACCGGGCTTGAAAAATTAGGACCAATGCAGATCACTAATTTAAATCGCAATTTTAATCAATCTGATTTAGTCATGCCAACCCTACTTCTTTAAAGATTTTGACCTCGGAAGATTTTTTTCGAGGAATGTTGAAACATGATTTTTGATCAAATTTTACCTAAATTTCACAAATAATTTGTAAAAAAATCTTTTATAAGTAAATAATTTGTGATTTTCATGCATAAAAAATTTTCCATGATGAAATCACAAATTTTTGTAAAAAATTTTTGATTTTGATCTTCAAAAAAAAAATCTTTAAATTTTGTTGATCTACAAATATTTTTGCTCAAAATAGTGGGCGCAAATGCTCGTTTGAAAATTGTTGTTAAACCCTGATTTTAGTTCTAAATGTGGGTTTTCAAATTCAAATTATTTCCTTTAATTCCTATTTTATTTATGGAACTTAGAATTTTATTTAAAATATTATATTATTTCTTTTAACTAACATCAAACGACAAATAATTAAGGGTGACTCCGAAGGCGAAAGGTTTTTCGGGATTAGAAAACGTATCCTCGTATCTCAAATGAATGCCCGTAATTTTGATCTGCAAATTTTTGATGATTTGGGACACCAATTTTTCCACAAAGGTGTCTTGTTTAGTCCCAGATTCGGCTAAATATTTTTATTATAAATGGAGTAGATTCATTAATAAAAGTGCGCCAGCGCCACAAATTGAGCGTTCAAGCGCAAATAATGTCTTTCAAATGGTATCGTGCAAATTGGTCAAATTACCCTTACAAACCATTTTTAAAAAAACGCAAACTGGTTTGTTTTTTCAACACTTTTTTATTCATTTATTTTGTAAGTTGTCTACGAGCAGTTTTTTAAAGACTCGGTTTTATCATAAGTTGACAAAACTTTGCTACCCAGATAAAAATAATAAGTAGGAAGGCAGTAAAAATCCATTCCCATTGGTAATTATATAATTAAATTTAATATTATACCTTTTATAAACATACAATATTATTGGCGAAATTCATTCTATCGCGTTTTCGGCCAGAACTGGTCGCAAATTATTTTTACCCGGCCCGGCCAGTAAAATTTATTTTAAAAAAATAATCCGGCCCGGGACGTAATAGTTTTTTATGAAGAAAAAAATACATGAATTTGTCTATCAGCCTTAAAACCTTTTTCAAAACTTCGGCCGAGCTCGCCCATGAAAATACTTTCAATTTTTTCGGCCCGGTCCAACATCATTTTTCCCGGCCCTTCTCTAATTATGATCTGCTTTTTTCGACAATGTGGTAATTTTATAAAAATGATTATAAAATTCATGATCTGGAGGAATAAAACACCTGAGGCAAAGTTATTAATAAATATTGCATCACTTTTTATCACATATAACATCTGTTTTTCTATGGTATATATGGATAAACCATTATTTTAGCATTATTGAATTAAAAGTATTATTATAATCTTATCTATATCAAATATTTTTCCATTTATAATTGTTTTAAACTTTATGACTTCTGAGTACTTAATTTAATAACTAAAAAATTAAATATTAATAGTGTTAAGATTATTTTAATTAAATCGATATTTTTGCATAATATAGAATTAATATTTATTAAATGTGACAGAAATAAGGGTCCATAATTTTAAAAATAATAAAATTTGACAATTTATGACGCAAAATTAAATCGTTTATATCTGGAAACAACAAACAAAAAATAGATCCAAACCGAACCGTTAAACCAGTATCACCTATTATTATTTACCGATCATGAACCATATAAAATTTGTCACTCTAACCAGAATCTCTAAAAAGGTATGTAAACCGGTTTCAAACATTTGATACTCTATCCCTTTCAATGATTAATAATCAGTTTTTTTTTGATTGAAGCAATCAGTAATTATTTTTAGAATGTATATTGCTATGTGACGATGCCAACAACCCAAGTTGGGTCATTATTTTCAACCGTAGAATATATTATTTCTCCTAGTATAGATATATTTAACAGAAGAAAATCATAAAAACATATTAATTGGATACGGCCCAATATTATTTAGAGTATAGAGATGAATTTTCTTTCAAAAAATGTGCTTCTTATTAATTCTGATCTGATATGCTTTTGCATGAAAAAGTTTTTAAAACCGATATTATAATTTTTCGAGCCTGAACCACAAACCGTTATTTATTTTTTTTATCTAAACTTAAACCGAACCTATATTCGGTGCGAATCAGGTTTCTGATTATAATTGTGATCTAAATCAATTTGATTTATTCATAAACTCTAAATAGAGGAGATCAACATGAGAGAAAAAAAGGCTAAATAAAAAATCCATCTAAATAAAAACTTCAGCAGTTAGCGGGCCCCGAAACTTTGACGAAATAACGTTTTCGGGATTAAAATATATTCATTCCTCATAAGGTACAAATAAAATATTAATTTGTATTTATATTTTATTTCTTCGATACAAAAAAATATATAATATTCAAAACCCGAATCAACTTTATTATATTTTTCCAAACACAGTATAGACCTGAAAGTAATAGAAAAAAACCATTCCATTAAAATACATTTAAAAAGTATGTATCATACATTGAAGCCCGCTACTGAAATGATATTTAGACGAAAATGTAAAAGATATCATTTAAACGAAAGGTATTACAATGGACGTCTATTAGAACCAATGACAATGACTACAATTGACTTCAATATATATTACACTTTTAATAATTGACTCCTTAGTCTGAGTTAGTATTAATATCGTTGTCTAAACCTTATAACCGTAACAACTCTTTTTTAAAATAACTTTTAAATAGCGTTTATTTATTTATTTTCAAATCGATCTTTAACATACAATATTCGATGAATACAGGGTATCGTACCTATAATTCAATTTTATTTTGTATAAAATTCATAGTAACTGTCATAAGTGATATATTTGGGGACACTTTTGGATTAAGGGTTAGGATAATAGGCATGTTATCATTAGTGCAGTTTAGTTATCGTTGCGTTTCTATCATTAAATGAGATTAGAAGACACAAATACATTGGGTCTATTGCACAATATGAATGTCCCTGTATATTATAGTATAACCCTAAGAACTGGCTCAAATTAAACGAAATGACCTGTCTATTCCAAACATATGTTAAGCCTAAAAATTACATCAAATTCTCAACTGTTGTGAAATATCCGCCTAATGGCGTCATTACGCTTAGTTTAAGCCTGGTCTAAGACAGAATTCATAGTGGGATCAGATCCGACATGATTAAAAAGCTGATCGATATTTTCTATTTATGAGATCAATTTTGATTTATAAGAATCAATAATTCTTAAATTACTATCATGAATGGATTTAAAGATAAAATTAATATAATTAAAGAAAAATTGATCTCATAAAACAGATTTAAAAAATCGATCAGCTGCTTAATAATCTCGGCCGCTATGAATGCAGCCTAACTCTCTAAGCATCTCGTAAATTTTATTGTAAACATATGAAGTTACGTTTAGCGTTTACCTTTGGCCAATTCTTGTTTCCGTTTAGCCTCTTCTATCTTTTCGAGTTCTTTCTGTTTTATCTCTTGCTTACCTTTTTCCTCGGCCCTTTCATCGTACTTTACAACTTTTATAAAGAAATAAAATATTTTTTTTAAAAAAAAATCGTATTCAAAGTTATATTACAATAATTCATTTTGAATAACTTTTAAAGAAACAAAAATGAGTGAAAAATATTAGTGTCTTTCGAAAAATAGAAATCTTACTTTTTAAAAGCTACTTTTAACAACACTACTAAATATATAAATTGGTAAACAATTTTCATATTTTTTAGTTATAACTAATCTATACAATAAAGAAATGTAAATAAATTATCAAAATTGGCACATTTTGAGTTGGCCCATTTTAGGTACATAGTTTATTTCTGTTCTTAATCTTTGCTACTATATTTAAAATTTACATTCTATATACTTTCTTTCTCACCTTTGCAACTATCTTTAAAATTTCTATTTTATAAACCCCAAACTATTTATTAATGTGTCTTTTCCCTCAAAAATTTATTTTTATATAGTGTAGAGTAGACGTTAACTTTTCGAAAATCTTTTTATGCAGTTTTAATAAGGTAGAACAGTGTTGTTAAACGGTACGATTTGGCGGATTTTATTAAACTTTTCTGCCATCAATGAGTAAATCTCCAGCCTTGAGTAATATTATTTGGCTGGCTAAAACTTGCGTTAGAAAATATTTAAAAATCGAGCCGTTTAACACATTTTACCCATATTTGCTTTACCACATAACATTTTGTAAATCGTTATTATATAACTTATTAAAGTTAAGACTATAACAAACATGTCTAAAAAAATTAAATTAGGAAAAATATATTTTGCTAGCAAATAAAAACTAGAAAGTATTTTTATAATTTATATGTGATTTTTTGGCCAAATATATTACACCAAGGAAATTTGCTAAAAGATGAACATAGGTAAAAAAATGATATAAAAATATTAGTGCGTAAAGGAAAGTGGATGAAAATAAAGTCGTTACTAACGGCGTTCCTTTTTTGAGGAAAAGGAACGCTATTCGTTACTTGCTTCAAAGGTAACCTGTAACGAGTTTATTTTTTTTAGTATCTGCAAGGCAAAACGTTACTTTAAATTTTTTCTTAAAAAATATGGAATATTCTATTATATATTTTTTTTAATTTAATAAATAATTTAAGCCGAGTTTTTAATTCAGATCAACCACCAAAGTTCTCATTTTAATTTTATTTATTACATAATTGTTGTTGAATTTCATAAAGTCAAGATTGTTAATCTAATTAATATTGAATAAATTAAGGTATGTCAATAAATATTCTCTAATATATATAATATATTTTATAAAGATAATATGTCAATAGTAGTTATTTCTCCAGAAGAGGATAATAATTTAACTCTGCCGTGGCAACATTTTTTACATAACTAAAGAAAATTAAGGCTAAGTCTACACTTTGTAATTGTATTGTGCCTTAATTAAAATATTTCAACCTCGATGTCCAACAGTCAAATTTTAAAAAAAACGTATGAAGGTAAAAATACGAAGTCAGTTAAAATTCTGATAAAGATTTTTTTGATCTGAATGAAGATTCCTGTGAAGATGATCTAATAAGTTTTATTGAAATGAATCTTTAAATATTTTTAATAAATTCCTCAATTAAATTTTTTATTTATTTAATATATTACAACCCTCCTGCTCTCTGCGACATGTTTTTGCACAGCAAAAGCTTTGTTGAGCCTAAATGCTCTTGCTTATCTGATCAAAATTTTGAAAATAAAAAATCATTATAAAAAACAACTTCTTATCTTTTAATGTATTATTTTTGTATAATTTTATTTTTATTAACTACGAGGGGGAAAAATAAATAAAAATAAAATTTATTAATAATTTTTAGTATTTTTTTTAAGTAACGAGTAACGCCTTACCTTTTTTAAATATCGAGTAATGCGTTCCTTTTTCAAATGTACGAGCAACGTGTTTATTTTCTGAAGTAACGTTTACAGCACTAATAAATCATCTTAACACCAAATTTAAGGTCTCTTTAAAAAAAAGTATTCATGTACCCCCTCTATCGCTCTATTCTGGTCTACCCTATTTTTTTTTCCTTTTTTTAAATAAAAAAGATATGTGTGGGATTCGAACCTCATATCGCTCGATGGATAAATTGACACGTAAGCTATTTGTATAACACGGTTATATGACTTGACTTTAAAAATATTTTGCTTAGTACCAAATTACTAGTAACTTTTTTTTATACAAGGTAAGAAATTTTCTTTGAATTATGATGATGCCTATCATCACTTTCTACAAATATTCAAATCATATAAAATATTATTATAACTTTCTAAATATATATATTTTTAAATATACATATATAGCACAAACTAAAAAAAATCCAATATTTTATTTAATCATCTATTCACCTAATTATCCAGGCTCTTTTTTCTTTTGTTAGAAAAAATATTTTATGCCCTTCGCTATATATAACCCCTCTCTTTGTAGAAAAATATAATAACTAACCATTCAGGATCTCGCAGAACATTTATTTCTAGGATAAATAAAAAAATCTTGGGAAATATAAATGTAGGTCCAATTGCATTTTTATTAAATTGCATTTTTATTAAATTTCATTTTTTATAAAATTCAAATCGATATTATATTTATATGACTATTAAAAAAATAAAATAAGATTTTTTGTGTTTATATTATAGATATAATAAATATATAAAAACACATAAGTATTTTTCTAATTGGTAATTACATATTATAGTTTTATATAAAGATTGACAATTTTCTCAATTTTTTTTAATTATTTCACATTTTATAAATTAGAGAAAAAAATTAAATTTTATTAATCTTGGCATTAGTTATATAAATGTTATATTATTATAAAAATAATTCCCCTAAATCCCCATTTGGCCTTCGGCCGGGTCCAGCCTAAGAAAATTCTGATTTGTTATATGTTTGATTTTGTGGTTATTTCTATTAATTGTATTTTTTTAAATATGCAATACCGCTTTTATCACCGTTACAATTATTAACATTCATTCTAATTTTCGCCAGCATTTAGGGCTTTATTAGTGTCGATGAGTGCATTCACCAGTATATAGTAGCTATTATAAAGGATAACCATTAATAACAACAAAATTTTGGCCAACATTAAAGAGCAACTGGTAACATTTAATCTGAACATTTTAACAATTAGTACTTGATACTATATATTACAGTTTACGTTTAGTAGACCTAGTGTTGTTAAACGACTCGTTTTGAACCAATTTTTAAAAACGGCTAACTCAATATTTTAGCCAGAAAAATATTGCCTAAGCCACGATATTTCACTAAAAGATGTCTAAACCTTTGTTCCTTCTATAAGCAAAATCTTCAGGCTTATGTAATATTATTCTGAATAAAATAGTGAGTTCGCCGTTTTTAAAAATAGGCTCAAAACGAGCCGTTTAACAACACTAAGACCGTATAAAGAAGGGGAAAAAAGTTATTAACAAAATAAGAAAATATTGGCAAAACAAAAGTTAAAACAAAGGCTATAGCGTCACGTCTTGCTAGAAAATGCAGAAATATCAATTATAAGGTATATCATTATCTCACCGAACCATGAACTTATATCCTAAAAAGCGATAACTGTTAAAGCCGACAATAGTAGACATATAATCTGCGCAAAAAACTATAATAAAACTTTCGATACCACTAAGCAAATTGAATGTAGCGAATTCCCCTTTTCTTCCTTCCACAGCCCCGTAATCAGGTGGGGGAGGTGCATGGAACGCAGCCTCCATATAAAAATATATAATAAAAGTTTCTCCCATAATCCACAAATTTCTACCTTGTAACCCTGATGGTAAACGTAATAAATTGGTTCCCGTTTTAAATCGCTAAAAACAAAAAATATTGAGAATCTCGCTTATATCTCCTATGAAATATAATTAAATTTGAAATTAATATTAATAGATGCTAGGGAAGTAAACACTTGTATTTAAATGGAGGTTTTTTTAAATTAAAATGAGGGAAATCTCATCGAGATTCCCAATTTAGATATCATGCTGTCATTTCCTTCATTTTTTGCTATTTTTTTAAAAAATCAATATAAATACAAGTGTTTACTTCCTAGCATCTACTAATATTATTTTCAATATTTCTTTTATAATTTTAGAGATATAAGCGAGATTCCCAATTTTTAGTTATTTTTGTTTTAGCAATTTAGAACCTATCCCTAAATTATTATTATTTTATAGATTTTAAATTTAATTTTCCCTTTTCTAAAAAAAATACATAAAATCGCAACGAACTATTCTCAATTTAAGATAAATAATATATTAAATATTAAAAAATTTATAAAAAACATATGCGAATTTAAAAAATTTTAAAAATTAAAAAATTTGTGTGAAAATTTTAATTTATTTTAGAAAATATTATAAATCTGATAGTGAAGGCTACTTAAGTGCCAAATCCATATTTTTAAAATTATTAATAATGCCATTCTCTAGTCTAAGAAAAATTATTTAGATACGCCTTATCGATACACCTTATTTTCACTGATCCGATCCGATATTTAAATTGAATAATTCTATATCTTTCTCTACTGAGCAAGCTATTACAATGGCAATTTATTAAATTAATATTTTGTTATTGCTACCCATGGTCCCCATAAAGCAATACCAATAAACTCATCTCGATATTTTTAATATTAATTGTCGTCTTATTTTTTTTTTAACTTTCCCTTCTGTAGTTCCCTCATATTTAACTATACTTGTATGTAATAATGATTTGTTTATAAAATATGCAAACAGGAGACCTGCAAGCTAGGAACATGTGCCGAAAAATGGCATGATTTTAAAAACCCGGGTCTGGCTTAAAAAATTTGAAAACCTATAGTAAGCGTGATTCGCTCAAGCGATGCGAATTTCATCGCTAACGAAATCTCAGTTGATTCATCACGGCGTTAATACCTTTTGAAGTATAAGTAGTAAGACTTCCTCAATTTAGCTTAGCATTTATAAATTATACCACTTATTGGCTTGATTAAGTAAATTACGTGGCGAAAAATTTCGCATCGCTTTAGCGAATCGCGCTTTTAATAATTAATCAGTTTGAAAGTCGTATAAATAAGCGTTTAATATTCATTTAGTGCTCATATTTTCAATTTCCCGTTGAAATATTATGCAAAACACAACCCCGGCTGGGTTTCTAGTATTTTGGTCAAAAAAATGTTTGCAAAACTGTAGATTTTGCCTATAGATAGCGGAAAGGTCTGATGCGTAATATTATTTTTTGTTTAAATTAAAATTAAATCGACCTCTTTAACAATACTAGATGATAGTGGTGTATTATCCTATTTTATAAACAAAGTTTTTTTATGTTTGTAAATTATTTTAAATATTGCCAAATCTTTCATTCGATAAGATTGATTGGTCATCATCGGAGTTACCATATCATACATGTCTTCCTAAAAGACGTTTTCCCTTATCTTGTAAATGAGTGTTAGAATTAATTTCCTCCCATATACATCTTATTTATATCAATATTTTTCTTTAAAAAAATTAATTACTGTTTTATTTTCTTCAATTAGCTTTTAAATGATGGAGGTAATTCGCGCTTAATAAAATTTAACTACCAACTACTCTCTAATACAATTAATATAACCAATTTATTTACATAATAAACAATAATAATATAAGGAATGATTAAAATATTTTAATAAAAATATAAAGTAACGACAACGAGTAAAGGAAAAAGTAACGCATTAGCTAAATTCGTTAAGTCAATAGTAGATAATTTATTTCCAGCAGTAGCCGTATTCGGGCATTAATTTTAAAATTTATTTCGGACCGGACTTAAATTTTAAAAAAATTTAAGAATTTATAAATGTTTTTATGGAAAAATATTTTCAAAAATAACCAAATAATTGTTTATCATCCTTTAAAGTACTTATCATTTTTCCGATTTCGTTTGATTCAAAAAAAATGGATCGATACGATCTGCTTAGATCAGCCGGACAAAAATTTTTTCTAAGGATCGGGGTCGTATATGTAACAAAAAGGGTCCAATGCCGGGGTCTATAGAGTAATGCTGTGATTTGATGGAAAAAGTTAATGACACTATTTTTTAAGGGGTTATTATTAACATTCAACCCTGATATTTTAATTATATCACAAATCATCTCATTATCGATTTATTTTTTTTTAGTATTTCTTTGTCAATTCATTCCAATTTTTTAAAAAAACAGAAAAATTATAAATGAACAAATATTAAAATAATAATTATAAGTCGTAAAATGTCAATTTTTTTAGAGCTGTGCCGATATTTGATATCGGATCGACACCGATATTTAGCATTTTCAAAAAATATAGGATCGGGCCGATATTTTTTTTATTATTTTTGGTTACTTTATAATTGTAATACTATTATATAATTATTTTTATTTTATAAATAATTTCCATAATAATAAATTAATGAAAAAAAAATAGTTTAAAATTTTACACTATTTTTTTGTAAAAAAGAAAAGGATTTTTAAACATCTACCGCGCCACATTCAGTTTATTACTAAACAGCTAGATTTTGCCAATTTTAAAAACGATTAACTCAAAATTTTAGCCAAGAGTAAATTACCCATGATTTTCGATTTTTCCTATAGACAGAATTGTTTGGAGTTCTATTAGCGAAATTTCGAGGCATGGGCAATAATATTTTGGTTAAAATTATTATTTGGCCCTTTATAAAAATCGGCTGAATGGAGCTGTTTAACAACACTAAATTAACCTATAAACATTGCAAATATTATAAAGAGAATAATAACTTATGAAAAATAAAAAAAGTAAAATACACTTAAACATTCGTGAAAGTGAGTTGGTTTTTTTTAAAGTTATACTTATATATTTATGACATTGATATAAATATAGATGGTAAAAAAAATCAATATAAATATCGGATCGGAGCCGGATCGATAAAAAATTTGTGAATCGGTATGGCCCTAATTTTTTTTAATTTTCTAATCTTCTGCCCCTAAATAACTCAGGAAACCAGCTTTGATTTAAGATTTTTATCATTTAAATTTTTTTAAAGCCAACTATTTCTTTTAAAATTATTTCATTTTTTCTGGACACTTATTTTACAAATCAGTCCATTTCCACGAAACCTTCTTTCCTGTGAAAAAATAATTCCGTGAATGCATTGCCTTGAATACATTAATACCGATGCATTATAGCGAATGTTTTATCGAGGGTATATTGCCGCGAAATTATTATCGTGACCACATTACCATCAACTATCTACCATCATAATCAATGTATTATCACAAAATAGTATCCTGATTATAATTTCATATTTAATATTAGGCGTGAAGTTTACCATTTGTAAAATTAAACTGACATATTTTGCCAAACAGAAATATGGACTGGGTATTTTACCCAACTTATAAAATATTATTTTTATAGGCCAATCAAAAATTGCGTGTTAAAAAATAGAAATAATGCTTTGGCCGTATTGCATTCGCGTAATATTTTAAGTAAAATAGATTGGCATGTTCCTCTTTGACATATATTCGTGCTAATGAATTCGATAAATATACGAATTAAAAAAAATTTAGATGCGATTATTTATTTATTGAATTTTTGGGATTTGTGTAATAAAAAGATTGATGAAATAAATGGAATATATTGATGCATCTTTCCCCATGGTAACCATTTTGGCGAATTAGTTTTGCCACGACATCAAAATATAATGATGTTACTATTTTTTTAGAGATTAGAGAAAAATATATCGATGCCACTATTTTGAGTAACCTCAACAACACTAGTTTTTAAGTAACTAGGTAAGTATTAGAGATCCCCATTAATTACAAATGTCTGTCTTTGCACAACTCCTGGGTATATTAATCATTTTTGAGATGTCTATGTGTATAATTTATTTGAAATTTTACTTTAAAAAAGTGAAAATATTATGTAAATTAGTCATCTAAATTATATCACTAAGATATTACATGTTATTGTCGAGTTGTCAAAGTATCAACAATGTATTCTATATATTTTTTGTATCGAATTGTATTGGTAATACTAATTGACATAACTGTATAAAAGTGTTATGGCAAGCCATATGAAGGGTTTTGAGAGAATTCACAAGTGGAGATCAGTAAATCTGGTATTTTTAAGGCAATTAGAAGAAATTTTATCCCAAAATATTTTTGAGTTGCCCTTGCTGATGAAAGTTTTTCAAGACTATAAAAAATTTTTTTTAGCTATGGCGCATAATAATTTATTATAAGTTTGACTATGACAAAGAAAAAGCTTGATATTAGAATGACATAGTAAACAATTTTAATTAGATTTATAAAGCCTGACCCAAGTTGACCAATAAAAAATTCATGCACAAGTTGCCTGGCTAGTTAAAATTTTATAAAAACTTGGTGGTCCAATAAAATTTTACAATAGGTCTGCCCCAGTCTGTTAAACTTTTTGTATAATTTGTTAATTCTTTAACCTCCATTTTATATTGATTTTTAGTGTTGTTAAACGGCACGTTTTGAGCCGATTTTTAAAAACGACTAATTCAATATTTTAGCCAGAAAAATTTTACCTACGCCTCGAGATTTCGAAAATATATGTCTAGACCTTTGTTCAATCTATGAGTAAAATCTTCAGGCTTGAGTGATATTTTTCTGGATGAAATATTTAGTTAGCCGTTTTTAAAAATCGACTCAAAACGAGCCGTTTAACAACACTATTGATTTTAGTGCAAATTGGCTATCACCCCCCTATGGCTATCTATTTCTTTTTACGACAACCATTTAATAAATCAATTATTCTACATTGTGTACTTGTAATTGGATCATACTTATCATATAAATCATAAATAACTTGTTTAAATTTTGATGAATTTATATTATTTATAAATTTTCTATTTTATTTTGACAGCTCTATTTTATTTTATAATAGTATTAATCAAAATATAAACAAAAAAATTTATGTCAAAATTTTAGTTCCTGGTAAAAAAAATGAGAGATTTGCAAGGCCCTGCTTGATTTTTATTTATAAATAGTCTGGCCCTACCCACCAAAAAAAATTGATGTATAAATTCCAGGACCAGCATTTTTTGGCCCAATTCGTTATATATAAATTTTTTTCAATCTGATAAGCTATTCCTGGATTTGCAGAAATTTAATTTAAATATCAAAAATCATGATAAGTATCTGCTCTAAAATTGAAATTTAAAATAGCTATTTTTAAAAAAAATTTCTTTTGAAACTTTTACAAAATTAATTGTGCATTAGCTGAATTTCAAAATTTTTTATTTTCCAATTTTTCAGCAAAAAATAAATATTTTTAAAAAATTAGATGGGTGGATAAAAATAAGATTTTCCAACCTTGTAATCAAATTGAACCAGCCCTGCCAGGCTAATTCTGGTTCATATTTGATATGGGTCTAAAGGTATTTAATATAAACATACTATGAAATTATCACATTATCTCAAGTTTACCAATGCCTAAAGTCAATTCTCATGCACTCAGGTGATAACAAAAAATAAATTCTCAAGAGCAAGTATCTGTTAACATTTTATATCTATAAAGGCAATAGTTACTAAAAAATGTTAAGAGTCCAGTACAGACCATTGACTCCAGCAAACCTTAATCTTAGTCTATAATTCTAATTTAATCAATAAAGATATGTCCTTTATTTAATATTTATATAAAATTTTATAATAATGAATAAGAATTATAATGTTTTTTTGTGTCACCAGAACAAATTTTATAAATTTAACAATGAAGTGGACAATATACCATTTCAAAAATTGGATTTAATGGCTGAATATTAAATCATTATGTTTATAATTTTTATACAATCTAAAATAAAATTATTTACCAGAATTTGGGACTAATAGAATAAATAAACTATCAATTGTTGCAATAACAGGGGCTGCATATAGATTTTTCCATGGAATTTTTAATGTTAATTTTCCTAATAATATGTAAGATTAGCACAAAAATCCTGTATATAATATACCTAAATGTCCTTGGTAAAGCTTTATGGGAAGATCTAAATCAGATAGAGCTGTGCTTTTAATAGACAGATTTTTTAAAACGACATCCCCTAAAAAGTTTAATTTATATTGTAAAAAAAATATAATTACCTCCCCATATTCCAATATTTAATTGTTTAGTATCTAAATTTTCAATGTAACTGCCTAAAAATCTGTTTAAAACCTCAGTTACCAAGGATTCAAAAACCATTTTATATTTATGTATTCACATATGTTTGAAAAATAATTCGTGCACTAGTAACAAAGTAAATATATTTTAAATTATTTTAAAACAAATTATTAGTTTTATGTTGCACATATGTAGCAGAACTACTGTATATAAGAATTTCGAAAAGCGGTTTTGAGGAGAATGGGGCAGGTGTGGAAATGGGGAAAGGGCAATGAAGATGAAACAAGGATAATTCTTAATTTAAGATTACTATCAAATTCAATTACTCACAAAATATTTATAGATATATAGTTTACCTTCGCTAATGATGTTATATCAACTAGGGGCTTCACTAGCTTTTACAATATTAGGGAGGTCATTGAAAATTATTTTTATTTTTAAAATTACCTTTTATTTTTAAAATTACCTTTTATTTTTATAGATAACACTATCCAATATTATTTTTTATAACATTATCCAAAATTACCATTTATCTTAGCTAACTTATAAATTTCAAAATTTTGAGGTGGCACTTTAAATTTTTCAGGTGGCTCGACCCCAAGCATCTCCCCCCCAATGATGCTACTGATATTAACTTACTGCTTAGCCATAGTCATTAATTGCCTACGGCTAATTAGTCATAAGTTTAAAAATTTTTATGCTCAATTAGTTGTTTCAGTTAATATTTAATTTCTTGGTCTGACCTAATCTTAAACTGACCTAGCTAAACCATAAAGATATTATCAGACCCATTTACATATAATTATTACATGGATTAATTCGCAATAATACATTTTAAAGTATCGTTAAATGAAAATCAGCTGGAAACTTTTGATAACTAATTTCATACATTTCGAAATGATAAGTTGTTTTTATTAAAATTAACCACTTATCCATCGTCTACATGAGTGGGAGGGGGGGGGGTAGGAACAGTGGTGGTGGTCGGCGCCTTGATATATTTTTAGGGTTATATATTAAATTTAGAGATAAAATATAACAAAATATATTGTTGAAACATTTTATAATACAATGATCATCGACCAAATCAATATATTGCAAACAATTATAGACGTTATTTTTCAAATAAAACTTTGTTTATACATTTTCAGCAAGCTCCTAATACTATAATAATACATATATTGTAAATGAGGGGATTTTTAATTGAATTCTTTGCTAAAAAATAACTCCTTTATATTCATAAAATTTTGATAGTTGGTAGTAGATAAAATAATTTGTTAAACTTTTTAAAATTTCTGAGAAATACATTATATTTTTAAATAGGTATAATCTAATTAATAATAATGAAACACTGCCGCCGAAGTTGGCGAAAATTTTTTTAAGGGGTTAGGCATAGGTTTTTGAAAGGGATTTGTATCCAGTGGAAATATTGTAATGTAGACGTTGCTCTTATACTGAATATTTTTTGAAAGAAACCCAAACGAATACCTGACTACGCTTATGAAGGTAGCATCAAAATCGGTTTTACTCCAAAAGATAATTTGTAACTACTAGGTTTTCAAATGAGTAAAGCTTCCGTATTAGAAGTCAATGCCATTTTTTTTCATGAAATATAAAAACGTAATTCTGAGCTAATCTACTAGTTTATCATAATAAAAGAATTCTTAGTTCTAGATGTATAATAAAAAAACGAGATTTTCTAAATTAAAAGAAATTAAAGCCAATTTTTGCCTAAACAATATAAAAGTGAATTTACCTAATCATATTTTTAATAGAAGATTAACACAAAGCCACCCTTGTCTAGACTGTTCTTCAAAAGCCGAATTTGCATGGATTTTTAAAAATAGCCCAATTAAGATTATAACTAAAATAATATAGTGCAAGTCTGATTATTTTTCTCATAGATGGTAGAAAGATTTGAACTTTTTCTTGCAAAACCTTGAGACTTACACCAAATTTTAACTAAAATCTTTATCAGGCCACTTAAAAATCGACCCAAATCGGGGTTTTTTTAACACTAGTCTACTCTACTACCCATCTTAATAAAATTTTAAATATCCTTGTCATTTACAAATTATTTTATGAAGAGAATAATAATTTTTACAAATAAAAACATAAGCCAATTCAGTTCTAAATTTTACTTTATACACATAAAATATGATGGTGAACATGTAAAATGTATAATAAAAAATATATTTGTATTTATATGAAGTTAAATATAAAATCATATTTAACTTAAAAAATTAATATTGGTTGATAGGACAATGTAGATCATGAATTACTATTATATGAAGAAAAAATAGTCATAATTGTATATACATAGAAACATATAACAGAATACTTTTTGTGCTTTGTTATAGGCTTTTTACATATTCATTTTTTTTTAATTATCAAGTCTAAATAGTAAAAAATTATTAAGAATTAATCATCATATTCCTCCTCTTCATCTTCATCGTCTTCCCCTGGAGCACCTTGTAACTTCCTTTTGGTCCCTTTTTTATTTTTATTTTTGACACCTCCTACATAGAGTTAAAAAACACATAAATTATTTTTTAAATAAAGGGATATATGTAAAATGTGTACCTTTAACATGGACTTTATCACCAGCTTCATCAGCCTCCTCATCATCACTTTCATTCCCATCCTCACCTTCATCATCATCATCCTCTTCATCGTCCTCATCCTCTTGTTCAGCTGTGGGGGCTTTCCTAGGTTGACGCCCCTTTGGGGCTGCCACCTTTTTAACTCCTCCACCATTTATCGATACATCTCCAGCCCCTTCTTCCTCATCTTCATCATCATCATCTTCATCATGCAATGGATGGTCTTCATCATCATCTTCATCATCATCAAAGTCTGGATCCTCCTCTTCTTCGTCATCATCATCATCCTCATCATCATCATTCAAGGGATCTTATATTTTTTAAGATGTAAAAATGGTTATTATTATTAAATATTAATCAATTAAAAGATCATTTAGATAAATCTAATATGTAGTAAGCAACCATATTACTTACTCAATAGTTAATGGCCAGCCAGGCCATTAAATTAAAGGTGGATTGTCTAATATAGTAATAATGTTAATGATTTTTGGTTTTTTATATTTAAATAAAAGAAAATGTAAATTTTAAACATCATAAATTATACAAAATATAATAAAATCACTTAGAAAAAATATGTCTTATTATGAAATACAAAAAAAAAGGAATTGCATGATTACAATTGAGCCAAGGATAAAACATGCTGAAGATAAATATTACTACATGCTGGTCCAGCTTGGGTAAACAAGCCAGGCCATAAACCTTTTATTAAATATTAAGGCCATGCTCAAAATTTTTTTTAATATCCAGGGCAAGCTAAATATTTTAAAAATCTTTAAAATGGTGTAACATAAAACAATAAATCAAATTCATTATCTTATCATGGAAATGTTGTTGAAAAATAAATGATTAGCAAATAAAGATACATTTATTTATATTAATTTAAACTAAAATAATCTATCATTTTAGAATAAGGAGATAATTTGAAAAGTAATATTCATTGAAAAATGATCTGTAAAAAATGTTAAAATTTTTTTAAAAACATAGGTTTTAAATTGTAAAAGTCAAAAAACTTTTTTTTAAAAACAAATCTGGGCCAGGTAAAATATTTTTATGAAGATAGTAGACCTTGGATAACTATTAGTATAAATAATGATTTAATAAATATTTAAACTCATAGACATATTTTATTTCCAATAATTTAAAGGAAAAAGTGTAGTATACAGGGCTTAAGCTGTGAATCAAATATTTAAACAAATGGACCTAAGATAGATTGATCACTTTGCTTAGATTATATATGAAGATATATTTGCAAAGTTTAGCAATTTTTCCATTGAGCATAAAAAATAAAAATAAGGAATAAAAATAATCTTTGCAGGCTTTATTTTTATCATACTAGTTACCACAAATTTGAAAACTATAGTGAAGCCAGTTTAAAAGTAGGCATTTATCAGATTTTAAAATTAAATAAACCAAAACTAATTTTAATTTCCATGAATAAATTCTAAAAAAAGCATAACTGATGAATGTTTAATTTTAGAGGATTTATTGTTTAAATTAACATATTAGAATAATAAATTGATATTGGCCAATTACTGATCCAATATTGTATTTTGTAAACTCATTTTAATTTTTCCATCTATAATTTACTATACCATAATATAACAGTCATTTAAATATATAATAATAATCAGTTATAGTTTATATTCATGAATCTAAATATTTTTATTGATAAATCATTTTATATAGCATTAATCTTTACATAGTAAGTAATAAACATTATGAGATTTGAAATAAATTCATTTCATCAGATCAAAAAAATTTAAAATATTGGACAATAACCAATATTATAAAAGATGAAATCTCTGCCTGATCTGATGATATCAGTATATACCAATTTTTGACATAAAAATAATAAAATATATAGAAAGAATATAAAATATAAACTGGCATTTAAGTTTATAACCAGCAAAATCAATATTTCACAATATTAATGATAAATAAAGCATAAATATATAAAATTTCTATAAATATTTGTCCCATGTTTTGCTATATTTTAAATCATCTTATATGATTTTTGTAAATGATACTTTTATTATTGGAATTAAATTAGTAATTTAAATGATTTTATTAAAGGTGAATAAAAATTAGGGAAATAACTAGTGATTTATATAAATACAAGTTTATTGCAATTCAATAAACATTAAATTCTATAAAATATAATAATTAACCAATAGATATTAGAGGTCAATAAAAGCCACCATCTCACTCATTATAATCTAAAAATTGTTCTTTTTTATATTTAAATTGAATTCTCTAATGTCTGTCTTATTTAAAATTATCATACTTTTAATATATTTAAACAAAACTAATCATTTTATATATATAGGTTATCTGATAATTATGAATAAAAAAATATTATGAATTTCTATTTGTTAAGTCATACCCAAGTCACTTTCTGATTCATCTTTGTTGTCTCTATCATAGCCATCTAAATATTGAAGACCAGGTATAAGTTCAAATATCTTATCTCTAAAACCATCTTTGTGTTGTATACCACAATTAAAAAGATCTAAGGATATCAAATCTTTAAGATTTTTCTAAATAAAGAATCTGTATTACATCATAATAATCAATTTTACTAATGGTTGAATGGCTGAAAAATCGCTTATGTTATTTCCAGCTAAATTTAAACGGACAAGACGGGGTGCTTTATCACATAAAATTTTCAAACCATCGCTGATTCGATTATCTGATATATCGAGCTAAATATATACTATTTAAATTTTATCTAATATATTAAATTACTTTTTTTAAATTAGGTAAAGTAGGAAAATTTTTTAAACTGGTTAATCCAACATTAATAAATGTAAGATTTTCTAAATTTATAAACTCATCATTCAAACCTTCAATAGTCGTAGCTTTACAATTATCTAATATAAGTTCTTTTATCTTTAAAATAGTAATGTCAACAATGCAAAAAAAAATATTATTACTTTTGAAGGAGATCGCCCTCTAGTTTCAAGTTGAATACGTTTTTCCATCATAACTATAAACTAGAATAATATCAAAGATTTTTATGATAAATGGAGGATAAATCTATTATATATTGGTAAATAATTAGAAGAGCGCAGGCGGAAACACTATTTAAACGAAATTACGATTGTAAAATATGGCTCCTAAAATTTAATGTCAACCATATCGGCATTTATTATTAAAATTTGATTGGTTATTTTTTCTAGATAAATTGACAAATTTGAAATTATTATATTATTTTTAAATAAAATAATATTAGGGATTATGTCACAGCTAAATTACTTTTATATACATATTATAAAGCAGATTATAAATTAATCGTCTATATAATATAATCAGTAAATATTCAAATAAAGTAACCCATGACAGGAAAAATAAATATAAATAAATATATAAAATATAAAATATATTCAGCTCTTTCAAAAATAACTACTCAGGATAGAGGTGTACTAATAATTCTAACATAAGGAAATCATAGGCATTTACGAGAGGAGACTAAATCCTCAGACTTCCCTATGGTAAAAATATATAATTTTAAATTAATTCAAAAAACCCCCTAGACTGCTGATATTGATATAATATCTAAAACATTTACTGACACATCTTATCTATCATACATAATTTATACTCAATTATTTCAGAAGAATTTTAAAAAAATATTTTGGTTCAGAGATTTTAATACTTTAAAAATTATTTAAGATACAGTTATAAGATCCTCTTTAGAAATATTCAAAAAGATACAGATAAGATAAAAAAAATTTACAAAAGTATCATTGATATAGATATAAAAATACTTAAAAAATTGATAAAATGTGAAATCTTTAAAAAAATTAGGATATTAGGCTAAACAAAATCATTTATTTAGATTCATTTCACTTAATATAATTTTAGGGTGTAAAATTAAAAACTATATATGAAGAAATTTTGATTTTAAACTTTATAAAAGTAATTTAAATGATATAAATAACTATTAATTATTTTTTTTATATGCCTATTTGGCCTAGGTTTATAAAACTAAATAACCGTTTAATCGGGGCTTTAGTAGGTAATTGAAAATTTTTATTTAATGTGCTTATATTTGTGTAAGTTTCTGATATTAAGGGAATCGCCTTTAACAAAATTAATATTTCCAGTTTAGTTTCATATACCGTTGATCGGTCTTGTATCGTCCCCCTAGTTTAAATATAAAAGAAAACCGCTCTTATCCAGTGGCGGCGCTAGGGGGTGCAGGGGCTCGAGCCCCCTGAAAAGTTTGAATAGCCACCTGAAGCAAAAATTTTTTTTTAATGGCTCCTTAATATCCCCTTGAGTTAAAAATAAATGTTTTTAAATGCCCTCTGAATAATTTCATTTATAATTCTATTGAGTAATATATAGATTTAATTTTATTAAAAAATTAATAAGACTATCTTAATTTTTATTGAATGAATACTATTTTAATTATTAGATTAGATTATTACATATAAATTATACTATGTCAGCTTGCAATCAAATTTTATGTTAAAAATATAACAATATCACTCACTAAATATTAATTTAGCATTAACAGTTGAAGCTTAATTGACTTTTATTATTTAAATCATTATATAACCCTAATTCAATAAATATAATCATTTATTAATTGAAAATTAATCATTTAATATTTTAGCCGAGTTAAAAATCACTAATCAACTATATTGATTTTTAAATTTAATTATCATGTATCTTCCTAAAATTATTTTCAAGGTCCAAATCCAAATAAGTATAAGAGATTTATTTATAAAACTAAGTAGACATCTATATATATAATCCTCAAAAAATGTCAATCAAATTTAGCCAATAGTTTTCTTTTAAATATTATTTGTCCAATCAAAATGATTATAGCAGTCACAGTCACAACTGTGACATTATATAGTCAATTATTTTACCTGATGATAGTCAATTATAATTTTGTTAATATATTATGTAATATTCAACTTCTTTATTAATTATTGGACGTTTGTCCTACTTAAATTGGGAGTGATTCTTAATAATATTTAATTAATATTAACAAATTCGGAAGTATTTAAGTTATGTTAAATTGTAGTTTTAATCTCCATGATATTTAGCGCCATCTATAATATAATATTTTATTTTAAATAGCATTATATTTCTAAGTTGAAATGTAAATATTTTGTCTTAATTGATGTCAAATATATTGTTCTTTCTATATATCTATAATTTATCTATCTATCTATCATAGCAATTTTAAGCCAATTTAGATCATATTAGCAAAATGGATTTAATCTCCTATAAATCATGGAAAGCATTTCAGAAGTATTTTGAGGCAATAGGCAGGAAGGAACATTAGTATGAAAAAAATGTTTGCAGATAATCCTACAAGAGCTAAGGAATTCAAATCTATAATATATATATTCAATAAAAATCATCATAGCTTAAACATATCAAACACGCATTCATAAACCAAATCGAACCGCCATTTTCAAAAAAAAAATTTCAATACAAAAAACAATTACAAAACATATAATAATATAATAATTACAATAATTGATATTTTTTTTAACAGACACAACATCGAGCAAAACCTTCAATCATCAGTAAATAATTATATTTTTTAACAGACACCACATCGAGCAAAACCATATACTTTCAATTTACACATCTTAATCTTGAAGATACTGAAAATCAAGAACAAGTTGAACATTACTGTGGGCCATTAAAATCTATTTTATTATTTTTTTTAGATTCCTACACAAGATACCATTCAACAAAACCAAACAATGGAACGTTTCATACCACCAAAATCTAAAGAAGGCATTATTGCTTCAACAAGAGTAAATTTTATATTTTTAAGATGTGATTCCGAAATATATATTTATTAGGTGAGGGGCTATTCTAATATTTTCCATTATTTTTTATAAATATGTTTATGAAGTATATATTTAGTAATTTTATTTTATGTCCACAATAATAAATATTTTAAACTAAACTTATTTTTATAAAATTGAGTAATTCTTATATTTTTAAATTTTAATAATAAATCAACATAAGGAGAAAGCTAGAAAGAGACAGGCACTTTGTCGTATCAAGAAAAGGAACGAACAAAGTCTTATTCCTACAACATCCAACCATCTTGAAGATACTGGAAATAAACAATTTGCTTCAACATCCAATCATCTTGAAGATACTGAAAATCAAGAACAAGTTGAACTAAAAATTAGATTGCAAATCTTATATTGCTGATAAGTTTCAGCAGATAGAGGAATTATTATAATTGCCTTCCAAAAATTAAAAATACTGTGGGCCATTAAAATCTATTTTATTATTTTTTTTAGATTCCTACACATGATACCATTCAACAAAACCAAACAATGGAACGTTTCATACTACCAAAATCTAAAGAAGGCATTATTGCTTCAACAAGAGTAAATTTTATATTTTTTTTAATTTGTATTGTATGTTAGCTGATCAGATTTTTCCTATCTTATAAGATGTGATTCCGAAATATATATTTATTAGGTGAGGATCTATTCTAATATTTTCCATTATTTTTTATAAATATGTTTATGAAGTATATATTTGGTAATTTTATTTTATGTCCACAATAATAAATATTTTAAACTAAACTTATTTTTATAAAATTGAGTAATTCTTATATTTTTAAATTTTAATAATAAATCAACATAAGGAGAAAGCTAGAAAGAGACAGGCACTTTGTCGTATCAAGAAAAGGAACGAGCAAAGTCTTATTCCTACAACATCCAACCATCTTGAAGATACTGGAAATAAACAATTTGCTTCAACATCCAATCATCTTGAAGATACTGAAAATCAAGAACAAGTTGAACATTACTGTGGGCCATTAAAATCTATTTTATTATTTTTTTTAGATTCCTACACAAGATACCTTTGGTGCAATATCTAAGTATAATTTTTTCAGTGATCCTATATCAATAAAAACAAATCAAGTTAAAAATTTTAATTTATGACAATATATAAATTTATTTAAATTAGATTCCACGGATCATATTGCCGAAATATGCCATTCAACGGACTCTTAATCTACCCAAATCAATAAAAACAAACGAAGTTAAAAAATTTAATTTATGTTATCAAATAGATTTTTTTAAAATTAGATTCCACGATATATATTACCGAAATGTACCATTCAGCAGAATCTTAATCTACCAAAATCAATCAAAATAAATCAAGTTAAAAATTTTTCTTTTTTTCATTTCTTTGCTCCCCTAAAATCCATCTCCTACCCTCACATGGTGGGGAGTGAACAGTAATTCTGACTAACAGGAGCCCTGGTAAATAATGTTAGTATTTAGGGTGCTAATAAGAGTTATTGTTTCATTTTTGTAATTTAAAATATAAATTTCGAAATCACATCTCATAAAAAGGAAAATGTCAGATTCATCCATCATCAAATAAAGGTAAAATATATTATTCATCAATCATTGAATAAAAAAGACAATTCCTCTCTCTTAGTCTTAATGGGTTGGAATTGGCCTGAAGGAGGAGGGGGAGGGGTAAAAAGATTTATCATAAAAGAACGAATAAAATTCACATCCCCGTCATTTTTGACGGGTTATCAACTAGTATAGTTTATAATCCTCTATTATATATAATTTTTTTAAATAATTATGTAAAATGACACTTTTGCAGACGTATCTGACAGTTATATAATATATTACAGTTAATATTTTTAAATTTTACTAAGAAATGCTTATGATAATAAATATAAGTAACAATTTGCTTACAAATATTTAACGCCATCTATTAATAGAAATATAATTAAAATTAAGAGTAACATTATTTATCCCACAATGGATGTTATAAATTAGATATCTTTTCTTCTCTTTTTTACGTGTTTTTAAGAAGCTATTTTCTTCTTCTTCGGAATATAGATTTCAGTTAAATTTTTAATACGATTATATTTTTTATTTTTACAAACTACTATTATTTTAAGATATAATATTCCAACTAGAGATGGTGCGACATTAATATATAAAATCTTAATTGCTTTCATGATATCACTCTGGTTCTTATTTTGTAGTTACAAAATGTTTCATTTCTAATATGGCATTTTTGCCGTATAAATAACTCAAGGCTTCAATATATTTGCATAATTTCTTTTAAAGGT